ACAGTCATTTATTCTATCAAACATTCAAACAGAAGGGACTGCCAGGAAGGCTAGCCTAGCATGTCAAAAGTATATAGGCTCAAAAACAAAGGCAAACCTTGAATCAGATCAAAATATAGCCCTTTCAGACCCAAGGTCAGAAAAACTATATTTTTGTGCGAAATTCACATATATATAAACTTAACCAGGCATGCTATCGAAGGGGCAAATCATGTTCATGGATTCGGAGGACATTCAACAGGATCGCAAGGACACTCACAATTTTGTTATATCGTTACGAACAATGTAGCCTCACATTTGTGATGTAATAATCAATGAACAAGAAGATACTGCCCTCTTGGCTTTGAACAGGAAGGAGCTGAAACTGGTGGTGGGCCTGCTGACAGGGCACTGCCACCTGAACAAACATCTCAGCATGATCGGGATTGTGGAGGATCCTGAATGCAGATGGTGCCTAGAGGATGAAGAGACTCCTACTCACATCCTCACTGAATGCCCGGCAATAGTGGCAGCAAGGGATATCCATTTTGGGAGCAGTATCCTGGACCCAGAGGATGTTAAGGAGATTTGGCCTAGGAAGTTGGTCTCTTTTGCTCGCGAGATCGGCTTTCTCCATGGCTGACTTGCGATCCCAGGAATGTGGGTGCACAATGGGCCCGAAAAGGGAGGCCTAAGTGCGTCAGGTCCCGGACCGCCCACACACATACATACATACATACATACGATACTGTTAAATAATTTATTTATATATGTGAAATTCCATGAAATAATTTTGGTCTTTGCCAAGGCACAAGTACACGTCACATTTACTGAATTTTGTTCTCGATCGACTCCTACAGCTCTCAAGACGACAGTTCAATGGATGCTTCAGGCCTCGCTTCAGGCTTTCAAAGATGGGCCAGTGATCGAAGCAGTCATATCTTTTATCTTTACATGGCATTGGTGCACATCTGGATTTTTTCTCCTCATCTCTGGACCATCATCATCTGATTCATTTGATTCATCTGAACCTGATCTTTCAGAACCCATATCAATATCATTGTCTAGTTGGCCAAGTAACAAAATATCGTCTTCGGGCTCGTCATTGTCGCCTCGGAAATCAGATCCAACTCCATCTAATAAATTAAAAATGGCATCAGGATTATCCTCTGCAAGAAAAAAATTAAATAATCTCAACTTCCACGATATTCCTAAAGTAGTTGAGTCCTGATGCTCACAACTGTGATATCATGAAATCAACCAATCCCAGGAGTCCTAACTATTTACTTTTTTATATCAATCAATGTGTAGGCTCAAATATTGACCTTTATGCCGACCATGTACAATACATGAAGAATAACTTACTTGCTGAATTCATATTTATGCACGAATGTGAACGAAACACTGAGAAATGCTTTGGACAGATCTACTCAAATTGGCTGTTACCAGTCAAATGGTGAAACTGCGGCCTTTTGCGCTTCTATATTTACGTAACCCCTCACCATCATGTGATGGCGGTCTGAACCGAATTCGAATTTGAACATGTACTATGCGGCATTTTATGGACCCTCACAATTGTGACTATCTGGAACGGTGCCAAGTATAGTGCCAATAAGCCGAGCAATAAGACTCAGAGTATAACTAGTTGAAAAGAGAGATAAATGTTGCTTATTTCTTATTAGCTTATGTTATGACACAAACTGGAACAACTTTTATGACATAACAATATAATCATAACAACATAATTGTCAGAAACTCACGTACGATAATAATCAACTTTGTTCGTTTTTGTAAGGTTGCTAGGCAATAATAATAATAATGCGGTGGAGGCATCCCAACACCGCAAAGTTGGCTTTTGTGTGATTAGTTTTCGGTAATCAATATAATAAATAATAAATCACATACAATAATCCTTCTAGTAAAATTTGGAATATCCATGGCCCACTAGCAGAAATTCATCATAATTTCATGTCGAATCGAAACTAGCTGAACATATGGGAGAACATATCCTTTCTGAAGATGGACAACATATGGCAGAGTGCAATAATATTGAAATCATTGGAAAAGAAGATGACAACCAGAAGAGAAAAATCAAGGAATCTGCTTGCATTCTTCTGAACGCAATAGCATTGCTTCCTGTTCAGTTGATATAGATAGATCATGGTATTCACTATTAAAATCTGAAAATGAAAATGATAAATTCAAGATTAATTAATGGAAACATCGTGTAACTCATTTGATTGCCAAAGTCACCAATTGTCACTGAGAACTGAAAAGTGTCAGGACAAATACGAATTTGCCATACAAAAAATCCATTTTTTATGTTGAAAACGGGAGCAGATTCGTTCCCGAAACGTCTAAAGATAAGTGAAAATTTGATATTTTTTCTATATACCTTTATTTCTCTTATCCAAACCTTTTTCAATAAACATTGTCACTGACAAGCTAGTGAATTTTTATTTCAGGTTGACTGATAGGAAAATTCTTTAATCGCAGTGACATGACACGGCAAATCATCTGATTTCTCCTAACTACACGTATATTAAAATAGTATTCATATTTTTATTTTATAGAGACGAGGAGAGAAAACCCCCAAAAAATCTGGAATAATGAATGTACCACCTCCTTGATTAACCTACAGACAGTGAATTCTTGTTTATTATAAAATCGGTGGCTATGCCGTTATTGACTAGAAGTTGATATGATGACGAAAACTACCGTGGTAGAAAATAGGTTCTATAGCTAGTGGTGCAAAAAGTACATATATCTACTATTATTCCAATAATGAATCGAAGTAGTATGTATATTTCAAAATATTTGATATTGGATAAGGTGATATTATTCAGGTCGACTACTTCATTTGCCAGTCTGTTTAATTCATCCTCCTTAAGTCGAATGTCATCAAATCTTTAGCCGTCTAGCCAAATCATGACATTCATCTGATATGAATGTCGCAGGTATTATTGCCATAGATAATTCAATGATTATTTTTTTGTTATCACCATCAAATTATCGATAAATTTGTATAGGTATAGTATTTCCAGAGGCACCAGCGTCGCGCGGCATATGTTTTTTGCTGGAGCTGTTTCAGTAGGCAAGAACAATCATTAAAAAAATACTATATGACGTTTATCCCGATGAGAAAAAGGAGCGGTGCTGTATAAACAGATTATTTAGCTTGTATGAATATTTTAACATTCATAGCTTTCGAGATTCAACTGGTTTCAATAAAGTCAATCTCATATTTCACCTTCATCAAATCCTATATCATAGTCGTCTAACCAATACTGCAAATATACAAATATAATCCTCAGATTATCTGATTCTTCAGTTATTTGTTGTGTTCTCTGTTATCTGCAGTAGGAATTCAGTATTAAAATTTTATTCCATTACACACTGTTTCACCACTAACCAAACCGATTTTTAACACCTTGGCACGTGTTTCTCAGCTATGCTAGCATCTTCAGGAGGAGATTGAAACTAAACGATCTATCCCACTAGGTATATGTCCACCCAACCGTGAAAGACAATAACCGCCAAGTGAATGATAGTCATGAGGCCTGTTCGCTTGTATTGCTAAACTTGCTAAAGTTGATTCTTTTCCCATAGTTGTCTCTGTTCATGGCATGATGTAAACAAAGAAAGTTATAGAAATAAATCAAGTTCAGCAGGTAGAGCAAGGACAAACGGACAAGTCTATGGTTGAGTTCACAGGTTAACCTTGGACTTATATCACTAAACTATACAGAGGGCTAAATGGGATAGGTCGCCATTATCCTCATTCATTAATATATTAATATTCTTAAATATCTTCAAGCTTTATTCATATGCAACTAATTTCCTCACATTATTGACTTGCCTAACTAATTTAGTTAATAATGTTAGATAGTTTTAATTATTGAATTAACGCATTTGTGTTCGTGCCCATTGACTATGGAAAGACTATACTATACCTACTCAATGATCTATTCAATACCTTAATTGCAGAAATTTATTTAATATCGATATCCTGCATCTTCTGAAGGAATTGATGGTTCACTTTCGATTTCAGGAATCATCTGATATAGTGACCGTCAGTAGCGTCGTTAGGAAAATATCAATGTTTTTTATCACGTATTGCACTGATTAAACAGTTATCAATAGGCATCTTTCAAATTTTATTAGAAACTTTGAAAGAATGTTCCGTTTTATATAAAAAATACCGATAAAACGCAAGCAGTTTTTGAGTGAAAACGAAAAAACCAAATAGTTCATTCAAGACCCATTCAAATAACAGACCGAGTGTTGCTTCTTACGACCAATATACTTAGAGAACCTTTATTTTTATTCTTCAAATATATCGATTGTCAAAATTATCTGCATCTATAAATTGGACCACCCAGTAATCTCTATAGGATTTTGAAATCCGATGAACATAGATTTTATCTTGAACAAAAATAACCACTCACAATATCTCTAGTTTATGTAGAAATGTATTTACAAACATGTTTAGCAAAACATGTGTTTTTGGGAATTTTGTGAAAATCCTATATCGTTTGTGATGTTTTCACAATTACTATGGATTTTCATCAAATAACCGTCGAGTCATCAATTCAAAAATCTCCAATAGCAGGATTAATATACAATAGCTTAATAGTAAACTGTCAATCATTTATCTGATCTTAATAAATTAATCATTATAAATTATTCTTCAAGCGAATCTGAAATCTAGTGACGTCGTAAGCTGATGATATAAGCTGGGATTTTTAAGGAATTACCTTGAAAAAGATATCGCAAAAATACTCTATATGATAGTACAACTTTCGACTTGCTCATCTATCCCACTCATTGACAACAATGGAAAATCGCAAATAGATTATCTTTCAAATCTCAGGTTTACATGAAATAATGACTTGAATAATGCTTATCAATCTCGTTATAATTATTAGGTTTTATTATGAGTACTTATTATGATAAAATACCACGCTATTTCATTGTCAATATACGTTTTCAATCTGTTTAATTTTTGTTACAGAGGAAAGATGATGCGGGTTTTCACTAGACGGAAAATATTCCTCTGCAATATTTTATCAGTATTTTTTTGTAAGTATACATAGAAATAGAAATTAATTAGATAATGATTTTACCACCACGTAATGATCGCTATTTTTGTAAGTCCAAACGATTATCCTCAAGAAGAACTGAAGGTATTTCCAATTCTGACATTCATTTTTCTTTTGTTCTCTTTGGTTTCATTGAAATATACAGGTAATTTAGGAATGTTGAAAATATTGTATTTCAGATTCTTCGACCTCAAATACGAAAATATCTCATCATCATCATCATCATCATCAAATATGCTTTATTGTCAGAAGAAATAGTTCTTATCGACAAAGTCATTGTATAGGTATTACAAAGTAAAATATTAAGAATGTTAAAAATATTGAAAATATTGAAAATATTAGAAACATTGAACAAATTGAAACATTAAAAACATCAAGAACGTTATGGTACAAATACAGACATAATATAATAAAATGTGCAGATGAAGCCACAGGATGCAAACATATGAAATCAATCCTAAAATATAGAGGCAAGCGTATTTTAATGCTAACATAAGGGTTCACTACTAAAAAATTCCTCCACGTTGTAAAAAGGATGAGTGGATAGCAATTCTTTTAATTTTATTTTAAACAATCTACATGATTGGATGTCTCGTAGATGTATTGGTAAGCAATTATAAATTTTTAGTCCATTATAAATGAAAGATTCCTTAACAAGATTGTTTTTAGGTAGTGGTAGAGGTAATCTCAATTTGTGCGATGATCGCGTATTATGGTTAGACGACACTATATTATATTTGTGACGATTCTTGTGTATTAAGCAAGTGGTTTCTAAGATGAAAATTGAAGTAACAGTGAGGATTCTATTATTTTTGAAAAGGTCGCGGCAAGAAATACGCGTTTTTACTTTACAAAGAGCCCTAATGGCTCTTTTTTGTACAACTTGCACCATATGTAACAGTTGTTTGTTGCACACTCCCCAGAAAGCAATGCCGTAGGTTAGGTGAGATTCAATAAGAACACAATAAGCTGTTTTAGCAGTTGTAAAGTCCAGTTCCCGTGATATTATCCTAATTGCGTAGCATCCGGTTGATAGTTTTTTGCACAATTTCTCAAGACTCAAATTTTGAAAATTAATTTCTGAAAATAGATTATATGCATCGAAATACAAACGAACATATTGAAGACTATGGTGAAAACCGGTGAAAACATACCAAACAAAACAAAGGCATACTGTCTTCATATTGTGTCTTATACAGGGTGATTCATTAAGAATGGACGATCTCAGAACTACAGATAGTAAACAACAAAATATGAAGATTCAGCCCATAATTAATTCGAAGTTTAAGAGATACAAGAAGTTCAAAGAAAAAAATATTTCAAGATTTCTCAGTAACTTTGATCGACCATTTACTTTAAAATTATGTTTATTGTTGGTGTTCTTAGTGATTATCACCATTGATAAAATTACTGTGTTTTTTTCAGTGTTAATTCACTAACTTTATTATTAGATTGAAACTGCTGTTTTAACTATACGTAAACGATCTTCCATAAAATATAACAGGAGGCCGAGTTTTTATGTACGCCGATGATACTATACTATCATTGTGGTTTCCTCAAGTCCAGACGAAATGGAAAATGAAATAAAAACGGTCATTGATGAATTCGAAGCATGGTGTAGATCATTTGATAAACAATTTGGATAAAACAATGTTCATTCAATTTTCGAACAAATACTATCGCCCACTTCATCTTGATCTGCGATTAGAATTATCAGACTGTACAAAATTCCTTGGAACACAACTGGATTGTAAATTATCTTCCAACAAACATATTATTGAATACCTATGCACAACACTGAAAAAAACGTATTACGCGTTTCTAATATTGAAGTCGAATTTCACAGATCATAATCTACTGGACATTTACTATGCATTGGTATATTCCAAAATAAGTAGAAATATTTCCATTTGGGGACTAGCATCAGATATAAATAGGATCTTCATTATGCAAAAACGTTTTTTGCGTCTGATTTTGTATGTCACATATAGATAATCTTGTAAGAAACATTTAAAAACAAGCGCTAATAAGTTATCTTCATTCAAATTCCGTATCTTTCATGCAGAAAGGAACAGAAATGGTTTCCATTTGACCAAATGTAACTATTTCCGGTATAAACAATGCCCAAATTACTCAGGAACAAAATATTTCAATTTACTGCCCCAAACCATTAAAGAAGAAAAAAAAACATGTGAAATTTCGAAAGCTCCTCAAAGAATATCTTCTATAACAAGTTGCTTTTATCACTCCCTCAAAGAGTATGACTGCCTTTCTTAATATGAATTTGCTGTAATATTCATGTGTAGGTACTTTGTTTGTATTTGTTTTTTTTTTTGTTTTTGACGTGTCATATATACAATTTGTACCAAAAATTACAAAATAAACTTTAACATGAACTTAATAGAAATGTTGAAAGTTAAACACAGATCCTTTCAGGGGAGAATAACGCACAAAAAGTTAAAGCTATATTGACAACTCAAAAAATAGTACATTTTTCATGACAAATTGAACAGTCTTTCAGATATTCAACTGATTTCAACCATTATTTAATGGGCAACGAAGATATCATGTAATTTACTGAACTAACAGAGTGTTACTATAGCGCGCGCTATGAGCAATCACAAAATAAGTTACAAATTCGTTTTTCTCATGTCAGAAAACCAGAAACTACAAAATAAGTCATGTCAGACTGAATCTCAATATTGTGGTGTTTACTGTCTGTAGTTCAGAGATTTCCCATTCTGAATTAACCACCCTGTACCAGGGTAAGCCAGTTTTTTGTAGCAGAACTTCAATAGCTTGAAGAACACATAATTTGAAGAAGTCAAAGGTTGACATTTTTTAAATGTTTTCCTAGTTTTCTCCTACAATGTTCAAAGTAATTAATTGAAATTTGGTACACCTATTACACTCGAAGAAATCAATATTTAGGGCTATTAGGCGATTCATCTGCATGCCTGCTTTCAATGAAACATAAATCTAAATTCTCTGTTACATTTATACATTTGGGGACTTTCTGCTTCCTTATATGTTTTTCTAAAACTGTATGTATTTCGAGATAAATTCCAAAAGTAATTTATTTGTGATAAAACGACTAGAAGATCTGGATTGATCGAAAAGATATGTGGAAAAACTTGACAAACACATAAAAATACCCGTCACACACCACCGATGAAGGGGCTGCTGTATAATATTCACATGAGATTCTTATTTCAAAATAGTATCTTCTTTGAGCTGTTGAAGTCCTGCTACAAAAAACTGACTCACCCTGTAAAATATGGAATGCCTATAAAACGACCTATTTTCTCGCTTCTTTTAGATACATTCATAAAACCATTGAACATAAACATAATCTCCAAAAGTTCAAAAAAAATTCCAACACCTACGTATGCCTACGTCGATTCCGAGGTCGATTCTCTCCCTATTCTCCCTAGGCACAGATTAATCTGTTATACATTCCTATACGCACGATGTTCTTCGAACATTATATGTATAGGGATTCAATTTCGTCCGCACCAAGCGATACAAAAGTATTCAATCTTTGAGACAGAAACTCGTTTTTTTATCGATATATTATACGGTGATTCAACAATTATTGTGAAATACCTAACAATGTTGTATGTTTTTCAGGTTTCCAATGTGTTTTCTGTGATATTAGTATTACCCCACATGACTTAACAATAAAATTGAATGAAATTGACACATTTTATCTCAATATCAGCAATATAAGGTAGGTGAGTTGCATAAACAAAATTACTACAAGATTACATTCGAAGGTTAGGCATTATGTTCAATAGGATGTGGAACAACGTAACATCGAAAAGAACTATTTCACCAAATATCGCCTAAATAATTGTATGCTCACAAAAAAGTTTTCGCCGATTTTTTTATGATGGCCATGATGCGGCCGCATTATTTATTCATTTATTTACTTATTTATTCAATAATACATCCAATACGCCCATTTACAGGTGTACATTCGTCTTCAGAGACCATGTCGCACATATGGACGGTGTCAGCTCTCTTAATCATCGCTGCAATAAGAGATATCGTCCAACCGCGACATGTTAACAACAAGAATTAGTAATACATCGATTATAAAAGATACATGATTAATTTGATGAAACACTGAATAGTTGGCGCTTGAATTGAGACAATGAAAGGATAAATATATCAATACATTGCAAGTTATTGTAATTTCAACACATTGTTGTGAGAGGACAATGAAAATGATGTTGAGAGTTAGGTACAACTATGCGAAATGTTATATCAGATCTCGACACCGAACGAGGTACATTAAAATCAATCAATGAAAGTAATGAGGATGAATCAATATATGGCTATGAATGATTTTGTATATAAAAGTTAAATCAACAATCTCACGATGTTTCCTTAAAGAAATTAAATTGGATTCGTTCAGTAATGAGTCATAGCTATGATGTCTCACAGGATTAGTTCCATGTTTTTTATAAAACGCGAATTTTGAGAACTTACGTTGTACAGTTTTTATTCTCTCCTTATATTTGTAATGACAGGGATTCCACACTACACTGCAGTAATCAAATTTACTCCTCACCAAAGAAACGTTGACAAAACGTAGAGCATCAAATGATTTGAATTCTTTACTGGAACGGATCAAGAATCCTAGAGACTTCATAGCTTTACTTATAATAATTTGGATGTGATTGGAAAAAGTCAACTTTTGATCAAACTTTACTCCAAGATCATTGAATTGCCAACTCGAGATAGATGTGTGGTAGGTTATTCAGGTAATAGTCAAATGAAATTGGTACTGTTTTTCGTGTGAACAGTGAAAGGCTTAACTTTACTTTTGTTAAGGTTCAGAGAGAGTTTATTTCTAATGCACCAATCATTAAGCAAAGTAAGATCATGGTGTAATAGTTGGCAATCTTCGATCGATTTGATTTCTCTGTAGATTTCCATGTCGTCGGCATATAATAGCTTATTACTCTGTATACAATCACAAATATCAGTTATTAGAAAAAGTAAAGGTCCCAAATTTGACCCTTGAGGAACTCCAGAGGTTGCAGTGAAAGTAAATGATTTCACACCATCATATTCCACAAATAACCTTCTATTAGATGAGAATGAATGTAGAAATAATGGAATATTGTATGATATTCCGAAACGAGATAGTTTTTTCAGCAGTCGATGATGTGAAACATGGTCAAAATGCCTTTATACTACTTACATGTTGAACGTTCGCCATTGTTCAAGAAATGCACAGAACCAAATCCACTAGGATACATCATTTCATTAAGACGGTATACCGGGCAGTCCACTTTTGTGCCTATCCATTCTCAATAACTTCCGAAAGAATGGAAAATGGAACGTCGCACCGAGAAAAGTCCAGTTATACATGTCTCTATTCAAAAACTTCTTACAACCGCCAAATGAAACATTTTAACCCACGAAATGTCTTCTGATGAACGTGAAAAGTTCACGTTTTCAACGTGAAACAGGTCACCCTTTCAAATCACTCTTTTCGTTTCAAAAAGGTTATCTTTTAGATTCGAAATGAGACAAGATTATAGTTAAAAGATGGAAATTTGAAGATAATCATTTAAATCCTAAAAGATGTCATTTCACAGTTATACAATTATCATTTAATTTCATCCCTTCTACCATTTTCCATCTTTGTCATACTCTTTTACCTCAATGAGTCATCTCACTCACCTATGAACACTTGTTCGATGAGAATCGTTAGTCGTCTCCGGATTCCTGATATGAAAGGACATATTAGCCCGCGGCAGCTCGTGAACTCTTCTTGCAGAGTGATATTTTTTTTTTCGAAAAAGTGAAGTGGTTGAGAGATCGTCTAGAAATATTAGGGACATATTTGTTCATATATTCCCCAAGATTTGTTGAGGAACTACAGAATGTTGAACTGCCTCTGGGCGTTATAGTGTTTTCACGATATATCGGTAAGTGTATGTATCGGAATGTCTTCCAAATTGGAGAAACTTTTATTTTTTTAACTCACCTCACTATTCACTAAGTGGCAAAAGCTTGGATTTGAACAGTTTTATCGGTGATAGATTGTATTGCGTATACATTGTGTCCAAGATTAATGATTACTATCATGGGGATCTCGAAGACGTCGTAAGAAGAGTCTCTAGACGCTCTTTTGTTAAGCTCAAGTGGCAATAACGGTAAATAAAATAGAACGAAATCTGCGAATGTGAACTCTAATTTACTGACGATACTGTGTAATGACTTTTTTGGCCACTATGTTAACTAATAATCCAATGTACTGACGATGAGAACAAATAGTCCAAATTGGAAGCATTTTTGTCCTACACAAACTGAGATATTGTAAACTGAGTATATCGTCCTTGTGTGCATCAACGATCCCAATGTCCTGTAGTTCCTCAAAAAAACTTCACTTGGGGGTAAGTATATAAACCAAGTATATATGTCTTCAATATTTCTCGAAGAGTTTCAACCCACTTCATTTTTCTGGAGAAAAATGAATCATCCATACTGAAATACCATGCAATCATTTGACTATGAAATTGAAAGCAAATTATATTGATATGAGTATTATTTCATTTTTATAATATCACTATTCAATATTAAAATGCTTTTTATTTGACTATCAAATTGAAAACAAGTCAAATTCATATGAGTATCTTCTCATTTTTATAATATCATCGTATAGCATTGAAATGCTAGTCATTTGACCCCTATATGAGTGTCATTTCATTCTCATATAAGTGATATTTCACAGATGATTTTTTCGAAATGATGAACGTGATTACAGTGAAATGTGAACTATGCTGGCGCCTATTCAATTCAGAAATCTTTTAATGGTTATACAATTTCGTATAACAGCTAATAGATATTTCTCTCGGTGCGGAAACGATTTTTGATAGAATGATTCACTTTGATGAATTCTATAGAACTTGTTGAAAAAAATGCCTCACCTTTGAAAATACCTTGGATAGCTGAATATATTCAAATTACCAATTAATGGATATTTTTTCTAGTGAGCCGTCGAATATCACGAAAGCAACACTGCAACTCATCATACAGCATGATGATATACTCAGCTTGACTGAACCTGCTGTCGATATTATCAATATAACAAATAATTTGCAACTGCCCATAAATGTAACAGCAATAGGAGCAGGACATTGTGAAATTTATGGCAATATTTCAGATCCAATTTACAAGTGAGCAGGAACAAATCACCCAATTAAAAAGAGAACTAACATATATGCATAGTGCAATATTTCGAGGAGTTGAAATAGTTATTCATCTCCAGGTTGTCCCCTATTCCCTAACAGGTCTCTACAAAAACCTACAACATTTACTTCTGTTTGGTCAGAAGAATATGCGGTAGGTTTTAGTAGACATTCTAGGGACACCCTGTATACTATATGTATTCTCATTAATCTCACCTCGAATTATATCTGAAATTTTAGAAATTTTACTAGCGAGGCATACTTGAGGGTTACTGTATATAAAAATGCAGGTTTGGACACATTTTCCGCAGTGATAGGCTGGATCTACTTTGTAGCTTGGTCTGTCTCGTTCTATCCACAGATATATATCAACTGGAAGAGAAAAAGGTTCGTTCGATTGTTTATTCTTGATCTTCATTGGAAAAATCTAATCGATTTTGCATTTTTCAGTGTTGTAGGATTAAATTTTGATTTTATTATACTAAATGTAATTGGATTTACGTTATATTCCATATTCAACCTGGGACTGTATTTCATAACGGAAATAAAGGTGAGTTATAGTATAACTTTATTCTCTCAATATTATTATAGGTATGTTTGATACGACGCGTCTGAATTGCCATCCTACCAAAATTTTATTTTTTCACGAATATTTGCTTAATTTACAGTTGCAACAGCAAATTAAGGCATGTTTTGAAAAATCGAAGCCGATCGAAAGCAAAATTTGCGAATCAAACTTGACAGCTTAATATTATACCTTTATTATATATAGGTACGTATAGAAAGAAGCAATACCTTAGACTATTTTACATTGGAATAGTGGTGGACGATGACTTTACTTTACTACCTTACAATAATTTATGTTGACATGCCTGATACTATAGGCACGAATTAATACTATACCCAGAACGTGGATGCCGTGCCATGTGTATGCAATGTAACAAATAATCCGTGTGGTGAGAATAATCTACCTGCATTTACAGATCAGGTTTAGTAAATTTTGAAGGATGTTCGAATTGTAGTTTCAATATAAATACAACCACATTTGGGTATGGACCAGATGTCTAAAGTGGAAAATGTTACGTTAGTTAGCATATCAACAATAATAATAGCGATTATTCATTTATCTCCACACTCCACTGTGTTTGGCTCGGTAATCAAATGGAAGTAAACATCATCGTTGTGTGAGACGAAAAAGTATTGCTGGCCGTGATTATTCAGAAATCAGTTATCCATCTCGAGAATAACTAATGAAATACAGATCAAGGAAGTATGTGAATCTTGAAGGCTTTCTTGATAAAAACAAAATACTTAACTCTATAACTTCCTAGGATCTATAATAAAGTTCAACTTTAGCTCCTAGGAACAAAACGTGTTGCCTAGCAACATACCTATGTTTGTGTCAGTAATAGAAACGTCAATTCAAGAGCTTATTTCGGTAATAAAATGGACGACTTTTCTGCCTAGTTTACAGTTGCAACTGTAAATTAGAGCCTCATAGTCTCAGTTCTCACAATTTCTCACCAGGCTATCAGACATAAGCAGCTTTCTGTCTCGTAATTTTTGGTAATATTCTCCCAACTTGTCTCAAGGAAGCTATTATTATTTTTCATGTACCAAGGACGAAAAAATGCTTATTGAAGTTTAGCCTGCAGATCGATAGACGAAGACCAGCCGAGGCAGTTGCAACTGTGCCAATTTACAGTTGAAAATGTAAATTAGTGCTAATTTACAGTTGCAACTGCAAATCAGGATATATTTGAAAAAAGTTTCTTCTGCCTAATTTACAGTTGCAATTGTAACTTAGGCAAATATTCGTGAAAAAAAAAGTGTTTTCAGGATGGCAGTTCAGACGCGTCGTAGTTTGGCATTCACGATTCCATTTTCAATGATACCGAATGGGTTTCCTTGCTTCATTTTCTTTATATAAAATCCCTGTGGATCTCGGTCTAAGGTATACGACATTATATTGGTCAAACAAGTAGAACGTTCAATCACTGTATGCACGAACATCGAATGTAGTTTTTTAAAGACTTGAAATTTGGTACCTAGCATTTCCTACAAAATTTTTTTTTTCAGTCTTACCCCACTCTACTAGTTTGAAATTCACGATTCCATTTTCAATAATACTGAATGGGTTTCATTGCTTCATTTTCTACATATAAAATTCCTGTGGATGACATATTGGTCAAACAAGTAGAATGTTCAATCACCGTATTCACGAACATCGTATGTAGTTTTTCAAACACTTGAAATTTGTTACCTCGCAATCCTCGCATTTCCTACCAAATTTTTTTTCAGTCTTTCCCCACTCTACTGGCTGTACTAAAATTCGAATTGCATCGAGAAATTCGAGATTTAGTTCCACAGACTCCTTTATTTTGCGTTGATTTCAGACTGAATATTCGGAAAGATACCCCAGAGGCCTCAACCCAGTGAAAGTAAATGACATAGTATTCGCAGTACATGCTACCATCGCCACCATATTAACCATAATCCAGTGTTTTCTGTATGAAAAACAGGAACAGAGGGTGTCTATCACTGCCCGCTGCATTGTTGCAGTGTTTGGAGTGTTCATTGGAATCAGTATTATATTAGCAGGTGTTAATGTTATCCATTGGTTGGATTTCCTATACTATTGTTCCTATGTCAAACTTACGATCACTTTAATAAAGTATATTCCTCAGGTAAGCTATTATCCGTGTACAGCACCAACATAAATTACTATAACTAGACCGCTAATGCCCTAAGATCTCGCCTAAGATCGAAGCTCAGTCATTTTCGAGATCGAATTTGGTTTCAATGGATCTTGTGCGTTCAGGATCTGTCATATATTTTTCCTACGACCATCTATGAAAGCATGATATACATATACTGTGCTATAGCTTCTAAAGTATCTCATATCACCATAGCAATGCGAAAGAAAAAACGAACAGTGTTGGAATATTCCCGCACGCTCACGTGCATGGTCTCTGTTTGGCTCAACGATGTATGGATGATTATAATATTGATTATGATTGTAAGGTAATGGGAATATCATGTGATAGGTACATGGCGAAAATAAAATACAGGTAATTTCTGTACGAGTAGCTGAATTCGAAAAAATATGTTCCTATCTTTAGATTCCTCAATATCATGAGTTATTTTCGAAGGTTTTCATCTTGACTCAAACAAGCTATTGACAACCTGCAGACATTGATCAGAATATCAAAACATTTTGAATAATATCGGTTTGCTAATGATCTTTAAATTTCAAAGACTACCAAGTGTCGATATATCTCGAATTCATGTAACAGCCAACTTATTTTTTTTGAATGAAAAGCAATTCAACAGCGAATTAAGTAATAAATGCCACTTTGTGATACATGGTTGGATAGAGAATTTCAAGACGAAAAAGATAGACTGAAGAAATGTACAGGGTGACATTTAAAAAAAAGAAGTTGGGATCACTTCCGGTCAAACAGGTGATTGAAAAAAATTGTCGTTAAGTTCGTAAAGTGCGCTACCATTTATTATATACCCCTTGTGAAATTCAAAATTTTATCTCTTCAAATAAAAAAACTGCAGGCTGCTACATGTCTCCTGTGTCACCCGGTATATATAAATATATATACATGTAGTGAAAAACTACAAGTGTGTTGTTATGAGTTTAAAAGCCCAAGAGAGATATACATTACTTTCGGTCACATTTTTAGGGTTGATATGATGTTGAATTAATGTTAAATCGATGTTAAATTAATTTTAATTCGGGGTCAATTTGATGTTGAGTCAATTTTAAGTTTATATTGAGTCAATGTTACGTTAATCTCAAGTTAATATTGAGTTGACAAAACTCGTTGGAAAGTTTATTTCCTACGCTCGTCTCGTTTCCGCACTCGCGCGAAATATGTCATTTTCCACACTAGTCATGTAATATACAATAACTCACTCTTACTCATAATTCCGAATGGCAAAGAGACATGACTCAATGTCATGAACGACAGTTTGAGAGTTTTTTTTTCTATGTAATCATAATATGAATATTGTCAGGATCATAAAAACACTTGATGCTGGTCTAGAAACTCCTTTTCAAATAGTAAACAAAAAAATATATACATTGCCTATAAAAATATCGATTATTACCTGTTTGTGAACTATTTGAGTAGGTAAAGCCTCGAAAAATGTACTCATATTAGACATAATTTAGGATTCACCTTTCACGTTAACAAAAGTGCCAAATTGAATTCACTGAAATATACAGACGCAAAAATTATAAAGTCGAAACATTTTTAAACTTAGTATTAGTTTTTATGTGAAATATATATGAAACATAATTCATATAAGTTGTCAATATTTCCATTAGTTTCTCAATAAATACATGTTTCTTGTAGGCCTACATGAATTATAAAAGGAAAAGTACAGTGGGATGGAGTATAGGCAACATTTTCTTAGATTTCACTGGAGGATCATTGAGTATGCTACAAATGATTCTTGATTCCTATAATTATGGTGAGTATATTACAAAGACAGTGGAATGGTTGTTAATTTTCAAACATTTCCTTCTACTTTCTTTTCAGATGACTGGGTGTCTATTTTCGGAGATCCAACCAAATTTGGATTAGGACTATTCTCTGTGGCTTTCGATATATTTTTCATCATTCAGCATTATATACTTTATAGGCATTCAAATTATGAAGAGAACTAGGTGAATAAGAATAACAAACGCAATCGCAAATCGCAAACGTCATCTAATGACATTGCGACCGCGAATTGTTTTGTTTTTTCAATAATACGACTGGATCTATTGTAATGGAATATATTTTATTATTGCATTCTCTTGAGTTGTTTCTCTAATGGTATGTTCACCCTGTAACTTTTTCAAGCCTTGTTAGATATTTGTGAAATTTCGATCAAATCGTAGATTATTGCTCTGGAATGTTAGCCTGAATATTAGTTTTCGTGGAAAGCTAATGACTTGATCATTATACAGGGAAAACCCAAAGTTACTCTTTCACCCTTTATTTCTTAACGCCCTGTGGCGAAATTGAGAAGTTGAACTTGGCTTTATTATGCTTTGGATCAAAGTGTGATCCCTTTATAACACAATAGTTTTTGATTCAGGTCAATATCTTATTTTTAAGAGAAGATACCAGTGTTTTAAGAAAGTATCGGATTTTTCAACTTTTATTAACAATAATTAGAACCTACATGAACCCAGTGATCAAAAACTTGAAGAATACTTATTTCTACCTCATTTTCTTACTAGCACTTACCGGAATAAAGATCCCTAACAACAAAAAACAAACAGGGAGCAGACGTGTAGTCAATAACGAGTATATGCCCTCGTCAAGGTTCAATTGATCAAATTTCTCAAGTAGTCTTGTAGAGTTGCCTAAAATTCTCCTTGGAGGGCAAAACGTAGGTCTTGAAAAGTCTCTGACAAGGCCGAACGAAAGCGAATGAGCCTCTGGAGTTCATCCCTAAGATGCTCTATATATAGGTTCTGAATTAATGTTGATGAAAATTGAAAAATTCCATACTTTCTTGAAACACATGTACATTCTCTTAAAAAGAAGAAATTGACGTGAATCTAGAAACGTTGTGTTAAGAATGGACGAAAAAGGATCACACTTCAATTCAAAACATGATGAAGCAGAAGGTTGGAGGATGGTTCTGATATATTGTTAATAAAAATAAAATGAATTCATACCCTCTTAACACACTAACTTGTATCTTCCCTTAATAATTTGTTATCGATAAATCGAAAACCATTTGTGTTAAGAATGGATCACACTTCAATCCAAAACATAATGAAGCTACGTTTATCCACTAACCCTCGCCTCAGGGTGTTAAGAAGTTAAAGGTGAGAGAGTAACTTTTGTTTTTCCCTCTGTACCTATGAAGATCAAGTCATCAGCTTTCCTCACAAACTAATATTCAGGCTAACATTGCGAAACATGAATATTCGATTTGGTCGAAATTTCACGTGTATATAGAGTAAATAAATAGTTGAAAGAGATTTCTTTTGCTTTATTTCCTCTCGCACATTCTAAGGAACCAATGTCAAATCGACAATTCAAAGAGGATCATTCGGATAAAATATCTTATTGTTTTCGGATATTAGTTATTGTGAATTACGCAACAAGATAAAAATATGAAATATTTCAAGTTGAACGTGGCAGCACCGCAAAATTTCGTAGTATAGACACGCAATATACTCGTATAGTAAAAAATGTCATTTGAATGAAAGTTAGTTAGAATATATCCTAACCTGACATTTCACAGGTAGGTAGAAATTCGGTTTAGTGGCGTTCTGAACGTTTCTGGCTACTACCAGAGGCGTACGACAGGGGCAAGTGAGAGTGGTTACTTTTTCCCAAATTCTACGCCTCTGGTCCAACAACACTATATTTACGTAAATAATATATCATACTCTTTCTTCATAGCTATTAAGTCATTATTTTTGGACTAAATGAAACATGAATAAGCTGCCCAATTATTTTGATTTTAATGTGCTGTATTAAAATTATGTCAGTGTCTTGAGTATATGGATTGCATTCATTACGAGAATCAAATTCAAAAATACTTATTAACAAATAAAACAAACCTATATACACCTATATACCAACTTAATGTTAGGTATCAATCGAAATTTCTTGAAACAGGAAACACCCTGTAACTGGTATAAAGGAGACACATTTTATCTAGATGATTTGGGTTAATATTTTAAGCTCTGGATTCTATAGTTGAAATATTTCAAATATTCCAATTAGTAGGTGTAATGAAACACCCTGTATATATCGTCTACAGACCATGGTGAGGTTACGAGCCGCCACTGGTATCTGGTAAACTTTTGATATGGTTCTCGGAGTTTAATAAGATCCTTGTAAAATATAAAATTTCAAAAACTTTTCAACGTGTATTTTCATGACATAAATCGATTTTTGAGAAAATTGAGATGATTCTACTTGCAAAAATACCCAGTCCTCAAGATTCTATGAAAAAACACACGAAACACGAATAAAGAGCTCCCCAGGAGGGCTGGAGAAAAAATGTTCATCGTGTATTTCATGAGATGTCGATTTTTGTAAAAATTGAGATCATTTGACTCGTAAAAATACCCAGTCTGCAAGATTTTATGAAAGAACACACGATATAGTAAAGTCCTCCCCAAGGGGGGATGGCAGTGAAAAAAATCAGAAAGTTAATATCGTGTAGTTCGAAAAACAACAATTTTGTTTGCCGGAATTGGCCAGAGATTCCAGTCCTCAATAAATTATATACACACCCCGCTCCTGATGTATATACCGGGTGACACAGGGTATCGGGCCACCCCTGTAACTTCTGCATTCGTCAACGGATTTTTCTGAAATTCGGTACAGTTATATAAGCAATTATTTCGGATTTGATCACATTACAATCCAATATGGCAGACTTCCGGTATTTCTGGAAATGCCAGCAACTTTGTTTTTTCAAATGAAACACCCTGTATATTTTTACATATTCAAGTTCAACAGGTGCTATCTTTATTTCAAATGTCATTTTTTCGAAAAAATTTAAATTAAAATTGTTTTTTCATTTTACCTCGTGGATAAATGAGATGTGGTCACTATTCACAATGAGTCACACATAACAGAAGAACATAATTTTTTCTGAAAAATTATTTTTTGTGTCACTTATCCAGGAATCAATTCAGCCACATCACTTTTGATAAAAAATTATTTTTTTTTCAAATGGAACCCCTATGGGCCACCTACTCGTCTCTCTAGAACATACATTTAAGGAACAAAATGACATATCATTTTTGTATTTCGGTGCAGTAACAAATTATATACATTCAAAAATCAACAACTAGTTCATGAATTTCCTTGCAGTTAGAATAATTTTTCAACTAGGTAGGCTGTGGAATAAATTACATTTGACATTAAGATTGCACTTGTTTTGACCTGTTGAACTTGAATATGTAAAAATATACAGGGTGTTCCATTTGAAAAAACAAAATTGCTGGCATTTCCAGAAAAACCGGTAGTCCGCCATATTGGATTGTAATGTGATCAAATCCGAAATAGTTGCTTATATAACTGTACCGAATTTCAGAAAAATTACAGGGGTGGCCCGATAACCTCTGTCACCCTATACCTACTTTATTAGTCCTCACACTACTCCTAACCTGACTCCCACTTTTAGTCCTATTCGCTGGCACCTATCGGACTTCTTGAAAGTTGTCAAAGCCACTTGTTTGCTTTGTTTTCATTGGTTCATATTGTTTTGTGTTTGTGCTTATTGCTCATATCATCAAAACAAAGCGGTCAGAAGTGTTCAAGTAGTTGCCATTATAGGAGGGGGACGTGTTGTTTTCATATGTTATTTTCTATCGCGAATCCTATTTCGTCATATTTCATCTGAAGGTGTCCCAGAATAACGTCCGTATTTTCTCAACAAATCAACATCATCATGAATTAGGTAACTCTAATAAAACAAAAATATATTACTGAAAATGAAATTTCAATTATCAAGTCGTAAGTTTTTCAGCATGGCGGAGTTTCACGCGCTCAAAATGATTGTGAATGTTTTTGGACATCAAAATAAAAAATTACACTTCTCGAAAACAGTTCGTTTCAAAGGCATTATCAACCAGAATAATTTTTCTATATACCGGGTGTCAATAACGAATCTATTAGACAAGTCATAACTTCTAGACCACTAGGTGTATCAAAATGAGATTTGGTATAGGTAAATATGGTTATGTCGAGAGGAGAGTTTTCACAAATTTTTCACTTTTCGGTCACTTCCGGTTTCACTGGAAATGGCTCCGGTTCTAAATTTTTAAATGGAACATCCTGTATATTGTAACATTTTTGGATTTCTGAGACAATTTTAGATCAGAATGTAACATTTTCCGAAGTTTTTTGCCTACTTAATTTTTTCGGAGTCACTTTTGAAATTACATCTAGGTGGCCATGATAATTCGGAAGTAAACTAATCTAATAAGGACCTCAAGTGATATCAGAAAATCACAATCGCGAAGTTTTAGTGACAAGTATGAAATATATGAATAAGACAAGTTGGCAAAATTATATTTTCGTATATCTAACTATTTTTTTTTCAAATGGCGACCATTTTTTGACAAGCACTTTCCAAAAAAAGGATACTAATTTATTTGCGATTGAATTACAAATAAGAACACCCTAACAACACAGGGATGTCCTAGGTGCGTCCCTTTTTTGTCCCGCGGTACAAGGAAATGATTGGGACATCCAGGGGATGTCCCGCCAGTAGTTGTCCAGTGGACATCCCACCCGGTACATCCCTAGGTTATCCCATTCGTGTCCCTAGAATATCTGATATCCATTCTTCACATCAGAGAGTCATTCAATATCATCAAAATATTGAGTCGAATTTTTTCGAAAATGTATTTCTTCCGGAAAATATTTGTGATGAAAATGAAGAATATAGTCTCAAAACTTCTCAAGAAATGACCATTTTTCGCAAACAGAGATCGTAAATGCATAATGCCCCTCATTTTCAAACACCCAAGAATGATAATAATTATACCCGAATCCTAACAGTTTTATTTATCCAGGTTTCTGTAGTTGTCCTGTTTATAAATCTGTTCAATACATGAATTTTCAGAAGGCATATTGGCCAATGGAGTAAGGTGCGTGCCTGATAAGCTGAAGGTCCCGGGTTCAATCCCAACTAGACCTACATTTTTTTTTCTTTTGTCGAAGGGATGTCCCTGGGATATCCTTGGGACGTCCTAGGGATATCCCTTCTCCAAGGGACGTACCAGGAGGGACATCCCTTGGATGTCCTTTTTGTCTGAAAGCGGATGTCCCTGGGACGTCCCTAGTATGTACTTTGTCCCAGAAAAGATATCCCTGGGATGTCCTTATTTGAAATTAGGGACGTCCCTGGGAAGTCCCTAGGATGTACTCGTGTTGTTAGGGCATAAATTAAATATTACTGATGAAACATATTTATAAACATAAAAACTTTGGAAAATGTCACATTCTGATCTAGAATTGTCTCAGAAATCCAAAAATGTTACAATATATGGTGTTCCGTTTAAAAATTTAGAACCGGAGCCATTTCCGGTGAATCCGGAAGTGACCAGAAAGTGAAAAATATGTGAAAACTCCTTTTGACATACCATTTACCTATACCAAATCTCGTTTTGATACACCTAATGGTCTAGAAGTTATGACTTGTCTAATTGATTCGTTGACACCCGGTATATATAAACGTTCTTGGAAAATATCATATAATATATTATTTTGGTAGAAAAAATGGATCTTGAAACGAAAACTTTTAGCATTGGTCACGGGTTGCATATCTCCCTGTATAATATATGAGTATACGAACGTTATTCTGGGACACCCTGTATAAAGATATCAATCTTTTATGGTACATCGTGTAATCCTGTAGTTTCCAATAAGAAGACGTAAAAAATATAAGAAGAAGAACTGAATGTCAAGTGTCACAATACTTTGTGACACTTGACATTGACACAAATTCCAAATCGAAAGGAAGAAGTTGAACATAACCTAATTTGTCAATTTTTACTTTTTAGTGATTTTACTTTTTATAGTTTCTCAAGACCACAGTCAAGACAAGATAAAAAGTTCATCTTTCAGTGTCTCAAATTATGAGTCATTATTCGTTCTGCCTTCAAGGTAGTAGAAACATTTCTTGAAAAAGTTTAGTTATAAAGATATGTCTGAACAAGAAAGCTATGAAAACATTCCAACTAATGAAGAACTTGTAAATGACGTTGCCAAAGGTCTAGAGAGTCAGTTCTGTTTGAATAATGAAAATGATCCAGAAAACCCCAAAAGAAATGCCACAACAATAGTAGACAGTGACAGAAATATCGGAATTCCAGAAAATTTCGAGGATTCAGACACAGACAACCAGGAAGATCAAAAACCTGAAGATTACATTGATGAAGAGCTTTTGAAAGATTCAGAGTTGTCTCTATCTGATGAAGAGAAAGAAAAAAGATGCAAAGAAGCCTCAGAGTTGAAAAAACAAGGAAATGAAGAATATAAAACAGAAAAATATTTAGAATCTGTCTATACATATACAAAGGCTCTAAGAATATGTCCTCTGAAATTTGAAAATGATAGATCCATTCTGTATGCAAATCGAGCAGCATCAAAAATTGTATTGAACAGAAAAGAAAGTGCAATTGAAGATTGTACAAAGGCTATAGAACTCAATGATAAATATGTTAGAGCATATTTAAGGAGAGCTAGGCTATATGAAGAAAGTGATAAATTAGATGAAAGTTTAGCAGATTTCAAGAGAGTTCTAGAATTTGACAAAGGCAACAAAGATGCATTACAGGCTCAATTGAGATTGCCTCCTTTGATTGCAGAGAGAAATGAAAAACTCAAAACAGAAATGCTGGGTATGTACTTTTAGTCTGTGTTTCAGTCATGAACTTTTAGTGGATAGTCAGCAACACAAATGTAGATACAGAGACCTTCAGTCAAGCCTCCAGTACTTTTTTGATTGAGAAGCATATATTTTCAATCTAAGTTGGAAGTAAAATAATATTCAATTATTCATTATAATATTCTTAGCCTACTTTGTTCAGGTTGTAGGTTATATTAGTTCACATACAGGTTTCTTTCTGAAACCACTAATAATCATGATTTATCAAAATAATATTGACTAGTATTTTCATCCTTTTGAAAAAATTAATTAATCAATTATGTCCACAGAAATAATTTAAGTCAATTCATCTGGAAACAAATTTTTTGAAATAATAATTGAATATAATGAAGTAATATAATGATGAGCAAGCATTTCAAGTTAGTCCAGGTGTATATCTGTATTTTTTTTTTTTTTTTAGGGAAACTGAAAGATTTGGGGAACATGATTTTGAAGCCATTTGGTTTATCTACTAATAACTTCCAGCTGAATCAGGACCCAAATAGTGGTGGCTATTCAGTTAACTTCACACAAAATCAACATTAATGCTTTTTAAAGTCTATGTTGCTTCATATGATCAGGCATATCCTTGATATTGTGATTGTAACTTTCAAACCAAAAATTGAGGAAGGTACTTTGGTATTTGAATTAATAAATCCCACATGCAGAAGAAATTGGACTGCACATATTTTTTGCATAATGTAAATATTTGTTTTGGATGACATGGATCAAATGGTCTCAGCTGGTAAGGCAAGCTTGTGGCAATATTCATAGAGTAAGGGAAATACAGGTCATCAAAACTTTTTTTTATTTTTTTTTATAACAAAATTGCACTCCAAAATGCATCCTCAGTATATCCTTTATATACAATATTTTTAATAATGACAATTTGAGAAAACTATTCTATAATAATCAGCCTTGATGGTACATGGGCAACTAGACAAGAACCAAAAACATGCAAAATTTCCCCAAACTTGGTAATAAAACAGAGGGACAAAGATTCCATGTGATAACATCATTTTCTCAATCTCCCCCAATAATATAAAAATTGATGGCTGAATGAAAAAAAAACTTTGTAATAAAACAAGAGTGACAGTAGCAAAAATATCCATATGATTACATCATGTTGTCCACCTGTCTCCCAATAATGGGATAATTATTATTGGCCTGATGTCTAGATCATAGTGGATTTAAAAACGGTGATTACTAAAAATGGCCACGGGAAGGCAATTATATTCAAGGTATAAGGTGTAATGCTCAACAATGCCGTCACACTTCACAAAATGCAACACTTTGTTGAATAGCAGCAACCTCAGCATCTAGTATCTATTTTTTTTAAATCAATAATTTCAACTATAGCTTAAAGCATGGTTCTATCTCACTCTCTTGCTTGATATTTACTTCCAAAAACTCAGAATGTTAAATGCTGTCACACTTCACACAATGCAAAACTATGTTGATAGGCAGCAGCCTCAGCATCTAGTATTATTTTCTTCAACAATAATTGCAAGTATAGGATAAAGCATCGTTCTATCTCAGTCCCTTGCTTGATATTTACTTCCAAAAACTCAGAATGTTAAATGGCGTCACTGCAATAGTTCATTTCAGAAATATTTCAATGATAATTACAAGAGTATATGGTTGAAAACTTTGTGTTTCTATTACATTTTCCTTAAATCATTCCGAACAAGGTTGAAAATTCGAACGTGGTTAACATAAACACGCGCTGACGTCACGAATATTGACCTTGATGCCTGACTGAACAATCCATGAGCCATTCTTGGTAAATCATTGCTAATTATTCCTGCCCCGCATCCCCCAATATTACACCTCTTCCTGCTCCATTCATGATCCTCCATTCACCAACAACAATAAACTTTGGTGAACAACTGATGTACCTAATCCAAAAATGTAAAAATGTCCAATAATCATCTTCCTATTCAGCCAACATTAATCATAGTTTCATATCAACTCATTAAATCAATTCTAATCCAAATTATCATCTTCTGATGGTTTGGGCGGTGGTGGGGCAGCCCCACCCATTCCTGCTCCAGGAAAACCTGGGAAACCTGGGAATCCTGGGAAGCCTGCTCCAGCGCCTGCTTCCCCAAACCCTGGAAAGCCCATTCCTGAACCGGAAAATTTACTGGACAATTTAGACACCAATGCCATCACCTTTGGATTGGACTGATATTTCACAAAGTTGGCTGGGTTTGTTGAAATGTCTTGGAATGCAGCTGCTACCTCAGGATCCTATGAAATGGGATGATATAATCGAGATTAGGTTGAAATATACAGAGTGACCCATTTGAAAGCACATAATTTTATTATCTATGGAGCGATTTTCACGAATCTTTTTTTAAATATAGAGGGGGGAAAGGTGCGTTCACTTTGCTAAAAAACCATCATATTTTGATGCTGAAAAAGCCAGAATTCATATTAGTGATTTTTTCAGAAAAAAAAACGCGTACACCACTGAAATCGGCGTTCTTTGAAAGGAATCTGTACCAAGTATCATGAAAAAAAATATCCAACATTAAGAAATCTACAGCATGTCTCATTTCAAACAGCTCCCCCTCTGTATCTCAGCTATCAGTCATGCGATCTTTACCAAATTGGGACCAGTATGAATAAACCATCAATTTGATCAGTTGTTTAGAGACGAACATCCTTTTGGACAGTGCCGTGCATCTTTATTCAAATAAAACGATTTTCATGAAAACATTAGGATTTTTTTTGCAAGAAAATAACTTCATATTATTGTTCCTCATGCTTTAAAACCTCCATATGGTCCATAGCTACGGTAGGTAGAAAATCGTGATTTGAAAGAACATTAGTATGATACAGTCTAAGGAATATTCCCATGATATCAGATTTATTCTAATTTTTCACATTAAGAAGAAATTTCATCCCAAAAATTGATTAAAATATGAGAAAAAAAAACAAGTACACCACTTTAAAACAATTTGAATGATTGAATTCTGTGTGATTGTGCCTACCACATGGAAATTTTAACAGATATGACATCAGATTTGCTACAGTGTAGTACTTTGGGTGGAAGACGGGGTCTAACCTCAAATTTGATTTTGATCCCTAAATTTATTAGAGCCATGTCAGCTTTCTCAGTATTTGAAATATTTGCACTAATTTCAATGCCACCCTGTATAGAATCCCCTCCAACTCTCCCAAAACTGGATTAACATAATTTTTGGAGTAAAAAAAAGAAGAGAGCCTAAAAGAACAGGGTTATGCCAGTTTTCAGATGATATGATCTGTTTTTATGACCACAATTTCAGATAGTCTTTTTTTTACCCAACTTACAGTGGCTGTAGCTTTCCATTGAACTTTGATTCACCCTGTATATGATCCATTCAAGATATTCTCAAATACTTGTTGGGAAATGGAATAAAGAATAAATAAATAGAGGAAAAACTATGACAATTGGTAGGGAATGGAAGGGATAAAAGGCTATGAAATGAATGATTGAAACAATGGAAAATATCTCATTTGTAGGAAATTACACCAACTATTCCCTAGAAGATGACTTAAGTTTTGCTGGTACTGTACCTGAAAAGCAGTCATTATCTCAGGATCTTGCAACAATTTGTAGAAATCCCCCATTCCAGGAACACCACCAGCTCCTGATTCAGTAGCAGAAGGCATCTCCTCATCTTTGTGCTTTGCTGCTGCCTCAGCATGGGCCTCTCTTGCCCTCCTAACCCTTTCAAATCTTTCAGTTTCCTCTTTCTCCTTCTTCTTGCGTTCTTTCTTTAATGAATGTTCTTCAATTTTCTTTGCATTTGGTGTGACTTCCTTCAACCATTCATCAATTTGCTCATCAAAATCAATGGTACAAGCTTGCCTGAGATCCTTAGCTGCTAGTTCCCATTCACCCAGCAGTCTGTAAGCTCTACCTCTGAATTTGTAAGCAGTTGCTGAATCACAATTCAATTCCAAAGCTCTTGTGCAGTCTCTGATACATGCATTTGGCTTGTTGAGCTTCAGGTATGCTTGACCTCTCTTGGCAAACAAAAGAGCACTGTTTGGGTTCAACTCAATAGCTTCAGTGAACAATTCAATGGCATTTTGGATGTTTCCCTCTGATAGCTGAGACATGGCTTCAATACGTTTCTCATCGGCTTTATCAGACTCTTCCTCAGTGATTTCCTTGGAAGCATCGCCCATTTTCTGATTGTCATCTAACTTATCTGGTTCCACACAGCCCGTCATGTCCAACTCTAGATCTGACTCGGGATCTGATTCAATATTGTCTTCGAATGATTCTTCAGGTTCTTGTTTGGGTTCTGCTTTCGGACCAGACATCTTGGGCAACTCGGGAATATAGCCACCCAAAGATTGAATATAATCTTTGAAGAATTTCAAATCTGGTAGGTGAAGGATGTCAGGATTTGATTTACATACTTGGATGAATTGTTTCAATTTGTCAATAGCCTCTGAATTTATTGGACAACTCATTTTTGATGATTGTGGAAATTCTCGAAAAAATCTAGAAGCCGGTCAAACTACGTCACAAGTGGAGAAAAACAGTTGGGGAGTTCGGTAATTCGGTAAACAAAAACATAAAACACCTAATTATCTTGCGGACACCTTGTCATGCGTCATGTTGTCAACGACTGTCACATTCAAAATGTCAATGGTTGCCAACATTTGAATAATTAAATTTGGGTGGTGTTCAAGATTGGTAAACTAACTTAACTAACCCCGCACCATGCACTGCAGTCACTGCACAAGTCTCGTCTTCTGCAAGTGCAGGGAAGTTGGATCCCTTCGATTTCCAACTTCAACGTGGCATATTATTCAAGTTTTACAAATTTTCACAGGTTGTGTTGAAATATCGTGATCGAATGATCGTGATATCTCAATCGTGATGATACAGAAATTATGAAACCTCCTGTCTTGACTGTCTATTAGTCACTACCTAATATTATCAATCTCAGTTACTATGGAAACCGCCAATGCTGACAAATTCACAAAATTGGAAATTTCAAATCATAATGGGAGAATTTTTAGGAAGAGCTGGAATTTTCTTTGATGAAGTAGATAGAATATGCATTTTGGAACCTGAAGTATCCAAACTAACCAGTGATCTGAAAGAAGAATGTCAAATATATATAGAAAGTTAGTACGAAAAAAATATGAGCCTGGCTTATTAGAGCCGGCCAAATCGGGGAGAAAATTGAAGCTTGTGCCTCTGCTTCCATGCACTTACATGATAATAAAATTCTGTTGTTTCAGAGATTGACGAATTTCAAAAAATCGTAAATAAATTTATAGCAATGGTTGATCAATTGGGTGAGGCAGTGGAAAGGAAGAAAATAAAAGCAATTGGAGCGCGAAATATCTTACAAAGTATGGAAAAAGAAAAAGAGACTCATCATCATCAATTACAGGTATGTTCCATTCCTCCACCACTAGAAGTAACTAATATTTGATTCACCTTGTGCAGGCCTTGATTGCTGAAAAATCTATGGAGCTGGAACGACTGAAAATTCACCTCAACTCATTACAAAAAACAGAGATGGAGCAGAACGAGGTGATAAATGAATTAACACATTGTTAAAAAAGTATTTATTATTTCAACTTGAATGCTAAAATGAAGCAAGTAACTATACTTAATTTACAACATTCTGATTTTATGAACCATCATATTTCAATGAAAAAGTATGATGTGCTTTTCTGTGAAATGGTCATTTGTCAAAAATATACATGTTTCCTCTTATTTATGACATAAAAATCAGAAATTCAAATAGTTAAATATGGTTCAATAATACACAATACATTAACTAAAATAATTATTACATTCAACATAAAAGTACCTACATTTATGATACAAAACGACCATTGACCACCACAGTTATGTTCAACTGAAGGCACATCGACCTGGTCTTTACATAAAAAGAAAACGTGATCAAATAATTTAAAGGTTGCTATAAAAATAAAATTCAATACAGCATTTGCTCAAGATTCCATATTACATTCTGAGAGCAGATTCATATGCAAGCTCTACATGTCTTGTGTTAATGCACATTGCCATCTGATAGGCTGTAGAGTTGAAAAGCGCTGAGTGTTTATTGGAAGGTCTAAAAACTTCAATTTATTTTCTAGAAGAATAGCATATATATTATTTCGTCAAAAGTTTCACGTTTTGTGGGAAGCCTGTTTTACATGTTTCAGGGTTTCCTTCTCTGATAGTAATAAAATAGCATAAGATATAGTGATCAATTTTTTTTTTTTCGGAAATATACTAGAAATGAAGGAGCCATCTATTATTATTACTTTGTAGAAATGATAAAGAGAAAGAAACCCAACTCAATGGATACATAAAACACAAATAACAGAAAAGGCTTGCCACAGAACGTGAAACTCTGAGAAAATATGTTCTTTTTCCATAAGAAAGTCCAAAGTACTGAACTTTTCGAATACTGACCTTAGAAAGCATATTTTGATTCTAAGGGCAATTAGAAGGCAATGTACAGTAAGCCAAAACACTAAAATATTGCATATCAATCCACCTTGATGCTTCAATTTCAGATTCTCCAATATGGACACTAATTGTTATAATTGTAATACAGGGTGCCCCATTATCCCATAAATATAAGGCAAACATTCAGAATTCAGTAGGTAATACAAGAGAAAATAATATAATTGATTTTTGTTTCCTTAAGCGGTCCATTTCGGAGATACAAAGAGACCGACTTACGGAAACAAAATTGAATCCACAGTATTATCTCCCTTGTACTTCTTAATTTTTCAGTTTTATGCCATGTACTTATAAAGACACCATCTTTATTACGGCTGATCAAAATGGTAAAAGTTACAATAATTATTAAATTGTTTCATGAATAATGAGAATCATACTTTGTGGTTGCTTCACAAACTCGTCCAACCACACGGAATAATAATGAAACCGACCCTAAAAAAAGATAAATAATCAAATTGAGTCTCTATACAGACACCTCCTAAGAATAAAACTGCAACTGAAAACATATTTATACAAAACAACTGAAACGTACCTATCAACTAGCTTAACTTTTCGAATTCGACCCGGTCACACCTTCACACCCCTGTTTCTCTGGAATTTTCCCCAGTCTTTGCTCTTTTCGAATCCTTTTCGAGTAGTTCCGGCGAAGCGGATCTTTTGAGAATGTTCGATTTGAATTGTACTATTATCGCCGTCATGTTATCACAGCCCGTACCGTCTCCCATCGTATTGGGCGCCAAGCAATGGTCGAACATCTGAAAAGGGAGAGACAGGCACGTTCACTTTTGAACAATAAAAATTCGCCAACACAACTGTGATTGCAGTCATTTGACCGAACCTTTATCCTCAACCAACAAAACCTTCATCAAAAATCTAATGTAGTATACCTCGGAATCACGTCTGACATCTCGTTTGATTAAATAAGGATAGATAAACACCGTGATTCATTCATACCATTGAAAAGTATACTCTGACAATCCTAAACACCAAACATGGATAAATGAATGAAAGCGCGAATGGTGGGGATAACTGCGGAATAATTGTCAGAGCAACAGAGGCATCAATACCCAAACAGATATGATGGGGATTATTTCTGAACTGCAGTGAACATACCATCAACGAATCTGAAGTTACAGAAACATCAGAAAAATATGACACCATCATCCTCTTGGTGCACCGATGCCGAGCGACCGGTTGAGGCCCCATCACAATATTGAATATATTATCATAAGCTTACGTCCGTAGAAATTTGTTAGAGGCACCGCACCATATTTACTAAACATCCGTATCACATGGTGGATTCATGCAGCGATCGTAATCGCAAGTCTTAGTCGTGAATCGTAGTCTTAAGAGGAACATTGATTCATTCATGTCATTCCTACTAGAAAATTAATTATACTTTATATATTATTTGTATGAAATGTATCAATGAAGAAAAGAATGTAATGCAATAACTGAAATAAATAAATAAATAAATAATTCATGAAACCGAACAAACACCTAATCGGTTCTAGCGAAGCGGATCTCTTTAAATGTTCGTGCCTGTAGGTTAAGATCGCCCAGTATTAGGGTTGAGTGGAAGAGCAGCTGTCGATTTATCGGCGAGTTGAACTCTGCCTTTTGTTTCATTGAGACAATAAAAGCATTTATTATTATTATTATTATTATTCGAATAAATTGCACTATTATCGCCGTTATGTTATCACATCCCGTGCCGTCTCCCATCGTGTTGGGTACCAAGCAATGGTCGAACATCTGAAAAGGGAGAGACAGGCACGCTCACAGTTGAACAATAAAAATAACACAACGGCAATCGCAGTTATTTGACAGAACTTCTGGCGGAGCTCGAGTAACGACCACGAGTCACGACCACGACTGCAATAGAGAAGTTCAGCTGGGGTTGACAGAAGAAATATTCCCCTTCTTTCTTTGTTTCCAGGCTTCCAACGTGTAATACTGAAAGATTGATGTTGGTAACACAAAGCTCTATGTACGACAATGAGTTGTGAAATAACTCAAGTTATATCTCAGAACAAAACGTTCTTCAGTTGACTACTAGACTGAGAACAGAATTTGATATTTGTGTCGCCAATGAGAACAATATCTGATGTTGCTTCTGCGTGGCGTCCTAATGTAGCCGAGGATCATCTATCATCTACATTAAACAGAGTGGTCCAACGAAAAGTATGCACCTAGATTTTCTCCTTTGTTTAGAATTGAAAGCAAAAATGCTCGGACACGTGGAGTTTGCTTTGGATGGGGACACATTCTAGAGATATTTTTCAACCTGTGCCTAACGCCCCAGCGAGGGGTGTCACAACCCTAAAATTTTAAATGGAAAGTGGGGTCGAGTGATATATCATTTGAACGGGCACAAAATTATCTTTCTAATGATACCCTATTTATTGAAATTCACTCAAACAGTTGATGCGAAAACGGCTTAACCAGATAATTTTGGTGTTAACTAAAAATACAAATAAGTTTTGGTTATTAGGAATCAAAATATTCACAATTAGTAGTACTTACATTTCAATGTTTGTTACTTGTAACAGTGCTTTGTAAAAAAAGTAAACAAGCTGTTAAATTTGATTTGCAGACCACACCAAACGTGTAGGTTATAAATGACATGTCAGGATTTCCAACTTCAGAAACATTATTTTCATACCATTGTTGCCATTCCGTTCTTGAATGTGTGACGAATTGAGTAGTGAAAACTAGATGTCACTAAACTTAATGGTACAGTGCATACAGTGAATAAAACAAAAAAGAACATTGAAAATTCTCAGATTAAAAAATGTCCGGGAAAATAACCAAGAAAAAATCTCACCTCTTCGCAAATGACGGACAGCTTCTCCCTCTCCCCCAGCATAGGTCGCACAAAGTCCACCACCTCCTGGCTGGACATGAAGTTCCAGATGCCGTCGCACGCCAGCACCATGAACTCGTCCTCGCCGGGGTTCACCGTCAACGTTTTCACGTCCGGCAACGCCGTGATCATCTGCTCTCTGTCCGACAGCTCCTTGTTCTGCTTGTAGGCGTGGTCGCCGATAGCGCGCGACAGGTTGAGGCCGCCGTTGACGCGGCCGTCTGACGTCACTTTGCCGCCGGCTTTCACTATTCGGTCGCGCTCGGGATCGTCCTCGGGTTTGTGGTCGAAGCTCATGTCGATGGCGTTGCCTATAAACAAAGATCACTGATAAGTGAGTAGAGCATCACGACAAAATTACAGATCGAGCAGTGTTCAATCTCCAAGTATAGTCCTTCTATTTCTAATTGGAACAGCATGAAAAATATAAAGTATACCAGGTTTGTTCGTTTGTAGATCACCGAATGTGGAATGCAAATATGTTATAATTGTGTTCAATCTGATTAACAGTACTGGTATAATAACCGCGTGAAACCTGCGGTCGGAGCCCAATATTCTGAGTCGAATACCGGCTGTAGAAATATGATGAATTTTAGCTGTGACTGGAATTCGTTATCTGACGCGGATGGTTCTGCTAATTTCTTTCAGTCAGTGTCGTGCGTTTGCGAAACGAACATAAATCTATTATTATATATTGATCAACAAAAACACGCAAAAGTATACAATAAGTCAGGATGGCTTTCAATAATAGTGAATTAGTGTCGAACGAAAATGATTATGAAAATAAGGGCTTACAAGTTCAAAGTCTACGTATCGTTTTGAATATATATGAATGCCTGAAGAAAGCAAATTGCTAACAATCGCAGAACGATATTTCGAAGAGAATTTGCGAGTTAACAACTATCTCGTTCAACAGTTCCTCGAGTGATTGAAACTGGGGATGTCATCGACCACTCTATAAAACGTAAACAAAGAAACAAAAAATTTGCAAAAACTGATGAAGCTACGAAAGATGTTATTCGGCGAATAATCTATAGTTTCTACGAAGAACACAAAGTACCCACCTTGGAAATGATTCGAGACAAATAGGTTGATTATCCTGACTACAATTATAAATGTTTGGAACCACTATACGGTGTATATTATTGTCATGTGGTTTCAAACACAGGAAAATCAATAATCGAATGATAATAATGGAATCTAGAAGAATTGTGAAATATCGGCAAGAATATCTCAGGCAAATAAAAGGTTTTCGTGAATCCAATAGACCTATTGTCTATCGATGAAACATGGTTCGACACGCATGATGTTGTGAAATATGGTTGGGTAGATGAAATCCAGCAATGCACTTTGAATATACACCTTGCTCAAGGGGTAAACGTGTTATCATTTTGCATGCAGGAAGTGAAGATGGTTTCATGACTAACGCGTTGCTTTTGTCGGCTAAAAATATTGACCAAGCATCTGCTGATTACCATGAAGACATGACAGCAGATTTATTCGAAAAGTGGTTCAATGAGCAGTTTCTTCCAAATATTCCACCGAATTCTGTGATAGTATCCTCTCGTATCATTCTCGTCTACTAACCAGAATTCCCAATAGTAATACCAATGTGATGAGGTGTTTCTGGTTAGTCCTCACAGAATCTGCAGGTGTCGTCCTCCTGTAAGCCTAGCTTCCTCAGGTGTTCTTTGAGTCTGCAATGCCCCGTTAGAAATTCTGTTTATCAGTGTCTTAGATCTTTCTCGGTTGAAATTTCCGAGATATTCAGCCTGCCGCAGTCCTGGAAGTCTTCTCCATTGTCTGGCTCTCAAGGCTCCTTCCGCCTTTTCAAGTTCTCCTTGAAGATAGGAATTTCCAAGGCCGCAGAATGGCTCTGGTCCGATCAGTGGTGTTGGAGCCTTGTCGTGTCAGAGTGTCTGCTTGTTCATTCTCCTCCACTTCGATATGCCCTGGCACTCAGAGAATCACTTTATTGTTACTGCCTAGCTCACTAAATTTGTTTAGGCATTCCCATACCATCTTCAAGTTGATGTTAGAAGGGCTCAACGCTTTGATGACTCCTTGGCTATTAGATAAAATTGCGATATCCTTCTTCCGGTATTTCCTTTCTTGGTTGAACTGGATACATCTTTCTATGGTGTGTATTTTCGCTTGAAAAATGCTGGGAAATTGTCCCGTGGATTCGAAGTATTTGGTGCGAAGCCCAAAGACTCCTGCTCCAGTTCCCTCGGATGTTTTAGACCAGCCCGTATACCAAGTATTGGTGTTCCTTCCCAGCGCTTAGATGGATTCTATGCTCCATTCGCGCTTGTTGCTCAGTTCCACTCGGAAGTTCTTCTCAAAACTGAACTTCCTAATGATTTAGTCTGTTGAAACATCGGCGAGGTGTGCAATCTCAGTGGGGGGTGAGCCCCTTGCACTGTGCGTTTTTCCTCCTAGTCCGACCTTGGCCAACCTGAGATGTGCTCCATAGGCAGTTCTCCTCATCATGACATGTAGAGGTCTAGAATGACCTCTAGTGCTGTTGTTGGAGCTGATCTCATTGCTCCTGCTATGCAAATCTGATGTAGAATACCTCGGAATCAAATTTGACACTTCAGACTACATAACAATAGATAGACACCGCGATTCATTCATAAATCATTTGAAAGTATACGCCAACAATCCCAAACACCGAACACGGATAAATGAATAAAATCGCGAATGGTGGGAATAACTCTGCGAAATCAAATCAGTTTGGAGAAGTAGAGCATGGAAGAAACTTCACAAACGATAAGATTTCCACAACATTTTTAACAACACGACACGTTTCGGTATTACAATAGCTTCTTCAAGTGAAATACTCGTACAATAAACTAAATGTCCGAGTATGGATTTCCATGAAGTAACGGCCGAATCAATTCTAAAGAAGAAGAGCATAATATCCAGAACAGAACACCCCAGTTATTGTAATCATGAAAACAGAGGCATCGATATACAAAGAGCTGGGCGAATTCACAACGACAGACACCAACTAGTCACTCTGAGTTTGGCATCAACATGAAGGTCATCTCAATACTAACTCAAAGGAGTATATCATGATATCCATAGCAAAACATTGAGAAGCATTGATATCCGAACAGCTGGGTGAATTCACAACACCAACTGCCAATCCATGATGGAGATTATTTCTGAAATGCAGAGGACACCAACGGCATTCTCGCAATTCCAACTCACAATCGATTGGAATAGCTGTTCTAGACACAACTCCACACAACGTTCAACATTGTGAAAATTTGCTCGCTGTCCGAATGCTCTTTATACTGGTTAAATGCTCTGATGGCGCCCAAAAGGCTGTGAACAAAATTGACACATTTCAGAAAATAAAATAGATGGTACATAAACTCCATTAATGATGAAACAAACAAATGTTTCGAAACTAGACCAGAATCCGGAATTGTTTGATCGTATTCATTCAACAATTGTGAATAACAACTTCAAACGACGACCAGAACCACTCTCACTTTGGACATCGTTATAACTTCTGTGGTTGTACAAGAGCCGTTCGAATTCTGAAGTGAAGCAGTGTCGAGCGCAGTTAGTATGGATGTCCACCTGAGGAAAAACCGCGAAGTAATTACTAAATATATCAATTAGCACAAGTAATAGCTTAACCAGCGGAAGAAGTATTTCGACAATAGGCATTGGATGGAGGCGTTCAATCCCCAGAGCCTGAAGTATCTAAACAATTCGTTTTTGCAGATGATGATCGCAACATTTATATCGTGTACTGGTCACACATTCCTTTCTGCGGTAATCTTTCAGAAGCCAGAGTATAAGTAGGTTCCCAGGCCACAATTGTTACTTGTTAAAGTTGGATTACCAAAGGTTTCGACAAAATTTCCAGTCCGTTTCGGCACGCATGATGGATGACGATCACTTACCAAAACTCCTGTTTCAGACAGCAATTCAATTGGGCCAGGCAAAAACTCTTTTGATTTTGTTAGAGCTGAAAACTTATGGAATTATGCTGTTCTCCACGGCAATATTAGATAAAAGGAAGTATTAACAGAATTCTACAATAAGCTATTTGAAGCTCATACTTCATTACTACAACATAGTACCTTACCTTTCTGTCACTTTGAAATATCTTTAGTTTCTCCAAAGATCCTTAATATTATTTGATGTACCAACTTCCAGTATTATCGCTCAGTTGTGATAAAGTAGTAATCTCAAAATCAAATTTACCTTGATTGGTATGTTCCACTTGTTAGATCCCAATGAGATATGATCAGATTTCAATCACCACAAGCACAAATGTTGCCTAAACTGTTGGCTACTTTTTGGTGGTGCTTTAATTTCTTGGAGAATTGTAGATCCGATATTTTGAAACTCAGGTCATTGAAAATTCGCGATAGAAAATAAGCGTTCGCCACATATCGGAGTTTTTGAAAGCTGTCGACGCGGTTTGTTTAGTTTATTTTCATTGGTTCACACTTGTTTCTTGTTTGTGCTTATTGGTCAAATCCATCAAATGAACCGCTCATAGATTTTCATATGTTGCCATTAGGTGGGGTGACTTGTTATTTTCTATGGCGAATTAACGAGTATATTGAAATAAGTATAGTTTCTCTCAAGTTTTTTTTGTTCGAGTTCAAATTTGCATTTGCATTTACATTTTTTTTGCTTCAGGATCTAACTCTTGCTGTAAAACACTGTCTCAAAAAGCAATAGAATGGTGCGCTTTTCATTACAACATTTTGCATGAATCGAAGAATCCATCGAACTGTTGCAAAATTCCGATGGAATGTTGATGGAAATCCATCAAACTGTTGTAATAAAATGCGCACTTTCAAATCTCTCTGCGAGAATCCAGCGGTTTTAGAGGAGACTGACATGACAAATTTTAGGTATATTTATTAAAAATATTGAGTAATTTTTGAATTTCGTGATTGTTTCAGCTAGGTGTAAATTTTAGTGGACTGTATATTTTCGGTTGTGGATTCAATATTATTGTATCACTTAGATTCAGTTTAAATAATCGAGCACGATTCACCTTTATGGCCTTACCTCGCGTTCTTGATCGGCGGAGACGTTCAAGTAGGCACTGCTTCGGTACTGATCCTGATGAAGTGCAGGAAGAGGGCCCTCTCCTTGTGGATGTAACAGGTTCAACTTTCAACAAGTGAAATATCGCGGATTCAACTAATCGTCACCATTTTCATTCATCATCGTTAGATGTGAAATTACCGGTAAAAATGACGTACATGGTGATGCGGTATTTATTGAAGTGAGGCGAGCTGTCGTTGCTTATCCTTGACTCCCATGCACTTGCATAGGCGATTAAGGATCATCGTGCATATATTAGCGCGAAATTGGAATAATTAAAATACAATAATATTTTCCCTATAAATACATATAAAAAAGATTGAGAACTCCCTAGTTCTCATAGAACAAAAAATGACTTAAAATGATATGCTCAAAATAGTGGATTTCGAACAGTGATTGTTGAGAGATTTTAGAAGATGGAGTAATAAATGTTAATCAATGAAATCGTATCAGCCTCTTCTAATTCTGAAGATACATTGTTCCAACGTTCCAGCATAAATTCCATCAGAACAATTTGTGACGTCACAACAAAAAACCGCATCTATCAGTGCGCACTTACTTTCTTCAATGGAATGAAAAACACGCCCAAAGTGTCAACAATCATTATTATTATTACCATTTCGGCAGACGATGCAACGAGAGTCCCCGGCATTGGCGACGTAAAGTTCGTTGCCCTTCAGCAGGGCCACCACGGCCGTACACCCGCTATCCGATCCCGGCTCCTCCTTCATATTTCTCGCGAACTCCAGGTCCTCCTCATCTTCGATGTCCTCCTCCTCTTCCTCGCCACTCTCTTCCTCCTCCTCCTCCTCCAATTCGGAGCTCGCGTCGTCTCCCGAATCTTCCGCCTCGATGGCGATGTTGACGCCTTCGTCCTCGTCATCGGAACTCGCACCTGGAATTGTTTCATCTCGAGGATTTGAATTGGAAAATTGTGCAAGGGAGATATCCCGTGAGGACATCGAAAATGGAACAGCCTGTACAAGGGATGTTTTCAAAGTTCTGGTAATCGTGCTATAATTAAATCACGCAGAACTTATAGGCAATGTTATTGGTAATGATAAAGATGGAAAGCCCTAATTTCCAGTGACAATGGAAAATGAAAAAACCCCACCGCACCGTGTGAGAGTCGAACTTACAACCTCTGGGTTACATGCCCATTTAGCTAACGGGTGATCCGTCGATCAATCGGCAAGGAGGTCGAGTTCTCATCACACACCAATCGGCAGAATCTTTCCAATCCTCGAAATCACTCGAAATCATGCACTATAGGAAGCATCGCTGGTACTATACAGTCTCCATATTTCCCCGTTCGTCCTCTGGCATTGTCTTTCCTTGTATACGGAAATGTCCGAAGGCAATCATACACAGGAGTCAAGTAATGTTTGTCAGTTACAGATACATATAATGATAAAGATGGAAAGCCCTAATTTCGAGTGACAATGGAAAATGAAAAAACCCCACCGCCCCGTGTGAGAGTCGAACTCACAACCTCTGGGTTACATGCCCAACGCTCTGCCAATTGAGCTAACGGGTCATCCGTCGATCAATCGGTAGGGAGGTCGAGTTCTCATCACACACCAATCGGCAGAATCCTTCCAATTCTCGAAGTCACTCGAAATCATGCACTATACGAAGCATCGCTGGCAGGATTGTACTATACAGTCTCCATATTTCCCCGTTCGTCCTCTGGCATTGCCTTTCCTTGTATACGGAAATGTCCGAAGGCAATTGGCAGAGGCGTGAGTTCGACTTTCGCACAGGGCTGTGGTTTTTTTTTCATTTTCCATTGTCAATTAGAGCTTTCCATTTTTATCATTATATGTATCTTTTCGGTTGATTAACCGACAAACTTTACTTGACTCCTATGAATGTTATTGGTGCCAGACATGTCTTGACATGTTCATGCAATTATCTAGTAACTAATAGTTCAGTCTGATTTAGGTGTTTAATTGATATAGATGCGTTTTCATAGCACTGTTCCAACCACGCAACAGAATCGATTGGTTATAGACGACAAAGAAGAGACCGAATATGTGTGGGTGTTTGAAAGAAGGTAAGTGGCAAGTAGAAAAAAAAAGCAATATTCAACCAGAATATGAATTCTCACAGAAACAGCTGATGTCTGTGAATGTCCAACCAGAATTACTATTGGATATTTTTTTATCAGAAGTGGACATTGTATACTGTGTCCAGGATGAACAGAAGATGGTATAGAAACTCCTATCAAATCCCATGTACTGTTTTTCGGCCAAAGTTCTTGACATACGGCATACTTGACAGGACTCTTTTCAATATCGTGGAATATAGGTCGCATTTTACCCGTTAGATGGTGGCATCTCAACCAAAATTCAGGGTTGGTAGAACTGATGAAAATTGAAATTCTCCAAAATTACAGTTTCATACTTTCAAATTTAATCTCATTTGATTGTGTGTAAGCGCCGTTTTCTGTCATTAAAGAAATCTGTAAAAAGTGTCGCCATCTTGCGGACAACTGAGAACTATTATGCCATTATTGCAGAATCTGTGGTCTAGCATTTTGGGAGAAACAAAACACTGTCTGTGATTACACCATATTGTATCCACCTTGAAAGTGTCAAATGTTCAAGAATGTGAACATTGTTATAAAATATCTCTAGCCATAGTACTTTTGAGAAAAATAAGAAAAAGGAGAGATAACAAAACATTTCATGATGAAAATATGTAAGATTGATTACCATAAGGCCCTTCAAAAGTTTGGTCCTCTTCATCTTCAGTATCTTCCTCACTACACTGTGCAAAATCCAGCAGAGACTTGTATAGCTGTTTAGCATTACGCTTTGGTCTTTCAGATATTTTCGGCGTTTTTGGATGGGCAATGGCCTTGCCTTTACCTTTCTTGGTGATTTCACCATTTTCTTGAGGAGTGGAACTTGTTACATCCTCTTTCGACTCACTGTCAGTCACCTGACCATTTTGCATGGAAGCAGACACAGTTTCCTCATTCTGAGGAGCTTGTTCACTGTTTGTAACCACAGCTGCCTCTTTAGAATCTGAACTGTCTGGAGAGGACAGTTTGATATCAGGAACTGACTTTGAGGCTTCATCTGTAATGAAAATTATTCACACATTTTCACAATAATTCCTAACCTTACCATCAAGGTAAGGTTAGGAATGTGCCTATCTCTCTCATAGTTTTATGACTATACAGGGTGAGTCTGAATTAGACCAACAAACAAATCAATCAATCAATCAATCAGGGTATGGAGAGTATTAAAATTGAGGTTTACATTCTTCTACAAAACTCCTTTCTGCATACAAGACGGCACAAATTGGGTACTCTTCAAAGGAAAACAAAAACTTTAGAGTTACAAGGTGCATTTTTTAAATGTGTTTGTCATATTTTTGGCAGAAAATCTTATTTTTCATTAAAAACATTTCAGAAGCAGTATGTCATGAAAATTGATTCTCAGGCACTGAAATCAGTTTACTTATACCTAGTTCAAAAATAAAACTTGTTCTCATTGAAGATTGCATTATGACATTTTAAATATTTCTTTATGGGGCACTTCCTCTCTTCAAGGTTTTTCTGCTGTAAGGTAGATAATTTGATTTTCAACACCTCATATTTCAATATTTGTTTAGTGAATGAAAGTGTTTGATATCCTATGTGATTTGGAATAATACTGGGTGTCACAAATTGTTCTCTGAGAAAACTAGAATTGAAATGAATACATTGCAATTGAAAAAATTTCTTGATTTTGCACTTTATGAGCTGTATCTGAACCTTAAGAGAAGAGAGATAGATAAAATATTGCAATGAATTATTTTTCAGCAAGGGATGAACATTTGTCCATTACTGTTTGAAAGTGGGACTTTCTCTTTAAAAATTTCCAATTTGGGCAGCCCTGTACACCTACCTGATGAATTCAAATTTGATTTAGAAATTATGACTTCAATACACTGGAGACAAGTAAAAATGAGTACTATAAGAATACTATAAAGTGAAATACCTATACACATTTTCATAATATCAAAAATATTGATTGTAAATAATGGTACCAATAATGTGAGATTTTCAAATAGCCAACAGTTGATAAATTATGCATATGAAATCTATCAAGACAGCATTCATGCTCTACCAAGGTATTTGATTCTAAAGCTCTATGAGTATAAAATGCATAACTATGTTTTTCAAGCAAATATCATTCTCATCACACTGGCAGTGTTTTCAGAGAAGTACTCCTAAGTACTTATTTGGAATTGGTTTCAAAACATTTCTTATGAACTATACCATCATCAATACCACCTTATTATCCAACAAACTTATCATTCAAATGAGAATGGAAAATCACAGCTTGGAACAATATTGTGGTGAATATAAAATATTTAGGTCATAATTGATAGCAGCATTATATTTCAAAGTTATTTGGAATTATATTCCAGCAATTTTTTTAGTGAATTCTAAAGGATATGACATTCAAATATTGAAACATATAACTATAATTATATTAGTATATTATATTGATAATATTCACCTTTGACTTCTAAAGATGTATCTGCACTTTTGGCCTCATTTTCATTGCTAGAACTTACACAATCGGAACCACTTGCTTCTTGTTTTTGGCATTCTGTAGAAGCTCCTACAGAAGAACTGGATGATGTAGAGCCAACATTAGAATCATTTCCTCTTTTGGATTTTAAGTATGGTGATTTTGAACATTTACCTTCCACCTTTTTCACATTATCTAATGCTGGACATACCAGACTTGTATACTTCTCAATAACCTGTTCAATAGGCATTGCAGCTTCTTTATAGAGATTATCAACATTGTCTTCATCTTCACTATCTTCTTCTGCTTGTTTATCTCCAGCAATTTCCTTCAGTTTGGAAACCACTTCTTTGGTACATATTGTTTTATCAAAGCCTAAGAAGCCTTCTATCAAAGCATTATTTATATCTCCTTGCTTATAAGCTTCTGTGTTTTTAATAAACTGGGGCAATTTTTCGGAACAGTAATGGGCCACTTCATGGCCCCCGTGCCCATCATAAACAGCAAAGAATGACGTATTTACATCGAAATCTAGTAGACAATTATGTGCATCCTGTAATAGGAAACGTATAGTAAGATGATTTATGTAAATGGAATCAACTATATCTACCTCTTGGCTGACACGCCAGCCCTGCATTGAACTGGCACCGCAATTAAGCCTATTGTCTGTTTCATCACTAGATACCTTCTCTGTGACTGGTTCTGATAAATAAGAACCCATTATACAAAATTTTGCACGCTTACAAACTAAAACCACAATGAATAACAGCAAAGTTCAAAATTTAACAGCGCTCGAAAGCAACCTAACCCCAAAAAATAAAAGCTGAAAATGTAGGCGCCCTTCAATGTTGCCAATCCTATATGATTGGGCAGTGGGCACACAAGAATCACAAGAATCAAGAATGTCAAGATTGTCAAGAATCAAGATAACTGACAGACAACCGAGTTGGTAAGAATGGGTTAGGGTGAATACACATTACACATGTCATGTACTTGTACAAATCAAAGCACAGACAGGCATGATGACGTCACGCGTGCATCCTGAACCATTACCCCTCGACTCCTTGAGGTTCATCTCATTTTATACTACTAAAATTCATATAGATTCACCGAAACTGAAATCTACCACAGCCTACTTTACGACCGATGAGGGCAAACCATGAATTTTTGATTCTTGATCAAGAACCTCTGCATACGATATATTGTTACCAGTCAATGTTAGATCAAGTCTCCAAAATGTTTTCCATTTGTTCAAATATTCTGCATCACAATTTTCATGAAACAGACCACAGCTTTTAGGGCTATCCGGTAAAATTCTGAGATATTCAACTTTGACCTCAAGTTCTAGTATAGCGCCAACTGGTGAGACTGAAAATCTAGTCATTATACTGGTTGACAGTAAAATATCTGTCGATTATACTAGTTAACACTTCTATCTGTCAAGTAGGCTAGCTATTACCACATACTGCTAGACACGGTATTTGTCAATTATACTAGTTAACAACGCGATAGAAAATAAGCGTTCGCCATCTATCGTAGTTTTTGAAAGCTGTCAAAGCGGTCTGTTTCCTGCTTCTTTGTTTTCATTGGTACACATTTGTTTTTTGTTTCTTCTTATTGGTCACATCAATGATATCCATCAAAACAAACCACTCGGAAGTGTTCAGATCGCGAATCCGAATTCAACTGACAGTACTGAATCTGCTGATTTTTCATTCCGAAATAAAAAAAATCGCCGAAACTGTCATTATTTTAGAGGGATTAGGAATGTCGCATGTAATTCATTATATCCGTTGTATTTTAAACAATGTATTAATTATATTGTCTAATCAATAATAAATTGATAATATCTTTTTTGATATCAAAATACTGCTGATCAACTGCTGCTAATTACTGATGCAAACCGTGGAAACGTGTTCAGAATTACAGCACTGTATGTTTGATTTTACATTTCGGAACGCAGGTTTTCAGCAGTTAGTAGTCACGTCCCAATATTGCTGACATCACTGGCCCCAGTATTCAATGTAGGAACACTAATCAGTAGCAGTTGCTACTGCTGGTACACTGGCAGCAAAACCAATGATCTTCGATTTTCGATGTAGTTAAGTTGGTTTTTATTTTCATCATTCTTATTACTCACGTTGAAATTATGGATGGAGTGATTAAGCATATTATCTAAGAAGACTTATTATCCGATAGTGATTCTGATTCATTAGAAACACCAAGCTCTGTAACTCAGTTCCAGTGATAAAGAAATGAAGCATGTCTATGGTTTCAGCATTTCTTCACCAGTGGCCAACAATAAACATTTTTCAAGGGGTTCCTTGCAATGACACGCTAAAACGTTGCCAGTAAATTTCAGTAAAATCGGAACGATAAAATATACTGGGCAGTACTGTTCGGGAATATCAGAACTGAATCAGCATCTAGATTGTAGATTGTAGTTTTGTAAATGGGTCGTATAGGCTGGGAGACCTCTCGATCACTGCGACCTAGACGATCTATTGGCATTACCCACTGCATTACCCCTCGGATTACCCTTATTTAGTTTTGGTCCTCTGACCATAGACTTCTGATGAAGCCTACAATTTTCCTGACGGTTGAATTTTCCACCTCAGCAGGGGTGAGATAGACCTGTTCTAGGTGGTTCAGCCTTTGGCGGACTAATACTTCACATGAGCAAAGTGTTCCGCGGTTTCGGTCGCACTGTTGCAAAAGCGGCAAGTGTCAGTCTCCGCCAGGCCCATCTTTTTGAGTTGGTACCTCAGAGGGCCGTGTCCTGTGTCCCTGTGAGAAAGCCTGTGATAAGCTTTAGCTCTGGTTTGCTGAGTAGCTCTTTGGCTCGGTTCTGCGAATGGTTGACGAACCTTTTCGCTTGTCGTTGACCTGGAGTTGCTCTCCAGTAGGAGGACTTTTCAATTTCTTCCCTATTCCTGAGTTCTTCCTTTAGGTGACATTTGCTTATTCCACAAAGGCTCAGGACTCGCTAATGGTTCATTTTATCGAGATGCAACAAGTGCACCTTTTCTATGTGAATAGCCCTGAGATTTCATAATTTCATGTCAAAAAACTGAAATTGCGAAGAACAAAAAAATTAGGGTTATTTTTACCTCCTACCTCCTTATTTTGACACACCCCTGTATTTAATTTTGAGTTGATTTTAACTCCATTCAAACCGGCACTAAATAGTGAGTGGATAGACAAAATCTCAGATTTTCATTATACAAGGTGTTGGAGATAATAACACAAAATCCTTCTCCGAGGCCCCCCTTTGAGAAGCTGTATCTTTCTTGGAGGTCACTTCAGAAAAAAATGTTACAATGGTTTCCGTGACTATTTCACCCACTCTATATGCTCCAAAAGTATGACCACCTATTTTATAATCACCTTGTATATGTTGGCACCCCTCAGACCTTTGCTCAGGCACCTCTGGGCGCAAAGGTTGATGGCATGTATTTAATAATAATAATAATAATAATAATGTGTCTTTATTCATCATCAATAAGGAAATTACACAAACAAATTAGAAATATAATACATTAAGATGATGAAAAGGAGAGGTTCAGCTATCAAAGCTGCTTTTAAACCCATCCTCAAGAAGAAAAAAAAAAGATGAGTAGGTAATAATAACATAAAGTTTAACCAAAATAATAATGATCATAATCATATAATATGCTATACTAACAGTAAAATGCGATTAGAATATAAATATATTAATAATGGTGATAATAGTGATGAAAACAATGATGATAATAATCGTAAAAACAAGTTGATAATATCAATGAAGATGGTAAACCAAGTAATGCATACATAACATATCGTCACGCCTGGAGAGAAACTAGCTTTGTATCCAGATAGCAAAATAATATTCATGAGTGATTCTTAGAATATTTTTCGAGAATATTCAATTATTCTATGAATATCCACATAAAAATATAATCATCCAAGAATATTCTCAGATTATAGAAACGGGACACTTTTAAAGGGTCTAAGAATATTCTCAAAATATATCCCTAGACTATTTCTGGAATAAATATGAATAAATATAGTATAAATGATTCATGCAAATATGATAAAAATATTATTGAGTTATCTTGAAAATGTTCATTGAATAATTTGAGATTATACTGATTAAACATTCTCAACATAACACATGATTTATCTTTTTGCCTATACAAAATATTTTTAGCATATTCTCTTCATGTCATATGTTGGTTAACCTAGAGAGGGTAATAGACGAACTCAAAACCAAAACCAAATGGTGGGTCAATATTTCAGGTGATGAATGAGATACGATTCATAAATGTTCAAATATCTATTGATTAACAAGTTTTCCCATAATCAATCTATGTTATTCATGATCTGTCTGAAAACGATGGCACACTATCACTAGTTAATATTGATGAAGTTGGTCGATATTCAATCTGATAGGAAACGATAACATATATGATTTTTCACAGTATATAATAGTTTCTTCAAATATTCTTGTTGAAAAATGTTGTTGTCTAATAACTGAACCAAACGAAATATATGACATAACCTAATATTCTTCTTCTTCTTCTCTTCTTCCTCTTCTCATGTTTGGAACATGTACACAAGGTACCACCCACTTTCACTTTACACCAACCCAACACCATTTTTTGTCATTTATCAATATTCAGCACATTTTTATTCTGAATAAATATTTTTTCGAATACTTATTACTATCAGAATAAAAATATTTTCCAAATTATGTTTCTATCTGCTGTGAAATATTCCTAAAATATTTCCCGAATAATTCTTGCCAGAATATTTTCCAAAATATGTTATAAGGTTAACCAATCGAATTATTCATATATTATTATAAATATATATTTTCAGAATATACCATTGAGAATGTTTCCTAATTATTCCAAGTAATTATATCTGAATTATTCTGAAAATATTCAGATATTCCCGAGAAATCTATAAAATAGTTTGAGGAAATATCTATAGAATATTCGACCAGGAGCTTTTCTGAATATTCTTAGAACATTAGGTGCTATCTGGGTAACCATTATATCATTCCCTTGTAAGAAACAATGCTTTCAATCTCTTCTTGGAATTTTTTAAAGTGAATTCTTTTATTTCTGAGGGAAGGGTATTATATGATTTAGAAGCATTATAAGAGAAGCAACGGGTGAATTGTGCTGTGTGGTGTTTGGGAATGAGTAGAATATGTTTGTTACGGGAGGAATTATTACGTGAAAGTGGGACCAATTTTCTACGTAGGTAAGGCGGGTATCCAGTTTTCAATGTTTTATGGGTGAAAGTTAGCATATGCATCTCCCTGCACAGCTTCAATTTCAGCCAACCTGAATCTTGGAAGGATGTACTAATATGGTCATACTTACGGATGCCGTATGAAAATCGTATGCAGCTATTTTGTATCCTCTGTAGCCTTGTAGCATCTGTATCTAGTAGGGCAGGACCATAAATACAGTCACAGTAGGACAGTCTCGAAAAAATGAGAGATTCACACAGTCTCAACTTCATATTTTTTGAAATCAGGTCCCTACTAGGATATAACTGTCTCAGGATATTGAAAGATAATCTACATAAGTGGTTTACATGTTTAGTGAATCTCATATTAGTATCAAGATATAATCCCAGATTCTTGCATTCATCCACAAATGGTATGACGTTGCCGTCAATACGAATAGAAATAGTGTCACTCACAATATGTTTCTTAGTTCTTGGACCAAAAAGCATGACTTGGGATTTCTTAGGGTTCAGTTTCAAGTTGTGGGCACACGAAACTTCGAACAATAGTTGAAGATTTTCATTGATTTCAACTTCAGCATGTTTTAAGTCATCAAAACTGAAAGATCTATATAATTGTGTATCGTCAGCGTAATGATGTATATTGCCATACCTTTCATACTATTTCAGCTTGGAAGATAGTGGAGGAGTGACCTAAGGCTTCAAATAGCCTACATCCGGGTCCATATACACCCGCGCCTACCCCTCCTTCCATTTTCGAACCATCGGTGTACCAAACTTGGGACCCTCTGTCCAGCTGAGGCGGCTTTTCATAACCACTTCAAAGGTATGATCATTGATCGAAACTGAGCCTAGCTGGCATCATGGCCGATGGTTTGGTTGCATCTAGGATTTATCTTATCGTTCATGTCGTTGGCCAATTGTATCGTTAACGTAACGATATCGTATTTCAACAATAAGTTACTGAATAGACCCCTTCTGTCAAGTATGGTAGACAATGAACTGAATATAGTTGTATTGAGTTCATTTTGATGCTAGTAGGATAACACCATTACCACTCAACTTAAGTGACTGTATCTGTCAATTATAAAAAATATATTGTATGGCAGTATGGCGCTTCTACGCTTTCTTAGAAATCTATCACCAATTTGGAAAGGTAATTACTTAAAAAAAATATATTCATACTCAATCACTTCTTATTTTCTTCATTACAATTCCCATCACATGAGATTGATATGAGTATTTTTTGAGGCTGAGGTGGTCTAGTCAGGGAGTAACATGGAGTCAGCCTACTGTATTCATTGGCATACTAATATATTGACCATTCCAGAACACGTGATTTTGACATGGTTTCTTGAGGGGCAGGGACACACAAACTATCTGTTAGGTTACCTTTGATGAGCATAGCCCTGGCCATCCCTGCCATATCCACAATATAATAACAGTTTCACCAAACAAAATTATGAAATTCTTTCTGGTTCCAACTGGGATTCCATGGAAAACGATCCCACTCCACTAATTCTGGTTTCATATGACAAATCTTGACAAAATACAATGTTTGCCCCTCAGCAACCTGTCAAATGACGTAATTCTGGAATGAGTAATAGGCCATAGGCTTGTAAGTTGAAGGATACATTTTTGATTTTCAATTTTGAAACGTTGTCATCAACATGCCTTCAAATCCTCATCTTTGTTCTCATTCCACAAACTTAATTCATTTGGATTCAACATCAGTTGTTGCTGTGGTATAAATTCCATAGTTTCTGTTTTGATATGTTTTTCAGCATTATCATGTATTTTAATATGCTTCTTCATGCTACTAGAATCATAGAATCTTTTTGAACATATATGACAACCAAATGGTTTCTCCCCAGTATGAATTCTAGTGTGCACTTTAAAGGTTCCAGAGTGATTGAATGTTTTATCACAGTAAGTGCAACTATAGGGCCTCTCTCCACTATGTTGTCTCATATGATAGGTCAGGTGGCCTTGTTGAGAAAATCGTTTTCCACAAATATTGCATGAAATTGGTTTCTCTCCTGTATGAACAAGTAAATGTTTATTGAGACTGCTCTTCTGAGCAAAGGTCTTACTGCAAATGCTACAACTATAAGGTTTAACCCCAGAGTGTGTTTTCATATGTGAATAAAGCAGGTTTTTTGTTGAAAATTTCTTGCCACATTCACTGCATAAAAATTTCTTGTCAAAATGAATTTGCATATGTTGTTTCAGTCCTGAACTGGAAGAGAATGATTTATTGCATTCCTCACATTTTTTATAAGTTGAATCTTTGATTCTTTTTTTATCATCCATTTTGTGCATATTAATATGATTACCTAGTGCATGTTTTGTCACAAATCCTTTTCCACAAATATTGCACATGCATGATTTCTCACCATAGTGGGTGCGTATGTGATCTGTTAGTGTAGGTGCTTGTATAAAACCTCTTCCACAAATATGACATTCATGTGGTTTTTTCTCCATGTGAAGAAATTTGTGGCGCCCCAAACTAGATTTAAATCTGAATGTTTCACCACAAGTTTGACATTCATATGGTCTTTCTTTTGTATGAGAATTTAAATGGTCTTTCAGTTTATATGAGCTAATAAGTTTGTGGCAGATTGTACATGGCTTCTTTCTTCTTCTTTTATCAGCTTCTTTTTTTCTATGGATCAGGTAGGCACTGTAGGTGTCAAATTTGAGATCACAAAATGTGCATGTTAGGTCATTGGGAATTCTTCTTGGAATCTTTTTTCTAGTTGATGACTTTTCTGTATCTGATTCAGTCCTGATTTCATCATTAGAAAGTTCATTGCTTTCACTCAAATCATCATTGTCAGACAACTGGTGAGTAAGAGCCTTAAATTCATCTTCCTTCAAATGGTTCAGTAATGAATTCTTCAGGTATGTCTCTGATACTTGTGCTCGTTTCCTGAAGGCATTGAATTTTATAACAAAGTCTGTGCAATTTGAGCACAACATTCTTGGCAAACCATCAGCTTCATCTAACTGAAAGTCAGTCAAGTTTGATCTTATTATTTTTTATAATACTTTCAAATTATACTTACTTCGAGTAGAGATATTGTTGAATACAAGTCACACAAAGTGAAATCTGCATAGATTGTGAGAAATATATCAGTTATACCCTTATTTTCAAGACAAGCGCGGCAAGTCACTACAAATTCATCAGAAGCAGAAGACAATGAAGACATAGCTGAAAATGTTTAGTTTTAATATTTTATTTTCTTTCACAGAAGCTGTTCAAATTTTTAGAAACAATCCGAAATCCCAACACTACGACGGCGTATTGTTAGGGCCAATGTTACATTTCTATTTTTCCGTTTTTCCGATTGTCACTTTCAATCTGACAATTGTCACTTTTAATCTGACAATTGTCACTTTTAATCTGACCATTGTCACACATTGTCACTTTCAATCTGACAATTATCTGTCGATTTTCAAGAGAGATTCAGATTCATTCTAATGCTACGATTCTGATTGCTGTCACGCGAATATTTTATCTTACACAATGATAATCTTGGAATCTTTTGTGATTTCAAACTTATACTCATATGCATGGTGTGCGTGGGGTTGCTCTTTTGTATCAATACCAACAACAATAATAATGAATAGCCAATTCGAGCCGGCTTAATGTTAATCTTGGCGTTCCCCAGAGCTCCGTATTGGGGCCAATTTTGTTCCTTTTTTATACAAATGAGCTGGATACTTTTTAGCTACTGATGCTCAATTCGTCATAAACGCCGATGATACGATGTCAGTACTGATCAAATAAAGATGAGGATTCTCAAAGACAATTGTGAACAGTTATACTGACATCTACTCATGGTGCATTGCAAACTCGCACTTTTATTCGCAGTTTTCTTAGGATTAACAATTGATGAATGTTTGAGTTGGAAAGTTCACTGCAATAGCATTATTTCAAATTGGAACTCATTCTGCTACATGTTTTGACATCTGCGTGGAGTATTGCTTGAGGAACAATTGATGTTGTATAACGCTCAAGTTGCTGCCAGAATATTATTCTAAAATTGTTTTAAAATTGTTTTTATCCATCATTCGGTTGCCCCCTTACGAGTAACCCCCAGAATAAGTCTTCAAGATACTTCTTTGGGGTGGATCCACATTATCACAGGATTTGTTTATTGCACAAAAAAGGTCCTCAGAATTATATAGTCAAGGTTCCAAAAACACATTCTTGTAGAAAAATGTTTCCGAAAAATAAACTTCTGTCATAGGCATATTTATAGTTGATTTGTGTTTCTCTCTTCAATAATAAGAATGATTTTCCTGGAAATGAGAATATTCCTAATATTAAAGCTAGGCGTAAAGACGAATTCGGTGTTCCATTCATCAAATCCTTGATTATATACTACTCAAAGGTCAAATACAAGGCGAGTTCCGAGTCTCCGTCATACTCTTAGGACTCAGAGTATACAATCATCTCCCGCGTGAGGCGAAAAATATTGTGAGCTTGAATAGTTTCAAATATATTAGGTTGAAACATTTCCTCATCGAAAAATGTCCCTATATACTGGAGGAGTATTTTGCTCCACATGTACAGGGTTACTGTTTTCATTTTATTCATGTTAGTTCATCTCAACCACTTTATGTACTTATAATTTTTGTATCTTACTCTTCATAGTAGGCATATCTTCCTGTATTGCTCTTTTGTATATGTTCTACAATATTTTAGCACTTCCTATATTCATTAGTACCTCTGTCAGGTATATTTGGCTCTTTTTCGACTATTCCTATACATGGAAAATAATAATAATTAATATTATAAAATATAAGGTTTGTGATTTTATAAGGTTCCCAATTGGTAGCTTAAGAAGGTTCCCACAAAAATTGTTTCAGGCAGAGCATTATGCCCCAGTGCTGTTCCATAGTTTGAAGCACATTGCTGGAAAGTTTAATGAATTTGGATCTTTCTCTTTATTCATAAATTACAATGTGATAACATGTTCTCATTATTATCAATCACCTATACATGCTAAATAGGAATATTTTAGCTACATTCTTTTCTTCAAGTCCAATTTATGTTATGTTATGCACTCTGTACTGCACTGATTCATGCAGCTGTTTTTTTTTTCAAATACTGAAAATCTAGTAAGTAGGTATGTATTTTGAGATATTTTCTCTCTTCCTGTTCCTTCTGTATTAATTCCATTTTGAATTACCTTGATACAATCCAATATATGTCTTGGGATTTTTTTGGCAAATAATTCATTCCATAATTTCTATTTCAATATTATCAACTTCTGCAGCATGTACTTTAACTATATGTTTCTTCATGCTGCTTGAATCATAGAATCCTCTTGAACAAATATGACAAACAAATGGCTTCTCCCCAGTATGGATTCTAGTGTGCACTTTGAGGGTTCCTGAGTGACTGAACATCTTATCACAATAAGTGCACCTGTAGGGCTTCTCTCCACTGTGGCGTCTCATGTGGTAGATCAAGTGGCTCTGCTGTGCAAATCTTTTTCCACATAGGATGCATAAAACAGGTTTCTCCCCTGTATGGACAAGAATATGTTTATCAAGGCTGCTTGACTGAGCAAAGGATTTACCACAAACATGACATGGATAAGGCCTAACCCCAGAGTGTGTTTTCAGGTGAGAAGACAGCAGAGTTTTTGTGGTGAATTTTTTGCCACATTCACCACATAAAAACTTTCTTTCACAGTGAGTTTTCTTGTGTTGATTCAATCCTGATTTGGAAGAAAATGCTTTATTGCATTCCATGCATTGTAAATCACTTGAATTGATAATTCCATCTCCATTTTTCATTGTGTGCACTTTATTAATATGGTTATCAAGTTCAAGATTTTCCACAAATCCTCTTCCACAAATATTACACATGAATGGTTTCTCACCAATCTCTCCATAGTGAGTGTGCATGTGACCTGTAAGTGTACTAGCTTGAACAAAACTCATTCCACAAATATGACAGAAATGGGGTTTCTTTCCAGTGTGTTGAAATTCATGGCAAGTCAAACTAGATCTAAATCTGAATGTTTCACTACAAGTTTGACACTTATGTGGTCTTCCATTTGTATGAAAATTCAAATGGTCTTTCAATTCATATGAACCAATTGGTTTCTGGCAGATTGTAACCTGTTTCTTGTTTGTTTCTTGTCTAGCTTCTTTTTTTCTGTGGATCTGGTAAGCACTATGTGTGTCAAATTTAAGGCCACAAATTGTTTTTTCACATGAACTTTCTGTATCTGACTCAATGGTAATTACTTCCTGAAGAAATTGATTTATATCATCATTTTCAGTTATATCATCATGCCCAGTTATATCATTATTCTCAAGAATTATATCATTATTCTCAAGAATTATATCATTATTCCCAGTTTTTACATCATTGTCCCTTGACTGAGCTTCAGCTATGAATTCATCACCTTCCTTCATAGAATTCAATAAAGCATTTCTCAGATATGTTTCTGATTCTTGGGCTTGTTTTCTAAAGGCATTGAATTGTATAACAAGGTTAGTACAGTTGGAACATAGCATTTTTGGCAAACCATCATCTTCATTCAACTGAAATTCACAACATGAGAATTTTGGATAATTTCAATAAAAATCTTACTTCTAGTTGAGAGAGTGTAGAATACAAATCACATAAAAGGAAATCTGCGTGAATGGTAAGGAATAGATCAGTTGTTCCATTATTTCCCAGACAACAGCGGCAAGTCATTTCACATTCATCAGAAGACATATTGCATATTATATACTTATATAGGTCTAGATTAAAATCTCAGTAGTTATAATGTTTTAATATCCTGGGCCTGGGTTATATCAACCACCTGTGACCAATACTAAAAACATTAAACATGATCCTTTTGTTTTTAATCTTTGCACTTTTATATTTCATCATTACATGGACCTAAAAACATATATTTCCACTGAGAAAACAATGCAGAAGACTACTCACTACTAGAGTTCCTTCTTTACTACCTGCCTTAATTCACAATTAGGTATGTACGTCTTGCAGATGATTAAAAATGTATTATTAGAACTTAAATAATTATGAATATAATATAATTCAAACAATGATGAGATGAATATAATCTGAGTATGATAATATTGATAATGAAGAAGATAATATTGAAATGATAGAACGTGCGTCGTGCGTAGAACCCCGTAGAACCGTAGAACCAGCAGAACCACGTAGAACGTCGAATGTTACATTTAGTTTTTGACACTTGACATTTGCATTATTCGCACAAACAGTGGCGTTCCATCTCACGTTCCATTTAGCAGGGTAATAATTGTATATCAGGATCCAATCAGGAAGTATCTAGCGGTAAAAACTAATCGAAAATATTGGCCGGTTCATGAGATATGACGAAAAAAACAAATTCGATTCTCTCGGTATTTTGGTAATCCTTCATTTAATTTCGGAACTATCAAAAAATGTTTTCGAGGTTTTTCATCTGATAGTCAATGGGGTTGTACACGCTAGTCGAATTTACGCCACATACACATTTTATATTGATCATAAAGTGTATCAATAGTATTTGATGTAATCATTTGTTATATATTTGAAAACATCGCATATATTTGAATTTAGATAATTAAATTCGGTGAAAAACGTAAGTTTCGATGACGTCATGAACCGAGTTCTGACTCGGTTAATATCGGCTGTCATCTTCATAGTCAAATCCTTGTTTCATCTAGTCAAGATGCGAATATGCGAATATTCAAATATATTGTGTGTGATTCTTTATATAGTTGTATGTTGTGTTCTCTGTTATCTGCAGTGAGTATTCAATCCAGAATACATAAGTCGAATCTCATAATAATATGGTGTTCTCGGATGAAATTGTGAATTTAAACAATTATTCAAAAAGTTACAGAGCTCTAAGGAAAAACCGGTTTGCAACAGTCGGAGATCAGTCACCGTGACTGATCTCTGCAACAGTGAACTAGTTAGGCTTAGTACTTCTAAATAATGAAATAACATTTTTCACCTGAAACAGGCCCATTCTCTTTACTTTGACGTACAATGTACAAGTTTGAAGGGAAAGTACCTTCTTTGATGTATTGATTTGATTGGTTTGGAGTTTGTCAAGGGGTTTAAGGACAGATACACACAATATGTATGAATAAATATCTACTCATTTGCATGCATTTTTACATTCACAGAGCTTTCGAAAAAGCAATTTTTAAGAATATATGTAAATTATAATTATAAAAATTATACATATAATTATGTACAATTTATCCATTATGAACTCTTTCATAACATTTATAGCCACTCTTGTATCAATACTGGCCAATTATTTGGTGGTCATGGAATGTTTCCACCAATATTTCCATTCAACTCAATGTTTGTGGTGGAGCTAATTCCATAGTTTCTAATTTTTCATCCCTTTCAACATCATCATGTACTTTAATGATATGTTTCTTCATGCTGCTAGAATCATAAAATCCTTTTGAGCATATATGACAAATGAATGGCTTTTCTCCAGTGTGAATTCTAGTGTGCACTTTAAGAGTTCCAGAGTGACTAAAAGTCTTATCACAATAAGTGCAAGTATAAGGCTTCTCTCTGCTGTGTAATCTCATATGGCTGGTAAGGTGGCCTTTTTGTGAGAATCTTTTTCCACAAATTATGCATAAAATGGGCTTCTCACCTGTATGGACAAGAATATGTGTATTGAGACTGCCTTTCTGAGAGAAGCTCTTATTGCATATTTCACAAGAATAAGGTTTGGCCCCTGAATGAATTCTCATGTGGGATGCAAGGAGATATTTATTTGAGAATTTTTTCCCACATTCACTACATAAAAACTTTTTGTCACAATGGATTAGCATGTGTTGCTTCAATGATGATTTTGAGGAAAATGTTTTATTGCATTCTTCACATATCAATGCAGTTGAATCAATAATTCCCTCTCCATCTTTTATTTTGTGCATACTGATATGATGACCAAGTGCACGTTTTGTCACAAATCCTTTACCACAAGCAGAACATGTGAAAGATTTCTCACCATAGTGAGTACGGATGTGGTCAGTTAGTGCAGAAATTTGAATGAAACCTCTGCTACAGAGATGACATTCATGGGGCTTCTTTTCAATGTGCAAAAATCGGTGCCGTGCTAGATTTGATCCATGCCGAAATTTTTCACCACAAGTTTGACATTCATATGGTCTTTCTTTTGTATGAGAATTAACATGGTCTCTCATTTTGTGTACACTGATGAGTTTGTTACATATTGAACAATGTGTCTTTCTTCTTCTTCTATTAGCTTCTTTTTTCCTGTGTATCTTGTAAGTACCATAGGTGTCAAATTTAAGATTACAAAATGAGCATGTTAGGTCTTTTGGAATTTTTCTTGGAATTGTTTTTCTAGTTTGCTTTTCTATGTCTGGGTTAGTTTCATTTCCATCATGAGAAAATTCATTGCTTTCAGTTATATCATCATTGTCAAACAACTGAGGCCTATATTCATTCTTATCTTCCTTAACAAGCTTCAAATTGTTCAAAATAGTATTTTTCAAAGCTGTCTCAGATTCTTGGGCTCGTTTTCTGAAAGTATAGAACTGAATAACAAAGTCTGTGCAATTGGAGCATAACATTTCAGGCATACCATCACCTTCCTTCAACTGAAAATAATTCAAACTCATTTTCCACTTCAATAATAAGTGATAATGATAATACTAACTTCTAGTAGAGAAATCGTTGAAAACAAATCACATATACGGGAATCTGCATGGCTAATAAGGAATATGTTAGTAATTCCTTTATTTTCAAAACAAGAGCGGCAGATCATTTGGAATTCATCAGAAGAGAATGTTGAGCTTCTTTCTTCATTATCAGGCATGATTTTGCGATACACGACAATCCAACAATATCACAATATAATCAAAAAATAAATATTTATAATACTTCCTTGGATTTATGATTTATAAGATCTTTGTTGACATAACAGCAGTGTTGCCGGAGCCAGAATTCAAAATTATCCGATGGCTACTACCAAATTATCCGAAATTATCCGATTTTAAGAAATGTTGTTCAACGTAGCAGGAAGGATACACACTCGGTGCAAAAGCACTGAGTTCTGTGTGCAAAAGCAGAAACAAGCCATCTGTCAACCAATGAAGGATTAAAGTTCAGTATCAATACGCTTAAGAAAAAAGAAGTATAAGAGTAGATTTAGGTGATCAAAAAATAAATATGCAGTTATTCCTGACAAATTATTCTTTTATCTACCCCTACAATGTATAAATACATTATATTGAATATCAAAAATATCGCAGAAGAGACCACAACACATTTTCATCTCAAACTAGAGATACTACATCACAAAACACATGACAGCAGGACAGCACAGGCCCACAGGCCACAGAAACCATAACACATTACGCAACAGTCACATGACAATGGCATTACAGAATCATGAAACATAAAACTGTGGAACTAACATGCAGATATTGATTCGTGTCTTGAGCTAGGAGTAGAAGAAGAAGACAAATCTCAAACCACAATCCTTTGGAAGTTGAAAGTTCCGAATATCATCCGAACTCACTACGAATGATCCGAAATTATCCGATAATTTCTTGGATCCGAAAAGGATCCGCTAGCACCTGAAATTATCCGTAAAACGGACAATTATCAGGCAAACGGCAACACTGCATAACAGTATTCCACATATCACATATCCGTCCCCCCTCCTCCAAACTGCCTCCAGTGCCTCTAAATGTCCTCCAAACTCCAAAGAATCCAAACCAAAGATCCTCTTCTCAAACATCACCTGTCAAAAGTGTCAAAACAAAATAGATCTGTCGTCAAACTTGTGTCAGAATTCAATGTTGCCAAAACTAGCAGCTGTCCTGATCTGATCGATCATCGGTCCACGCGTGGACATCAGCATCAGAGTACCAGACACTGTCAATGCAGTTTAATTTCCGTGGTTGTATGTTGTTTAATTAGTTGCGTTTCAAGTGGATCTGGAATTTTACTCCACTCCTATGAGTTTGCCTCACTCGTCGTTCGAAGAGGATCCCTTCCAGGAGTTTACATTGAGTTCATTGGTTATACATCGATAAGTTGTTGCATAATCACAAAGAGTGTCAGTTTGACAGTTGAAACAATCTGACTGCGAAGCGGGAGAATCCTGTTGAACTGACACGATTAGTAATTATGCAAGAAGTTTGAGATGTATAACCATGAATAATAGTTTGAATTATATTCTTTGCGATTATTTTTTGAGTAGTTCTGAACGAACGTCAAAATTTTACGACGCGATTTGTTTGTAGTCGTCTTCAAAAAACATGTCGCACATATACGGTGTCTGTTCTCAGAGATGTAGTTTGAAGAAGTCGCTGCCACCATTTCATAGTTTCCTGGTTGCGATGTCACCTTGCGACGTTGATATCGAATCTACGTCGATAAGATGTGTTAACGATGCATTTATGCAAGGTTCTTACATCACACAGATGTTGATGTCACACGATGGTTGGCTGGGTACTTACCTGTAGTCTATATAGTGTCTAGTCTCGTCTTTTTCCGGCCTCTGCTGTCCGCTCTCTATTTCCCCAATTTTGATGTTATTAAAATAACAACACATTTCATGTGGTTATGATTCCATCCGAATTCGCAAAAAAGTTCATATATTTCAACTTCATTGCGATATTCGCAGTCGCCATTTCATTCGCATAAATTTTGCGGAATTCGTACAAGCATGAACATACCATTACTTGGCATATTGGTCGATTTCGTTACCGCTTGCCAGCTTATTATGCCTACAGCAGAAAGCTTGAATAAAACGGGCGCACTGTTCACATGAAAAAGTTGGAAAAGTGACAGTGACTGCTACATAGGTCGCGTGCAAGAACTGTCAGATGACCGACCCTGGAGGCAAAACATATTTGTTTACAAGTGATCGAAATAGTTTTCCACAATTATTTTGGCATATGAATCGTATTTTTTCACTATTCATCAATTCGCTAATGCCATCACATTGTGCTGTTGTAAAATGCACAAAAACTGCAGCGGAAGATGAAAAAATCCGGATGGTACATTATGATTCAAAAGTAAGTACCTACTATAGTCACTCACATAGTTTTCATTTTTGAAATTTGATTATTTCTCTGATTTCTCATCGGAATTCCTTCTGCAATAGGATCAGCTAATAGAAATATACCTAAAATTTCTAGAATAATGCAAGAAGATTGGATTCATGCAATCAATCGGTAGGACTGGTCTGACATGCTGACGATCGTGTGTGTTGTAGACATTTTCAATCTATTAGCAGCATTAGCTTGTATTGCAGAAGTGGCAGAAGGCAGAAGGAATTTTAATAAGGAATGACAACATTTCATAATGCTAACTATGTGAGATTACTATTTACCTGAAAAATCATATTCCCTAGTCTCTTGCTGCATTTTTTGTGCATTGTACAACAGCACAATGCGAAGGCATGCTTGAATTAATGAATAACGCAAGAAACACGATTCGTATGCCAAAATATTGTGAAAAACTATTTCAACCTTTGGATTCCTCTGTGAACAAATGAAAAAGTGAGGTTGTGTTCCAATAATTCACAGAAGAGTGAGGTTGTGTTTCAATAATTCACAGAATCACAGAAGAATGAGGTTGTGTTTCAATATTTTGCCTCCAGGGTCGGTCTTCGTGCACGCGACCTATATTTGGTTAAATTTCAGATGTACGTCCTCGAGAAACCACATTTATCACATTTTTAGGAGTGTTTTTCTAGTACTGTTTCCCACACTGCATAATATGATGATATAGCACCAATATGTATTCACTTTGTCAATATTTGTGTGGTTCTGTCAAACGATCAGAGCTTTTTTCCGCAAAAGTCGGACTGAAACCGACTTTCTAGCTTATGACCTCGATAAGCGCTTTCTGACGAATCGGCCAATGAGATGAGGATACGCTGTAAGTCAAAAAGCGAAAAGCCAGCATGTGAACGCGCCATGAGTGGTGACGACTGGTGCTAGTGGTGCTGTCAGCTGTCAGTAGTTGCAGATAACATTTAACCTCAATGTTTGTTTTGTAAGTTTATTTTCAATATTTTCATATTTGTATTTATTTTTAAACTTTTCCCGGTTCAGTTTCATCCCGTTCAGATTAATCCGAAAATAAACACCTCACGTGTTACGAAAGAATCATAACTTCAATCAACACCTCAATGTTGAATGAATTAAGTAGTTTTGTAATTCAAATTATTCAACATCAGACCTCCTACCACAATATCATAAATGGTTGGCCTAATACAAATTGGAACCTGGCAGAAAATTTCGGATTTGGGGTCAGGTGCTTTTGGAATTGTATCTTTATGGAAAAATAATGAAAATGATGATTGTGTTGGTGGGTAATTTTTCTATGAAACTTTGGAACTATGGACACTAATCAAAATTATTTTTTTCAGCAATAAAGAGATGTAAATTCCAAACAAATATCAATCTGTCTCAGAAACAAAAAGAACGATGGCTTAATGAAGTAGATATAATGAAAATTATCAATCATCCAAACATAATAAAATATAAACCACTTCCTCCTGAACTGGAATCTGCTTTGCTCAAACAAAACCCTACCAACCTGCCTCTTATGCCCATGGAATATTGTAGGAGGGGAAATTTGAGACACTTTTTATGCAAACCAAAGAATATTTCTGGGTTACAAGAACAAGATGTTAGGTATATTTTGGAAGATATTTCCAGTGGTCTTCAATATTTACATAGCCTCAAAATAACTCACAGAGATATAAAGCCAGATAATATAGTGTTACAGCATTGTGATAATCGCTGTGGCAATACAATTTACAAAATAATTGATCTGGGCTATGCCAAAGAGTTACATGATAGTATAGTTAGTTTTGTTGGCACTCTCCACTACCTAGCACCTGAAATATTTGAGACTGAACAGTATAACTATAGTGTTGACTATTGGTCAATGGGTATACTCACTTTTGAGATCATCTGTGGGGTTTTGCCATATTTACCACATATTCCACCTTTTGAGAGGTAATGTCTTAATTTTTTGGCATTCATATACTAGGTATCTAGGTATAACTTCAATTTTCTAGGTTTGGGAAGATTAGAGACAAAGGTGCAGATGACATATGCATTTATCTGAACTATTCAGGTCAAATAACTAATTCATCTGAGATAAAGAAAGAACACTTTATATCAAGCACTCTCAAGAGCCATATAGAGATTTGGCTAAGACATGTGTTACAATTTGATCAAAATAGAAGATGCAAGAATTTCCCAGGCAATGTGAAAGTTTTTGATTATCTCAGAAATGTATTGAAAAAGTCTATTGTGAGGGTTTTTTCTGTGAGGAAGTTGGAATTTTATTCCTATGAGGTAAATGAGGGTACCTTAGTGAGTACTTTGAAGGAGTGGATATCCAGGGATATCAAGATTCCAAAAAATGATCTGATACTCTTATTTGAAAATGGAACTTCCTGCATGGAAAATAAATCTGTTCTATTAGACATCCTAGGTGAAGAAACTGATATTTATGTTATTAGTAAAAATTACTTGACTGCTGAAATAATATCATACACTTTTCCTAAACTTATAAAGGAAGCAATGAAGTCTGCCCTGAAATTTAACTTTTCATATCTGAGGCAGTTGAGAGCACAAATGATTTATTATATAAGTACAGAGAAAACAATAGCAAATTACTTCAGAACAAGTTTTTTCTTGTATTTGCGTTATCTCAATAGTTTGGTAAAAGGGCTGAATAAAAAAATTATGTTGACATCTAAAAGTCTTTCAAAACTGTTAATGAAAGTGGAATGCTACAGTAAAATTAGAGAAAACAATGGTTGTGATATTTACTTCAATTTGAGTAATAAAACAGAGTATAATGACTGCCTGAACTACCTGCTGAGGTTGACAACAAGCTTAGAAAGAAGCATTTCTGATTTTGATGGACTGACAAAAAACATCGAAGTGATATTCAAGAGGCAGAAAATTCTGAAACAGCTTCTCCCTGGAGTTACTAAAATACTGAATAAATATAACTTGGAAGAACAGCTTTCCAGGGCAGTAATTTTACTAGAGAAAACTGCAGTACCCACCAAAAATTTTCAGATTAATCCAAAAGATATGATTTCCAGCATAACTACCCTGGTTTCAGAAACAATTAGAGTCAAAGACACATTGTTCAAGGATAAGCACTTCAAGGCATATTTGAGGTTGGTATACAGGCTAGTGCTCCCAAAATTAAGTATTGAGTATATAATGACAAAAAAACAAATGTTAAAAAAAAATGTGCCCTCCTACCCTAATATCATACCACATCTTTTTACTTTTATTGAACGGCGCGTCTGAACTCGCAAAATACTCATTCAAAAAAAATTTACTACTTTTTATTTTTTTTGTTTTTCATTACCTACTTATATACCTACTTCATCTATCATTCAAATTTTGAAATGACCCGTATATCAACATCATAAAGAAAAAAGGGAAAGAATGGAAGAGAAAAATAGAGAAACTGCCCGCGGATAGCACAATGTCATTCATCGAACGTTCATAGAATATTCTCCGAGAATATTTGAATATTTTCAGAATATTCTCACAAGATGATAAGAACATTCTCGGAATGGACTGTTTTGAATACATATTACTAAAATATTCCTGGTATATTTATAGAAGGAAGTAAATTAAAACAAAGCTTTCTCCGGTGGAGATGGAAATCTACATTTTATTGATTGTAGCTGACTCGGCAAACGTTGTTTTGCTAAAAAATCGTTCATTCGCTATTTACATTATTTCTAGAAAATATTTTTACAGTTGAATATTTAAGAACACACTTTTATCATTTTATATTCTACATTTGTTTAGTTTGACTTACCATAAAAGCATGTTTTCTTAGTTTTTAAAACTACTATTTATTTTCTACTTCCTTTCAGTTTGGTAATCTATCCATTTAGTTTCCTAAACTACTATTCATTTTCTACTTCATTTTAGTTTGGCTATTTATGAAAGCGTATTTCATTAGTTTTTTGAAACACTTTTTATTACAAAGCTCGTTCGACATATTGAATCCGCCATCTTGAATTTTCAAACCATTAGATTTGATCTGCCATCTTGAATCTCTAAATTTTGATGACAGTATCATTATCTCCGAACCCGAAAACCCCCATATATCAATTTTGAATAGAATTGGATCATTATTTCGAAACTCGTCCGCCATATTGGATCCGCCATCTTGGAATTTCCACCCTGTATTTTATTGCATTTTCGGATTCTCCTTTGTGAGCTGATTCCATCAATACATCACACTCGGGATCTAGCGGGGATGATTACAGAGATATAGGGTGTTCAAAATCGAGATTTTTCAGCTTTAGGATTTTTTTGTATCGAAACTATTAATTATTGATCAGAACGGCTCAAATGTTCCCATCTTGACTTTTGATTCACTATTCACTGATATTTAATTTGGACTACAGGGTAGTTCGAAATTCAGAATTATCAACCACCCTGTATTCGTTCAAATTAAATATCAGTAGATAGTAAATCAAAAGTTAAGATAGGGACATGTAAGCCATTTTGACCAATAATGAATAGTTTCCACCCAAAAAAATCCTAGAGTTGAAAAATCTCGATTTTGAACACCCTATATCTCTGTAATCATTATCGCTCGACCCCAAGTGTGATGCGTTGATGGAATCAGCTCACAAAGGAGATTCCGAAAATGCAATGAAATACTGGGTGTCCCATAAAAAGAGTACAACGTATTGATACGTCACGCATTTTGGAGTCACCCTGTATAACTCAAAATATTTTGGAAATGTGCTGCTCATGAGCATAGACCATCACAAACATTTTTGTTCGTTTATCTCAAACAGCGAAGCTGTTATCTCACTTTCCCATTTCAATGATTCACCCTGTATAAATAAGAAGATTTAAAAGATTTCATATGGAATTAGCAGATCTCCATATCCATAAAGCAAATGGGTAGGATAATTCTTGTGCATGAATTCCGTTAATAACCTAATACAAATATAGACCTCTTTAAGGCCTAAATTGTATACAGTGTGACCCACTTCTAGTGTAAACACCTCTGTATCTTACGTATGGTTGGGTAAGAATCCTGAAATTTTCTAGAGCGAGAAGAGATATTCCAAAAATTCAGTCTATGACCAAGTGGGGTCATCTTCAGTGATTTACACTGCTCGCCAATAGCCATATGGTACCACCGCAATTTCCGGAAAATGATATTAGGAGTCAAAATAGGTTGAAAATCACTTCGGATTCGGATTCAGGACGCCCAATTCACTAACTATTCATAGTTTTCCTAGAAAATTTTCAGTTCAGCAGAATAAAATTTTGTCTCACTTCTCATGTAAACACCCCCCCGTATCTCACGTTATTATTGCGGTAGGGTTCTGAAATTTGCAGGAGAAAGGGAAAGTCCAAAGATAAAGTCAATTACGTATAAGATACGGGGGTGCTTCCGTAAAAAGTGCGACAAAATTTAATTTTTCCGAAATGAAAATTTTCCAAGAAAAATATAAATAGTTAGTGAATTGGGCGTCCTGATTCCGAATCTGAAGTGATTTTCGACCTATTTTGACTCCTAATATCATTTTCCGGAAATCGGGGTGGTTCCATGGCTGTTGGCGAGCAGTGTATATCACTGAAGATGACCCCACCTGGTCATAGAGTGCATTTTTGGTATAACTCTCGCTCCAGCAAATTTCAGGATCCTTACCCAACGATTACCTAAGATACAGGGGTGTTTCCTTTAGAAGTGAGTCACACTGTAGAACAATAAGTTCAAATGGATGCACGAATTATTGAGGGGTTGATTCCAACATTCCAACCAACCGATAGTAAATTCGTATGCACAAAAAACTATGAAACACTTTTCCCAGTTTTCCCTCTGTGTCTTTTTTTCTCTCCATATTTGTCCTGTCTATTTCTTTCTTTTTCCCCTCTGTTTCTTACACTCAATTACTTACCCTCACTTTCTTTCTACCTTTTTTTTTTTTTTTTTCTTTCAAGAGACATTTATTAGAGATATGGGGGTTGCTACAGAATGATATTGAGATAGAGATATGCATAGAAATGAGGAGGGATTGAGAACATTTGATCACATGTTTTTTTTTATGATGAAAGGTATTTACTATTCCTACTTTTAGTGCCATGAAGATTGTTTTGAATGGTGCTGATAATATATTGGGCTGGATGGAGCAATATGATAGTCATATCCAAGAATTGGAGACTGCATTTGATCATGTTGAGATCATCCATCATAATATTCTAATCAAAGCAGCTGGAAAAGATGACACCGGTAAATATATGAGATAATCTGAATTGAATTACTGTTTGAAATTTCATTCACTCCACTAAATATTTAATATATCCTAAAGAAATGGAGAATAAATTAAAAGTAAAAAAAAACTTTTTAATTAGAAGCTTTCATTTAAACGCTCTAGAGAGAAGAAAATTAAAGTTTTCTTAATAATTTTAACTATCAACTTATAACCTCTTTATACACAATTTATATGATCATAAAAGTTTGTCGCGCGATTCACTTGTGTGAATGAACTAGTACTTATTTAATTATGTAAAATCTGCTGAGATTAAATTTTTAAAATTACAATTTAATTAAATTTTGATCATCGCAATAAGCTTTTATGATCATATAAATTGTGTATAATGAGGTTATAAGTTGATAGTTGAAATTCAGGGTTGGCCGATATATATCAAGTGATATATATCATGATATGTATCATGATATATATCTGATATTTATTCATTGATATATATCATGATATATATCATTTATTACTTCTTTTTAACAAAATAAATACCGGAGCAAAAAGTCCTTGATATTTTGCGTTAAAAATGAATACCTGACAATAATGCGTTTCGTGGTTATAACTTACAACTCGGGGAATCCCCGGTTTTTGTTCACTGCTTGTTAGGTACATGGTACATCAGGCGTGTTCGTTTGTCCTTGCTCTACCTGCTGAACTCGATTTTTTTCTATGACTTACTTTGTTTACATCATGCCATGAACAGAGACAACTATGGAAAAAGAATCAACTTTAGCAAGTTTAGCAATACAAACGAACAGGCCTCACGCATACAATGATTTGGTGGAAATCGGTTGCAATTCCTGACTCCGAATGGCCAAAAAAAGAACTCTTCTTACAACTATGTGAGCAGTTATTCAGTGCAGTAGCGGTAACAGCTGATTTAGAAAGAATTTTTTCGAGTTTTGGAATAGTTCAATCTAAATTGAGAAATCGTCTAGGCAACGAAAAAGCCAGTAAGCTAGTATTTATTTTTAAATGTTTAAACCCAAATACAGATAAAAAAGCCAAAAGCTTGGACTGGATCTCGTCGAATGATGAATTAGTTGCCTTGAGTGAAGATGATAATATTGATAATGATGATTATATTCCTCTTTCTCGGTTTTGCAATCCTTAAAAATTTATCAAACGACAAGTTTTTTATATCACCATATATTACATATTTTCGGAAAAATATTTTGAATTTTGTTTCGTGTTTTGTTATTTCAAATTAAACCGAGAGTTAAACTGAAGTTTGATTTTTGTTTTTACCAAAATAAAGGTATTTTATATTGTTTTTTTTTGGCATATCAGCCTAGGAACAAAATCGAAATTTCTGATATATATCGGATATATATCCGATATTATGATATTTTGATATATATATAAATATCATGATATTTGCCAACCCTGTTGAAATTACTAAGAAACATTTTATTTTCTTCTTTTTAGAGCGTTTAAATAAAAGCTTTTTATTAAAAGTTTTTTTTTACTTTTAATTTATTTTTTAATTTTTAGTTATCGTTAGCTGGATTTTTCGAGTTACTCTCAACGAGCCTTTTCATTTGATACCCATATTGTAGGAGTATATTAAAAATAGCTATTCCGCCATCTTGGATGGTCCGCCATATTGGATTTAGAATAACGTCACATTATTTTTCGAATTCCTCTCAACGAGCCCTTTCATTTTATACCCATATTGTAGAAGTTTATTGAAAATGACCATTCCGCCATCTTAGATGGTCCGCCATATTCGATTTAGAATGACGTCACATCATTTTTCGAGTTACTCTCAACGACCCTTTTCATTTGATACCCATATTGTAAAAGTATATCAGAAATAGCTATTCCGCCATCTTGGATAGTCCGCCATATTGGATTTAGAATAACGCGACACACCTTATCGTGCATTGTCATCCAAACTGAACGCGTATACAAAATTTCAGCTCAATCGGTTGAAGATTTCTACTTTGAAATTGAGTTCAAAAATTCCAACCTACATACATCCATACAAACATACAATGCAAGTTAAATAAAAGTTTTAATTAAAATAGGAAAGTTTGATGGCATAAAATTATTTTCCTATTCAAAATAATGTGAGTTGAAAAAAAAAACGGAGAATGTGGCATCTAACACGTTATAACACCATAAAATAAGAATAAACATAAAACTGTTTTATTGCAGATAAACATCCATCTGATGATAGTTTTGATAAAGACTTATTTTGTGATTTACCTTCATCATATTTGATTAAAGAAAATCATGAGCTGAGATACAAGTAAGTTTTGAATTCTAATATTCTGTATTCTGTATAATGACATATCCTTTTCTTTATTTTAGGTTTGAAGATGTCCTGTCAGCAAGTATCTTAGAACATAAAATGTTCATAGAATCAATGAAGCCATACTCTGTGCCCTGATTTCCTAATCATTATCATCAAAATGATGAAATAACTATATTTATTTATATTATAAAGTTTACCCCACTTTGAAAACTGGAGCACTTTTATGTAATCCATTTTTCATGAGGGACATTTTGGTATCATCCTAATATTGTGGTTTCTGAAACCAATGGTGAAGTCAAAATTTCCCAAAAATTCATTAATTTCCGTAATCCCATACTGTTAACATAATTTAACGGTATTCAGATGACAATTGAGAAGTTATTGTTGAAACAGCCTCTCCGCCCGTTAAGATTCTTTAACGGCGACCGTTAGCTGTTCCATAACAACACGATGTTGGATTTTCCTGTTGAATTACGAGTTTCCTATGGATTGTTCTTTCCTCGAAATCAAAATGTCATCTTTCAGGGGGATTACGAAAATTCTTGAACGACACACCGCCGATACGTAAATTTGCTATACAGGGTGTATCTAAATAACACCGAAAAAATTCAAGAGGTGTTTCCTTGTGACATCTGACAAATAAAGTTTACATAAACATGTGTCCTAACTTGCTCCGTTTTTGAGATACAGGATGTTGATGTTGGAAGTATTTATAATGGTTTATTTATAACTCCCCTGTATAAGCATTCATGGTGCCAAATTTCAGTATGGATGGAGACTGAGAAAGCTACAAAATTTCAAAATGATCCTAATTGGGGTTATTGAGTAATCTCAATGGAAGTCTTGAAAACACCTACATTAAAATTTTGAGTCAAATCGAATTTTTATTGTTTCCTCAAAAACTGAGCTAGATACAAGAATCATACAGAGGATAAAAAAGTTGTTATTTTAATAGTTCAATCTAATAAAGATATAAAACTCAGAAAAACCGGTGGTGTACAATGATATTCACCATCAATATCGATAAATTTACCCACTGTGACGCCACTGGAAATATTATCTGGAATCTAATTGCACTAGACAAAGCTCCATATTACTATTGACAAAACCACAATGTTTTATTGAAATTGATGAAAAGATAATTGAGAAATGAATAGAAAAAAGATTTTTCATGAAAATATTAATACCCTGTATCTCGAAAATGAAGCAAGTTAGGACACATGTTTATATGAATTTAATTTCCTGAAATATCACAAGAAATCACCTCTTGAATTTTTTCGGTGTTATTTAGATACACCCTGTATATCGGTATTGAATAACTAAAACCGTTTATTTCGACATGGATATACAGGGTGATTCATTAAGAATGGGAAATCTCTGAACTGCAGATAGTAAACACAAAAATAATGAGATTCAGCCCAATATGCCTGATGAAAATGTTGCTGGTTTAGGAGATACAGGGTGTTCTAGGGGGAGATTTTATTTCAAAATTTCACAATAACTTTGTTAGTTTTAACAGCTTGAACATGAAATCTTGTAGTTTTAGGTTTTCTGACATGAGGAATATGAATTTGCAACTTATTTTGTGATTGCTCATAGAGGGCGCTAGTGGCACTGTTACTTCGATAATTTACATCATATCTTCTATGTCAATTCATTGATTATCAAAATAAGTGGAAAATCTGAAAGCTCGCTCAATTTTACATGAAAAATATACTCTTTATCAAATTGTCTAAATTCAACGGTTTTTGTGTTATTCGCTCTTGAAGAGATTTATGTTCCAATTATAGCATTTTGATAATTTTATTTATCAAATCAAGAATTGAAAATTCCTGAACTAAAGATAGTAAACACCCAAATATAAAGATCAATTCCTACATATGCCTCATGAAAATATTGCTGGTTCAAGAGATACAGGGTGGCTAAGGAGAAGATATTTTGAAATAAAATCTCCTTTACCACCCTGTATCTCTTGAACCAGCAATATTTTTATGAGGCATGTTGGGCTGAATCTTCATATTTGGGTGTTTATTATCTGTAGTTCAGAGATTTTCCATTCCTAATTTAATAAATAAAATCATTAAAATGTCATAAGTGAAAAATGAATCTCTTCAAAAGCAAATAACACAAAAACCGTTGAAGCTAGACAGTTTGATAAAGAGTACATTTTTCATGTGAAATTGAACGAGCTTTCAGATTTTCCACTTATTTTGATCATCAATGAATTGACATAGAAGATATGATGTAAATAATCGAAGTAAGAGAATGCCACTAGCGCAAATTCATATTCCGCATGTGAGAAAACCTAGAAATACAAGATTTCATGTTCATGCTGTTAAAACTAACAAAGTTATTGTGAAATTTTGAAATAAAATCTCCCCCTAGAACGCCCTGTATCTCCTAAACCAGCAACATTCTCATCAGGCATATTGGGCTAAATCTCATTATTTTTGTGTTTATATACTATCTGTAGTTCAGAGATTTCACATTCTTAATGAATCACCCTGTATATATAACACAAATCAGAGAGAATGCTCCTGGAAATATTTTTTTTTCAACTCTTTGCTAACATAGATGTTTTTATGTTATTAATGTTGAAACAAAATCTTTGAAATTTGCTGTAAAATGTGGATTTTGTAACGGTGCTTCCGTCTTTATAGTGGATCACACGCTACTGTATACATCCTATTTATTTTCAGATGATTATTTTGTTTACTATATATTTTATTATTTACTCTCTAGGTACCCCTCATTCAATTGAGCCACAAAGGCCGAATACGATTTTTTTAATTTATAATTATTTAGAATTCAGTATTATTCAGGGTGTCCCGAAGTTACATAGGAAGATTTCAACCACAGATTCTAGGAACAGTAACAGTAAAAAAAGTTCATATATACAGGGTGTCCCTAGACCAGTGGGACAGTTGAATATCTCCTGAACCAATTGGAATTTTCAAAATATTATAATTTCACATCATATCGCATTATGAGTGCTAACTTCAGGAAAGACTATATTTTATACGAGGTGCGCAAGAAAGGCTCACAAAATCGAACATCAATTTTTTCAAATGGAACACCCTGTATTCCATTGCATTTTCATATTCTCCTTGAAGAGCTGAGTTCAACGACCTGACACACTTGGGGTCTAGCGGGAATGATTTCCGAGATATAGGGTGTGGAAAATCGAGATATTTCATTTTTGGGAATTTTTTGTGTCGAGACTATTCATTATTGGTCAAAACGGCTTACATGTCCATATCTTAACTTTTCATTTACTATTTACTCGTATTTAATTGAAACAAATACAGGGTGGTGTAGAATTCTGACTGAAACTGTTAATTCTACACCACCCTGTATTTGTTTCAATTAAATACGAGTAAATAGTAAATCAAAAGTTGAGTTATGGACATGTAAGCCGTTTTGACCAATAATGAATAGTTTCGACTCAAAAAATTCCCAAAAATGAATAATCTCGATTTTCCACACCCTATATCTCGAAAATCATTATTGCTAGACCCCAAGTGTGTCAGGTCGTTGAACTCAGCTCTTCAAGGAGAATATGAAAATGCAATGGAATACAGGGTGTTCCATTTGAAAAAATTCGATTTTGTGAGCCTTTCTTGCGCCCCTCGTATAAAATATAGTCATTCCTGAAGTTAGCACTCATAATGCGATGTGATGTGAAATTATAATATTTTGAAAATTCCTATTGGTTCAGAAGATATTCAACTGTCCCACTGGTCTAGGGACACCCTGTATATGCATATTACTCTTCATGCCCGATTTGGAAATCTTGAGATATTTCCAGAATTTTGATAGGGGCGTGGAAAATAGGTGGGGCTACGGACATTTCTTCCCCCAAATTTTTTTCCCACGCAGTTTTCGGCACCAGGAAGTATGAAAATATCATAATTTTTATTTAAAAATGATACTCTTGTTCAGTTTCAATAGACTCACAATTTTCGAGATAAATCGATTTCAAAAGTCTGCTGCCTAACAAAAATAGTGCTTATTCCATATTACAGGGTGTCTGTAAAAGGTCTTCACAAAAACATACCACATATTCCTCAGACCAAAATAAGTCGATTTAAGTAAAATTACCCTAGTACAAAGTTGCATCGTTTGGGCTCCGCGCAACTCATTTACTTTGAAAAAAGTACTCTTGGTAAGACTCGATTGCTCTCATGGTTTTGACAAAATTTGCATTTTAGTAATTTTAGAACATAAACAATGATTATTAAAATACAAACTTTGTCAAAACCATGAGAGTAAATCGAGTGTTATCAAGAATACTTTTTTGTAGTAGATGAGTACCCAATCCAAATTTCATACTCAAACCCCTTTTCTGCCATTGGCGTAGAATTTTTAAAAGGGCAATTATTTAAAAAATCAAGTTCTACGCCTATGTATTATTATTAATTTTCTTCGACGTATAAATCTTTGCATGCGTGATGGTGAACATTTTGAACAATTTTTGTAAAATCTCTATTTATTTTGATTATGTTGTGAATAAGTATTTTATGAATAACCATTAATTTGAACAGTTTTTCAGAGACAAACATCCTTTTGAACAGTGCCGAGTTTTTTTATTGAAATAAAAAGAGGTCGATTTTTCATGAAATCATATAGTATAGAGAAACTAACTTCATACATTGTTCCTCACGCTTCCGAACCCCCATAAATCAACTGAAAATTTTGGAATGTTATTCAATAGCTCCGGTATGTAGAAAATGATGATTTGAAAGACAAAACAAGATACAGGTATTTACGTTCGCAAAAATGCTATTCAGATGTGCCAATAGCTGTTTTTTTGAAACCCTTTATACAGGATGTTGCGAAATTCCACCGACAACGCTTGACAAGTGATAGCCCTCGTGATTTCATAATCACTGAGATAGGGACTTCAAGTGTTCAATTCTCGAGATACACAGGGCGTTCCTAATATGATTTCATGGAAAATTGGCCCCTATTTTCATTTTAATTAAAACTCGTTCGTCTCTGAAATAGTTATTTATGTACCAAGGACGAAAAACTGTCTATTATAGTCGAGTCTGCAAATTGATAGCCGAGGCTAGCAATCAGGCGAGACAATAGACAGTTTTTCGCCGAGGTGCATATTAAATTTTTTCGTCGACACATCACGGTCCTATTCACACGTGAAATCTATCGGATTCCGTGAATAATTAATTTGACAACAGCAAATGACAGTCGTTGTCAACTCTCTCTCCGCGCGGACCAGGGTTGCCAGTTCGATTTTTATCCCATCAGTAAATACCTTGTCAAAAATTCAGATTTATTTTATGCTATACGAATTCCAAGAAAGGATAATGAAATGAACCTGTATGACGTCAAAAAACATTATGTGCTTCTACGAAAAGTTAGTTTCTGCGGCTGAAAAGTACTTGCTTTCGGAAATAGTCAGTTTTTCGTTCGGAAATTAAGATCGTAAAACGAAATTTTTTGTAGAGGGCGACGAAAAAACTGTTTATTCGTACATTTTATCAGTCATGTTATCGTACTTATTGAGATTTGATAATGCTTTCCTAAATAAGAAATGTCGTTTTATTTCAAAATTCTAATTAAAGTTAGACTGAGGGGTATACCTATACAATTGTTACAATCGATTTATATTTGTGAATCATTAAATCATGTTATCAGTTATGATATTTGTTTTATTTCACTGTTTATATGTCATACGGCTCATCACCTGAGTGTATAGCATCAAAAAATAAGCAGGTCTTCATTTCAGAAGATTAAAACATGCAGATGTCAGATTTACCTTCAGCTAAAAATGTTCAATAAAATCACTACTGAAATATGCCAAAAGTTTATTCATTAAATTGAATATTTTTTCTATATACTCATCTATATATAAATGTACAGTTTAGGAGAATATATTCTATAAAATATTTCAGTGTGGCCGGCTATTTTGCGGATTTACAAGGTGAACCGGTATAATTCTCAAAATAAAAAGTACCCCGTTACTCGGGGTGTGTGGGGTCGATTCCAACAGAGCTCTAATTCACATAAAAATTCGAATTTCTATTCTAGAAAGGGTTAATTCAAACCATGTAAGTGAAAAAAAATGGTCCATCATAATTGAAAATAATATTTTATTTATTAAAATAAACTTTTTATTGTATACATGAGTGAACAAAATATTCCTCTAACGATGAAAGGAATAACTGAAAGTGAAAATTAAAAAAAAAACATTCTTTCAATTATCGCAGAAAAATACATTTTTTTCTGTGACGGGAAAAAAGTTTGGCATTTCATCTCTGTTGGCAGGTTATAAAATGTCACTTTCCATAAATTACTTTTTTCCCGTGGGAAAAAAGTGAGTACTTTTTTCCCGGATATATATATCACATATATATACACTGTTGATGGCTTTTGTTGTGCTATAGTTCCGAAAAATGAGTCAATAATACCGTCTCCGAGAAAGAACTGCAAGTCCTTATCTTCGATTCGACTTCGCGGTTACGTATATTACTAAACAACCACTAAATTCGCAATTTTTTGAAATCAAATCACAGAATTAGACTGACAGAAGTGACATCAAATATTTGATTACTTCAAAAGAATGATAAAGATGCCTATAGAACGCAGGTGTCCCTACTGTTAAAAACTTAAAATTTCATGTCGATAATTTTCAGATTTCAAAATAAAGTAACATTTTCTCAATATTGATTCGTCCTTTCTTCTGTCACAGAAAAAAATAGTGTATTATACACGGGAAAAATATTAGATTTTAGCTCACGGTTTTTTGTCTCCCTCCGCTACGCGTCGGGAGACAACACAACCTGGAGCTAAAATCTACAACTTTTTTCCCTTGTATAATAAATAACTATTTTTCTAATATCATAATGAAATTGATATCAGTTCTTGACAACATGTTCACAGATTTTGAAGTTGGTACATCCTCACCATCAGGATCACAAACCAAAATTACAGTAACCTTTTTCTACAGGGCACACAAAAAAACTGTTGGAGAATAATTGAATATTTCGCTGTAGTAAAAGAAAATATTAAAAAATTGCCGTGCATTCGAATTCACCCAACGATGTTATTCGTTCATTCGTTTGTTTGTTTATTTATTTATTTATTTATTTATTTATTTATTTATTTGTTTGTTTGTTTGTTTGTTTGTTTGTTTGTTTGTTTGTTTGTTTGTTTGTTTGTTTGTTTGTTTGTTTGTTTGTTTGTTTGTTTGTTTGTTTGTTTGTTTGTTTGTTTGTTTGTTTGTTTGTTTGTTTGTTTGTTTGTTTGTTTGTTTGTTTGTTTGTTTGTTTGTTTGTTTGTTTGTTTGTTTGTTTGTTTGTTTGTTTGTTTGTTTGTTTGTTTGTTTGTTTGTTTGTTTGTTTGTTTGTTTGTTTGTTATGTGATGAATAGGCTCCAAAACTATTTACTATTGAAAACCGACATTATATCCCTGATGAACAAAGGCTATACTTGCAACCGCGCGAAAATGTTTCATTCCTACAGGAAAACCGACGGAAAACGAATAATAATAGGACAACCCCGAGTAGTAAGAATTATCCTTCCGTACTTTATATCTTTTTCACATAACTTCTAAGCAGCTGAAACGATTTGGTCGAAATTTTATATAAGTATTTCGACGGTTTCCTGGTTAATTGGACGCGGTAGGTGACGCTGCTGTAGATACGAAAGATACTGGGAGAATGAAAATAGCAGGTGTATATAAGTATATAATATGGCTATTTTTTTAAATGGGTACACCAACCGTGCGAAGCCGGGCCTGACAGCTAGTTTATTATATACATGTTTTTCCATTTAAAAAGCAGAAAATTATAAAATATTTTTGAAGTAGGTATTCAAATACTATCTCGATAAATATTTGTGAATACCTACATGATGATGGGGTACGTATTTGAATACTTCTAATGAGGTGTATTATTTATTGTTAATCTGTGCTTCAGATATAAATTTGAATACTCCGCGGTAATATCATCGAATATCTACTTGAGATAAATTCCTCTTCATTACAAATCTATTTGCAAATACTAGAATATATAAATATTAATTATATCCCAATAAAAAATATATGTGTAATGTACCTACTTTTGTTAGTTTTGTTTCAAGTTGTATGGGTGTTTTCTATGTAATGAGCTGTGGAAACAGTCACAGAATAGTTGATTATATTACGTGAGGTTGGTTCATCTTTGATTATGGAATTTTGTAATTGCATACCATTACTTAGTACAAGGTCTAATAACTAATTCTACTAATTTCCCATCTGAAACTAAAATGGGCAAATTTTTGATTCAAACTTACCGCTCGAAAAATAACCGGTAGTGACCTTTTGCCGCGCAACCTTCGTATTTCCACGATGATTGGCGAAAAAAGTCGTCCTTTGTTTGGCCGACATTTGTGCTGTCTGTCTGTTGGAAACGCGTGTTGAATGGAATTTTTGATGAATTCCTTGTGAAAAAAAAATGGCAGAATCAATCGACGATCTATTTGAATGCTTCGAAGAGGATGGCAACGAGGGAAACTCGCAAACTTCTACGGAGACTCCTGAACATGATCAAATAGCTAACAGGTTTGTAGGTTTCATAACCTCAAAACACATCGTCGGCGAACTGACAATACCTGCTAAGTGCAATATAGTGCAGAGCAGGTTTTTATACAGGAGATGAATAAAACATAATCTAGTAACAGGTCAAGTCGATAGCAGATATTGTTTTCCTTCAATGAAGTAAACAAAGGATTCATCTGGAGGTAGCAGTTCATTTCAGATTGTGCGCAATGAATATTGAAAGCTATAACTGCATGAAATACCAATATTCGAAAAAAATGTTACTTAGCAGGTATTGTCAGTTCGCCGACGACATGTCCATTTGTGTTCTTTTTTTGCAAACAGTGTTCCTGTTTCTGATGTATCCGTTAAAAGAAAGAACGACAAAGATGAGGAGTCTGTTCCAAAGAGAAGCAAAGCCGATGACGATGTTGACGTAGGCGATATCAAGTGAGTTTCAAAGCAACTTTTCCCACCAAGCAAAACATTTTTTGTCTTCTTTTTTCATAGTTTTGATGAGCTGAAAAACCGAATTATTGTCTATACCATTGATACTGATGCTTGTACACATGAGGTAGCTTGCCCACCAAGGCAAGCTTATGTTCCTCTGCAACCATCTAGAGGTGAACCAGTGAAAAAATACCCCTTTGCACTAGATCCATTTCAAAAAGAGTCCATACTCTGCATTGAAAATAATCAGTCAGTCTTGGTTTCTGCTCATACTTCTGCTGGAAAAACTGTGATTGCTGAGTAAGTGAGATGAATTAGATTGCATCCTTATACCTACCTACCTTGAATATTATTTCTGCTATTTGTAAAATTTGTAACCTTCTTGATTTTTCTTCTTTCAATGGCATGGAAATAATTAGGAACATTCAGATTTGATAAACCTCATACTTATCCCATTTACATTCAATTTATTGTATGCCTGTGCATCTCCTAGTGATAAATTTCATAGGCAGGTACAGAAGTTATAAAAACTGGAAAGGTGAGTCCTGGTAAGTCTGATATTTTGTTTGAATTTGTGTGCACAAGGTTTATTTTAATTTTTTAGTAGGCACACATTCATGCAACTGATAAGTTCTATTTATTTCTAGATATTGAAGGATTCATTTATATTTTCTGAATTATTTTTGAGAAAAATATCTTATTGTTTTTCGTGAATGTGAGATGTTTTGAGGATAATTTTTTTGTTATATTCTCTAACAAGGATTAATAAATTCTGAGAAACAAGTAATTCAAAAGTATTCCATAATTTTTTCATGTTGCTAACATTGCTTATTCTGTGAGAAACAGGCAGTGCACTACTAGAATTGTTACAACAACTTTGAATCTAACAAAAAAATTACTGAATCTCAGCATTTATGCACCAAAATATTTTCCCTCCATTTATTTACTTAAGATCATCAAGGAAGATGCATATACCAACTAATTTTATGAATATTTTTTTGATTTATGGAAATTCAACTGTGTAACTGCAGTATCTGAATAATCTGCAAATCACAGATGTACAGAATGTGCAAAATTGCTTGATTTTGGCAGTTTTCCCTATTTCCAGAACAGCTAGAGAAAAACTGACCTTGATTTTTGTGAAACATTGATTGGTGAAAATCACAATTTCATATCTTCAACTGTTTCCAAGATATAGGTGACAATTGATATTCTACTGATTTCAACAAAATGTCATACTTAACTGTTATTTCTGGATATTTTTCCAAGTGGTAAGAACTTTCTATAGAAGGGGAGTGAAGTGAGCAACATCAGAAAAAACTTATCAATTGTTTTGATATCATAGCCAACTCTGTTATCTTAAATTGAAACCATTGTTGGCTTTGACTTCAGAAAATTGGAAAGAATAGCATATAATATAATTACAAGAAATATACCTATTTAGTTTCAATGATTTGATTGGAAAAGTGGAGTAACAAATGGTCTTCTCATTTATGACAAAAGGCTGAACACCTAACAATACATTGTTATTTTGAAACTTGTGGGGTTTCATAAAAAAACAAATATTTAAAACTATATCCCGAACAACTGAAGAATGGGCACTGATAATGAATTATTGGCATTCAATTCAATGTGTTGTTAGGAACCTAAATTAATTTTTGCAACACATCTCAAGCTTTGTTTATGTAAATAATGTGTCTATGTGTTGTTCAAAATTGTCCGCCATTTGGTGATAGATAATCTTCCATTTCCACTCATGAAGCAAGGTTGTCAAGTCACCAATTATAATCATGTTATCAAAAAGATGGTTGTCATTGAATAAAACATAATAGAAGGAACCCATGATATTATAGTTCATTCTTGACTTTTTTGAGCAACCAGCATGTCCAAACATTTGTTATTCTCCATAACAGGTACCATGTTAATTTTGGAGACTTGGCAACATCGTGCTGAATGCTGAGAACTGACAAGACCACGCCCACAACTCGTGCGCCGTGTTGTCACGTTCACCGATTCAAATGTCCTCTAGTGTGAATTAATATCATTATTATTTACACAAATTTATTATAAGCAATGACCCACAAATCATAAGGGAACATTTTGTGACAATTTAGTTTTTATTGCTTATTAGGAATATTACCAATGCTCAATTTATGAATTATTGAATAACTTATATTTCTGAAGTTCCCAATTATATTTCAACACATGGCAACTGTGCTATGGTTTGCCCCTACTTAGGAAATCGTTTGAAAATTACCGTGGCATATGAAATTGAAAGGTATTTGAGTGATGATTCTATTTAGGAAATAAAAAAAAATAGTCCACTCCCTACAATAGCAAAGAGTGAGAAATGCCATTGCTTGAATAACAACTTTCAAACGTCCAGAAATCAGTGAAGAAGAGATGCCATGTTTGTTTTGACCAAAGTGGTGGACAACTCAAATACTATACTGTCTGTAGGTGTTACATTCATTTTACTTGATTTTTTTGGGATTTTTTCTCCGCGTTTCTATAAAATAAAAATATGCCTATTATTTTAATATATTTGTCCCACTACAAACGAGGCCTGACAATGCCTAGTTTTTTTTTCGATTTTATGAAGTCAACGCCAATTATGGTTTCTCAATACTGTTTTTATTTGAAATATCAAACTTGGCTTCAATAAAATCAAACAATTTATAAGCAATAAATTCTTCATAGCCGAAGTATAAAGTTGTCCTATAACTGCGAGTATAATTGCCAGCAGACCGATAGACAGTTTTGCCAGCTGCTAAACATGAAATGTCGCAAAAAATTGCGAAAAAATCTACTAGAAGCCGCTATAGCGAGCGAAGCGAGCAGAAACACCGCTGCAGGCGATTTTTTTTTAAATCTAGCGACTTCTATTCGCGATTTAGGGACAATTTGGATCATATATCTCCATTTTCAGTTAAAAATCAGGGGACAAATCGTATTAAACTTTATTTATTCAGAATCTGTTCAGAAAAAAAGCACATAAAAAACAAAATAAATACTTATAATTTTTTCTATGAAATTTTATTCAGTACTATATTAGGAACATTGGTAAATCTCAAAATATATTTCTCGGTCGTATATTTGAAGTATTTTTTTGATTAAATCACACATCAATGAACCTGTCAAACCATGTCAACTCATATTTCTAGTTCAACAACATACAGATCTGCGACTTCATTGCTATAAGTCACATTTGTTCCTATAAGTTTCAATACTGATTTAGGCAAAATAAAATCTTCACAAGCATCACAATTTTTTAAATCATATGGAATATAAAAAATATTTTTCAGAAGTGGCACAAATGATGAAGACAAACCCTGTCATATGTCGTTCTCTTCTCTGATTATCTCTTAGTTTTGAATGTTTCAATGTGAATTCATATCGGTTGCCATAAATTCATGTGATCAAAATATCTCCATATAAACCGCTATGACTATGTTGAAAACGCTAGAATTCGGACACGTCGCAAATCAAGTTGAAATGTCACACACCCTAAACACTCTGGTATTAATGACAAAACCGTTAAGGTGGCAATCCTGCCGAGAGAGGCTGGTGTGATCTGATGAACCGAAACAGTACTGTCTTGATCTTGCTGGCAATTGGGACAATTCTATTCTTATAAGATCTCTTATTTAAAGATATATGTCTTTGAATATAAATGATTAGATTCATTTGATCAAAATTTTCCCATGATCCACAAAATGAAAATGAAGCCTTCAGTTTTTAGATTCGACGTTTATTTTTCAGACATTGTTTTTTTTTCATTTTCCATTGAGACTTGATATCCTAAGAGAAATTTTGTTACCTATCTTGTTCCTGTACCTATATTTCACTTGGTTTATCAAACAATCCATATTTCTGGATGTTCCTATTTAGGTAACAAAATTAAAATGAAACTCAGAAATATTGTTCCCAGTGCACTTAGTGTTATGTTTACGTTTACCTTGAACCACTAATATGATATTTTTGGAAAAAATGAAAATAGTCCAATAGTTCAAGATAGTTGAATGTTTTAATTCCCATTGTGTAATTTATTTTGTAACTTAGCATCATTACCTTTTGCCTCCAAACAATTTTTTACAGATATGCTATAGCTACAAGTTTAAAAAACAAACAGCGAGTAATTTATACCACACCCATCAAAGCATTGTCCAACCAAAAATATCGAGAATTTCTTGATGAATTCAAAGATGTAGGGTTAGTTACAGGAGATGTAACTATCAATCCAAGTGCGTCATGTTTGATTATGACTACTGAGGTAAATTATTAAGTGTTGTATCTTTCAAACTTTGATAAAAAATAACATACATATTATAACATAAATACGTTAACAGTGTAAAGATGAGGTTCTACCCGAATCGAACAAAATGGCCAAAAATAAATCGATGAATAAATCATGGAGAACTAAATAATAACATTTATAATAAATATCATTAACCTCACCTAACAACCGCTTCATGAACATTTTTGATGAGTTGCTGGCGCGCTTTCATCGGATCTATTCGTATCTATCTGTCATCGTGACAGAATGAACGATAGTGGGTATAGAGGGGGTAAACATAGACCAATGAAACTTTTCAAATAACTGCTGCTCTTCTGATAGACGTTTTGTCCCTCTCTTGCTACCATTGTACTGTCTCAGTAGCGGCTGGGCTCTATTGCTAAAGTGGTTCTGAGTATAAGTACCTGCCCCTTTCTTACCCAAATATTGTTCATTAGATTTTTTTTTCCATTTGATATTTGGTACAAAGATCTTTTCACTACCCAGCCACAAACACTCGCTCCGCTCTGCTCCGCTCGTGCTTAAAATACTCGTTACTAAATGGACGTTTATAACACTTGTTACATAATATGAATGAATGAATGCGGTACACCGTTGGTTTTGGGAGATCAGAAGCTTTTAAAATCCATAATAAAAAATCTAGGGCCGTATTTACATTAATCAAGTTGATGATGGCAGCTCAAAGACAAAACGTCTGTCTGAACACCATCTCGTAGAACAGAAAAAGTAGCAATGAGAATATGTAAATTGTTTTTGTTGTCATCAATTTTAATAGTCATAAAAAAATTTAAATGAAATCGCGAATATTCGGGTTTTTTGAAAAATCTAGTAGTATCTATTCAAAAATTTTCGAATTTCAAAACGACATTTTGTTTGGCATAAAATTGCGAAACTTTGCCATAATTTAACCGACCCTTTATCTTACGGTTTAGGGGATCCCAATGATAAGGCTCGAATTTCGAAGACTGGAAAGTATTTACGCTCTTCATTTCTCATTTTTGTACTCTTGTCAAATTTGGGAGTAAATTCCAAAAAGTCTATACTACAGGGTGTTTTGATTACACAATGAGTACATTTTTATTCAACTCGGACCTGGATTTCTTCTGAATAGTACGTTAGTCGCTTGGGTAGTGGAAAGAGAGCTTAAAATGAAATTATACTGGATGTTCCGTTGGTCATGATTGTATGAAAAAAATCTTCAAATCATGCTGCATATTGATCATTAAGATTGTTGAGATGCATCGAATGTTATATCCTCTATCCACTGTTGATGTATTTACGTTTCCAAATGCAACACAGGATTCTATAAATGGTTGTAACATCGCGGTGGCCATTGAAATATTTTGTTGATTTGTCGCTGCCGAGAATGGCTATCCCAGAATTCCCAAAACAAATGGATAGGTCGTACAGGACCAATAGAATATGTAGGTACGCTCGTCGGACTTGGCACCAAATGATTTGTTGTTTGGGGGTTATTTGAAATCTGTAATCTATTGAACGGAACCTACTGACCTCAACGATTTTGAAGGAAGAATAAGGATTGAATGCCAGACAAGAGAAACAGCTTCAAATATGCAAATTGACTCTACCACTGGCTACGGGTTAATATGAAGGTCATTTTGATTTTTTTTTTGTGAATACCTATTTGACAATCCTTTCAACTTTGAAGTAGTAATATACAAATTTCACAAACAAAATTTAACAATTAAAATACATACCGTTTGAAAAGGAATATCCCGAGAATGGCTTGTTGCAATTCAAAAAGCTTTCCACTGCTAGTGTTAGCATTGAATTAATTTTGCATGGTACAACTTGACCCTCATTTACTATTCAAATTATAGAGGTGTTGAAGTATGTATTATTTTCTTTCCGTCAAACGGTGTCTCCCTCCAAACAAAAACCGATGTGTTGAAATTGAAATTGAAATTGAAATTTAAATTTATTGAATTGAAATTGCATTACATGGTGAAAATCAGATAACAAACATACATATACATACCCATATATTAGTTACCACCTGGTATGAATTCTAGTTGTAATTTCCATATTTGAATATTCTCAATATGTAAAGCTTCCATTCACCGTGTAGATTCTGCTTGGTGCTTTATCAGTCGTATCATTGGACTACATATTGAAAACACAATATGAAAGAGGCAGAAAGTTTACTTCAATAAAGATGATGAATTGTGAAAAACGCATAGATGGATAGATGGTCGTAGGAAAATAATATCTTAACGGCCACTATGATACAATCATTTATAGACACCCTGTAACATTTCTTTCATTGAAAATTCCACATTAGTTACTTAACCAATCAAATTGTTTTTTTTTTTACAAATTACCAAAGCAAAGTATGTATTCTAGTAATTTTTTTTTCACCAGCAAAATGAATCGGAAATTTCTAGACTAAATTTCTTCATGAAACTCCATGAAAATCAAATGGAAAAATAAATTCTAAAATTACTTAGTTTCCAAACAAAATTTGGTGTGAAATTTTCTTAACGGATACGACACGAGATTAAATTATTCGGATTTCCGGAAATAATTCAACCTCTTGTGGTATTACAAGTAAAAATATTTTAGATCCTTCGAAATATGCTATACAGAGGTTCTGAAATAATGCGCGAAGTGGGTTGGGTCGTATTCGACGAAATCCATTATATGCGCGACAAAGAAAGAGGCGTCGTCTGGGAGGAAACTCTGATCCTGCTTCCGCACAACGTGCATTTCGTCTTCTTGTCGGCGACCATACCGAACGCCAGACAGTTCGTAGAATGGGTCGCCCATTTGCACCAGCAGCCGTGTCACGTGGTCTATACGGACTACAGGCCTACTCCGCTGCAGCACTTCATCTATCCAGCTGGCGGTAGCGGCATACACATGGTGGTGGATGAATCGGTAAGAATCGAGTTCCTTACGTTCGGAGTGCAGAATGTTTTCTTGAGTGTTTTCACCTCTGATAGTTCAATCATTGTCGATCTAAATGGATAAGCTAGTTAGTAGGCTAGTGGTAAAAATAGATAGATAAGATAAACTTTATTTTCATTTTTGACAATTACATTTCAAATCATATGTATAGGAATACAGTCTTACAAACTAAAGGGACATATACTCGTCTACACTATAAAAACAGTTAGGTAACAGAAAGTCTTTCAATCTTCCTTTAAACATAGCCAATGTTTCACAGTTTTTTATATTGATTGGCAGTAAGTTGAAAATTCGTGGGGCCATGAGATTAGGATAACTATATGCTAATTTACATATTTACATTTACCAAATGGGACATATACATAATTTTTTTGCCGGGTATTCGCATTATGTTCAGATTTATTGGGAACAAAATATTTATCATAATTTTTATATACAAACACAATATTGTAACCTAGAGTCACTGCATGGTATTAGTTTGATAAGAGTTCGGACACAGAAATGACAACGGTTAGGGTTTTTGAATGTTTAGATTTATTAAGTAACACACCCTGCATTGTGACAAGAGCACCATAGTCGTCCCCGCGTTTTCATCCAAAATTGTTCGAATTTGACAATTAATTTTATTAACGTCAGAATTGAAATAAAATTTCATAATTATACTTTCGAGAAAAAAGCAGCTATGGAAATCACTTGCTGTGTAATAAATTATGCCAATTCTGAAAAAAATGGATATCATTTATTCAATTTTCCAAATCAAACATCAAGCATTCGCTTATGCCTGGAAGGAAGATATGGAACGGCCTGGGTGGAAAATCAATATGAAGACGAGCAAAATTTTTGAGGTAGGTACTCATTGAAATTCACTTCTTATAACAGCATCTGATTAGAATGAAACTATATTTTAGATCCATATTGAAACAGAAGATTTCAAAATCTGTTTGAGAAAATCTGCTGTTCCATCAATTTACAAAGCAGACGATTTCAAGAACAAAATTCCATTATTATCATCACACAAAATGTAAAACAAAATAATCATGGAAAATGGGGAAAATATCACTAAATTACATAATGAAATTACCCACCATTAGTTTAATATTAATAACTTCATGTTTTATACTTATCACTGGAGTACAGTTTCACATACAATAAGGAATTATAGCTATAAGTTTATCCATATGTGTATATATTTTCTAATATTAAAATGTTGTTACATGCATTCTTTTCATTTATATAACAGTTGCTTGCTAGAAGTTTATCACTATTAATTGAAGTGGGTGTTTGTACCCTATATCCATTGTCCATCTACTGCTATGATTGATTTGACAGAAAATGTAACCTCTAAAATCGTATCTGACAATCAGGCGCTACTAGGGAAATTGAAAAGACAAAGAGCAGGATATATGTCTTATTCTTTTATTCACTTAAACCATTGTATTATAGAAAATAGAAAAGGACAAAAGTTCAGCTGTGTCCGAACTCTTATCAAACTGATACCATCCAGTGACTTTATTGTAACCCAGAGGTTGTGAGTTCGACTCTCACACAGGGCGGTGGAGTTTTTTCATTTTAGATTGTCACTCGAAATTAGGGCTTTCCATCTTCATCATTATATGTATCTTTTCGGTGGAGTAACCGACAAAAATTATGACTTGACTCCTATAAAAACATCTTTCCATTGTGAAGATAGGCCCCAGAAACATAGACCATATCTGATTCTAGAGTCAATCTGAGTATAATACAAGGTCAACAATTGATTCATATTCAAAACTTGTTTTAAGTTTCTCAATTGTTATGATATTGTGTTCAATTACTTTGTTAATGTTGCACAATGGTTATGCTACCCCAAACATTGATCGATAGAGTCCCAGGAAATTGGTTCTTTCACTATCTGTAATAACAAGATCAAAATTTTCCTTCGCCTGGAAAGTCACACTTTTTCTGACGATTGTGATATCGAATCGAAACTGTTTTATCAACATTCAATTAAAGGTTATTTGCAGAAATCCATCTATTCAAATCTTGAAAAACTTGATTGCATTTATCCTTGAGGGCTGAATCATTCTTATCAGAGATAATTATGGAGGTATCATCTGCATACATGGTCATAGATGTATCAATTGACTTATCGAGGTCATTAACATAAAATAGAAATAATATAGGTCCCAAAATTGATCCTTGTGGAACCCCTAAATCAGTTGAAAAGAAGTCAGATGGTATTTTGTTGATTTCAACAAATTGTTTCCTAAAAGAAAGATAGAGTTTATACAAGAGAATGTTATGGTCAACGCAATCAAATGCCCTGCTGAGATCACAGAAAATCCCAAAAGGGCATTCCTTCGCCTCAATACATCTAATTATCTCACTATAATAGAAGTGAATGGCTGTGGTAGTTGATTTGCTGCCCATTGAACAATAGGTCGCGTGCACGATGACCGACCCTGGCGGTTTTCTGTAAAACATTGAATTACAACCTCACTTTTTTATTTGTTTACAGAGGAATCAAAGGACTGAAATAGTTTTTCACAATATTTTTGCATACGAGTCGTGTTTTTTGCGCTATTCATTAATTCAAGGATGCCTTCTCATTGTGCTGTTGTACAATGCACAAAAAATGCAGCGAGAGACGAAGGAATATGAGTTTTCAGGTAAATCCTAATCTCACATAGTCTTCACTATGAAATTTTTTCATTTCTCATTATAATTCTTTCTGCCACTTCTGCAATAGAAGCTAATACTGCTAATAGATTGAGAATGTCTACAACACACATGATTATATTTTTTAGCATGTCAGACCAGTCCTCCCGTTTGATTGCATGAATTCAATCTTCTTGCATTCTTTAAGAAATTTTACGAGTATTTCTATTAGCTCCTATCGCAGAAGGAAATCCGATGTGAAATCAGAGAAAGTACCAAATTTCAAAATGAAAACTATATGTAAGTGACTATAGTAGGTAATTACTTTTGAATCATAGTGTGCCAACCGGATTCCTTCGTCTCTCGCTGCATTTTTTGTGCATTGTACAAGAGCACAATGTGATGGCATGCGCGAATTAATGAACAGCTGAAAAACACGATTCGTATGCCAAAATAATTGTGAAAAACTATTTCAATTATCTGTAAACAAATAAGAAAAGTGAGGTTGTGTTTCAATGTTTCCCCTCCAGGGTCGGTCACCTGACAGTTCTTGCACGCAGCCCATAACAATTATTCATTTTTTATTCATAACCTAAACATTTTTCATGTTTCTGTCAAGTTTATAACCCGAGGTTGAAACATCATCAAAAAGATATTTATCAATTATGAAAATCATCTACCTATACTTGAATGGAATCAGGAAATTGTTTACGCAATGCTATATTAGCTCAATGTATGATGCTATTTGAATTTGGGTAGGAACTGCGGAAACCTCGGCTGAAATTCATCAGTGCTGTTATGAAAAGGCAACGTTACTCTTTGCACTTTTTTGACATCCAAGCCAAGTAGATAGGTAGGGGCTGCTTATTTCCCTTCATAAAGTTACTGCAAAGTCGGTCGTCTAATCGCCTATAGAACGGCAAAGGTTCGGAATTCTTTACCAATGGAAGTATTCCCAAAAAATTGACACCTAACTCCTCTACTTATGAAAAACCACGACAGTTTGTTTGTACACATTCAAACCCACAAACTCTCAAAATCAGACAGTGGCATAAATATAACCTAAAAGAAGCACTTGAAAACGAACAATCAAAATAATAACTACTAGAAGCTATGAACTAGTTTTAGCGACTAGCCAGATGCCGGACGCCCTGTACCATTAGAAGCACAGAGCTACAGTTAGTGGTTACATAAGGTTTAGTCACCTATCTACAAATGACTGTATCCGATCAGGAGGCATTTAGGTTGATTCATTCTTATTTGAAGCGCTGTAAAGAATACATTGTGTTGAGTGTTACTAAAGGTGCAAGGTTTCAGAGGGACTGATTCTGTTCTGTCAACCCTATACCGAGAAGTGCTAATACTAGGTACAAGTAAAACATTTCAGGATTATAGTTGATGAAAATAAGTAAATCATTGTACTTGGAAACTTGGAAGTAACTACTTGTACAGGCAAGCATACAAACCATCAATTTAATTAATAGAGAACAAGCCACACTAGACGAAATCATTTGTTAAGGACCGCATGCCAGCTATTGCAGACGCCACCCCGTAAAACTGAAGCATTCCACTACATTAATCATTTCTTGATTCACATTTGTGTTATATAATTTATACTGGTCGTTTTGGGTAGATAAGACGACAAGACGAGTTAGTCATTATTGTATTCAGTACCGAGAGGTTACTCTTGGAAATATAAGTTATTTTAAAACTTTCAACGCGTATCAATCGTATATATTCCTCTTAACAATTAATAAGATACAATCGCAATTCTAATTAATTGTGAGAAAGGAAGTCAACGGTCAACCAGACCAGAAGTCAAAACTCTAGGTACCAATTGTTACAAATATTCTTCTCGTTTATCAATATCTGTGGTTGACTGGTTGAGTACTGTTTGGAAAAAAAATAGAAGAAGACTACTTCAACCTAAACCGGTGTCACCGACAAATATCAAATCAAAACAAATGAGCTATCAACAGTTTCCTGTACAGTAGCGCCATTGACAGGTCGACAAATTTTGGGAGAATGGACAGACAATACTATACCTCTCGCCTACTAACTAGCCTTTTCATTTAGATCGACAATGGTTTAATCGACGATGGTGGTGGTAGTGGCAACATTTTGTACAGTGTACACATTCAGGATGTTTGTTTTCATGAGTAATGAATTTTTTCTGTTACTATTCAGTTTAAACATCAATTTTATAACATTAAACTCCATTTTTAATACTTCTCGATTTCCTCAACTCCTGTATCTTAGAAACTATTCATTGTAGACGAAAAATGAATTGAAACTTTTAATCGTTACTTGTTTAATCAATCTGAAGTTATTGATATCTCTGTTACAATTAATTGTGGTTAAATGAATGTTTGCTACACTTGATTCATCCAATTTTCCATACTTTAGATGTGCAAGGTGTTCTTTGAACCTACGTTCAATTGGCCACCTTTTTGGCCTACATATGTTTTTTCGCAACTAATTTCCTGAATTCCTAATTTTTCAAGTCTGTTTACTTTATGAAATAAAACACAAAAATGATGATGGTTGTACTCCTATAAGGGATCTAGGAAGGCATAGATGTATTTGATTTTCAAAATGAAGTATACAATTGAATTTTTGTGAAATATTGAGGCCTCCCTGTCTTTATTTCAATAGACAATTTTACGCAGAATGTGGCCCAAGTTGGAACTAATTCGGGATATCAAATTAAATATCCTTTCATTGGGAATACTGACAAAATGTCGTGCACAAAATTTGAAAATGACATGTCACTCTTACAGTACACGTCAAATTGAAAATCCGCGAAAATCACGAACCAATAGATGGCGCTATTAAACGTCAAATCAACGTCAAATTTCGAACTGAGTATGAACAACAAAAACATTGCCGTATATACCCATTGCATTCTTCCACATTTTCCCCAAATATTTGCGTTTGTGGTTTTCTGGCGAATTTGTTCCAGTTAAAGTCCTCACCATGTATATGAGTTGAGCAAGTCAATGCAGGTTAATAATTTTCTGTACGAGTATTTCATCTCAAGAAGCTACTGTGCTAACGAAACGTCGTGGTTTTTTGTGGGAATTGAAAAAGTTTTTGAACTATTTTAGGGTACATTTAAAGATGACAGTTTCAATGCAGCCATGGCTGTTTTGGAAAATTCCGGCGACGCGGCCAAAGGTGACCAAAAAGGCAGACGTGGCGGTTTCGCGAACAAAGATCCCACGCAAACCGATATTTTCAAAGTCGTCAAAATGATCATGGAAAGGAGTTTCGCGCCCGTCATTGTGTTCAGTTTCAGCAAAAGGGATTGCGAGGTGTTTGCTATGCAGATGACGAAACTCGACTTCAATACAAGTAAGAATTCGCCTCGTTTGAAAGGTCTACTGATCGTCTATCCAATAGTCAAAATTTTGCAAAAGAAGATTGAAATTGAAATGGATTATCATTTGGTTAACTGAATCTTGCAGAGATCTTCTACTGAGAATTGAACATCGAAGGGTCGTCTAGTTGAAAAAATACATCGATAAAAAAGTTCTGAACTCTACTTTTTGGATTTTTTTCGGAAGTCGTCTTGTTTTTAAATGAATTTATTCCATACATTTGCATCATACTGTATATATACACTGTTGATGGCTTTTGTTGTGCTATAGTTCCGAAAAATAAGTCAATAATACCGTCTCCGAGAAAGAACTGCAAGTCCTTTTATCCTCCATTCACACCCTATATGTCTGTAATCATTCCCGCTAGACACCAAGTGTGATGCATTGATATAAACAGCTCTTCAGGGAGGATCTAAAAATGCAATGAAATACAGGGTGTTCCATTTGAAAATGATAATTGCAGAAAAATTTGTCCCCCGCCAAATTGAAATCGAACTGTTTGAGCAATTTTCAACTTTTTTAACGACATCGGAGATTAGGGGGATGACAAGCTTTAGCTGGGACACACTGTATGTGTCCGTTATGAGGAATGAGACTGAAGAATTGAAATCAAGAGTAGCCTCAAACGGAAATGATTTTCCTTTCATTTTCACGAACGAAGCATTCTAGATTGGAAACACATTAAGCTTATCAGTGTTATCAAAAGGAGATTTCCCCAATATTATATCAAATGTACAGAGGAAGAGAAAACAAAAATACCTATACTGAGAAACATCATTGTGAAGCCTCCATGAAAAACAAAAGAACCAATCAATCAATTAAACCTCAGAAAATATGCTTACTTTATGAATGGTATGTTTCCTCATCCCCAGTATATTTTGTTTTTGAATACCCAATTTATTTTTATTGTCTACTGACGTGTATAAAGTATTCTCTCTTCTATCGATTTTATGATTTTTTTCATGATGTCATCAAGTGATAACAATATCTAGATATTATACACAATGCATGCTGATAAGAAAAAAATATTTCCAAAAAATTGTATCTAAGCAGAATGTCAAATTTAGAATGCCGTCAATTTCTCAAATTCACGATCACCTCGTATAGTATCGAGATCTTCTAGTAGATTTGAATATCTTCAAAAATCAACGGCTGAAAAAAAAGGTAAGAAACAGCATTCAAATAATCAACAAAAAACCATAGACACATTTTCATTCTTATCAGTATACATTGTGTTCGCTGTAGACTGTAGCTGTTTATATTTCTTGATGATAATTACTGAACAGAATCATAGAATTAATGGAAATGTATTGTGCATTATTGATAGCAGTTCCTAATCTTCATGTAAGTTTAATTTATTTTGAGTTTGCATGATATTCATTTATGTTCATATTTTCTTATTTTCATTTATTTTATAAAGTTCAGGAATTAATACTCGCTCCAATAATTTTATAATTGTATCACCATAGTGGTTAACTCGTTTTTTTTAATGAAATGTGAATAAACCTATTTATCGAGATATTCCATAAAAAATCAAAATTTGATCCTCGGTCAATGCCTTTTAGGCAAACATCCTTGCCTTCATATACAGGCTATGTCACGACGAGCTTACATCTTTAAATCGATAATCAGTCACAAGAAATTTATGAAAATGTGATGCTTATATTTGAGATTACGCTCTCTTCCTTCAAAAAAATTCCGACAATGCAGTGTTGCCGCTTCTACTAAAAAGTAGCAAGAAGTTTCTCATTTCAAATAGAATACCTTGTATTTCATTGCATTTTTAGATTTTTCCTGAAGAGGTGATTTCATCAATAACTTGATAATCTCAATTTGGAACCCCTTTATCTCTCTAATCATTTCCGATAGACCCCAAGTGTGATGTATCGATGAAATCAGCTCTTCAGGGAGAATCTAAAACTACAATGAAATACAGGGTAATTTATTTGAAATAACAAAGTAGTTACTACTACTACTTTTTTAGAGAAGCGGCAACACTGCATTGTTGAAATATTTGAAATGAAGGGAGCGTATTCTAAATTCTCATTTTGGACAGTGCCGTACATTTTTATTGAAATCGACGATTTTTTATGAAATCATATTAGGCATTTTTCACGAGAAAACTATCCTCTTGACATTTTTCTTCATGATACTGAACCCGCATATGTGAATTTTTATGTAATTTCTATAGAGGGTTTCGAAAAAACGAGCACATCTCAACAGCAATTTTGCGAAAATAAATAATTATTTACTCGGAAACGGCAAGTTCAACAAAAGAAAAGTATTTCTTGTTTTTTTTTCAAAACATAATTTTCTACCTAACGGAGCCATCGTACGTTCTAACGTTTGCAATTAATTTGAATTCATTATTTTTTTGAGGCAAGAAATAATATGAAGTTTTCCTGCATAGATTTCGGGAGGATGTAATGGGGAAGACCACTGAGAGAAGAAATCCGTGCAAACCTCTTTCAATCGACGAATCATGATTTACGTTTGATGTACAATTAATATGAGTTAAAGTTGAAGGGAATCGAATCTATATCGTTTTGAAATCAGCATATTTCATTCGATATTTCAAACAGCCAAATATGATGGTGGAGTCGTGACGTATTAGTCCCGAACTGTAGCCTGTAGCTATCTCTCTCTGATACCTTGTCATTCTGCAGTGTTGCAGTGTGATTGGTCAGTTCAAGGACAATAGGCGTGTTGGGAATAAGACGTCGCACCAGTCACACCAATGAATTGACAACATTTCAAATAGCCCAGGAATTGTGTGTTTTGAAATGGACATATTCTAATTTATTATTTTCATCGTCTTAGCATGCATGAAAAAATTCAAAATTAATTCGCTGGTAGTTTTCCAGTATAGAGTTCACGATAATGTCATTTTAAAAAATCAGTGGTCTCCCCCATTCAATGTTCTGCGTGGCATATAGCCAGGAAAGTAGTTGTTTTTCTCTCGTTATCCTACCATTTTCGTTCATTTTATGAACTATTATGGTAATGACTTTATGTTTCTTTTTTTGTAATATTACTTCATTCAGATTTCCGCCATATTTCCCAAAAGCTATTGGAAATACTGACCAGTCATAAAAATTATCACCTTTGTGACATGTGGTCCTACGGATACAAGGTTTTTTTATCAATCTATTCAATCTCGCTGAACCGATAACACGCGAGCATTCATTCCATAGTTTAGCAAGAACCGTGAAAAACGTGCCCTTTTTTCACACTTTTTCCTTCAAAACAAAGTTATTAAATGTATATACAAACTAGATTACTTGGAACCAACAAGAAATCTTTATAAACCTAGGCAATTGTTAGATATAAACTCCATTTACAAATTCAAAATATTGAATTTCATCCATTCCGTCAAATATAATTATAAACATTCAAATCTGAATTTTGAAGTCAATAGTCATAAACACGAACACATAACCAGACAAAAAGATATGTTAACTCTCATCAAAATTAAATCAGATATGGGTAAAAGATCTATTTTATACAATGGAACAATTCTCTATAATGAATTACCTGCCAGACTAAAGAAAAAATTAAGTGTTGAAAAATTCAAAAAAGAACTGAAAAAATACTTATGTCTTTGATTCTCTTCATGTCATCCTGAATCAATTCAAGAAATTATATTTAACAGTCTCTAGAAGAAACAACATTATATGTATTATGTATATGATTTAAAAATGATTATCTGATTATCTAATTTTTTTTTTTTTTAGTTTCTCTTTCATAATTTTCCCTGCTATAAACATGTATGTTTCTTGGGAATAATAATAAAGATAAATAAGAAACAGTATCATGCCATTGAAATTGAGGCACACAACATACATTAAAAAGTGCGCTATTTTTGACAGTCGTAAAAAAAGGTTTTCTGCACACTAAATATTGTAACTCTTTAAGTGTGCATGATCGTAGAAAAACATATTTAATTCAGCTGCGGAAAAACAACTGGTCGACGAGGTCTTCAACAACGCCATGGACGTTCTATCCGATGACGACAGACACCTGCCTCAAGTCGAAAATCTGCTGCCTCTTCTGAGGCGCGGCATCGGTATCCATCATGGCGGCTTGCTGCCCATACTGAAGGAGACCATCGAGATTCTGTTCGGCGAGGGGCTGATAAAGGCCCTTTTCGCCACGGAAACGTTCGCCATGGGCCTGAATATGCCTGCCAGGACGGTGTTGTTCGCCGGGATGAGAAAGTTCGATGGCAGCGAATATCGTTATGTGAGTATATTGATTGATTGATTGTCTTTATTTCCCCAAGAAACAAGGCGGGACAGCGCCCGACTCATGACCGCGAGATCGTTGGTTCAATTCCCAGCCAGAGAGACAGAACTTGAAAGACCTAGAAGGCATGGTTATCATATAATTCTGAAGCCGCCCCTGGCAGGGAAATATGATTTTCTTCAGAAAATAATGATCCGCGCTTCAAATTTTTGTTATGTTTGATGCAAAGTTGATGTATTGTCTATCATTCAGGAGCGAAATTTATTTAAATTGATTTTTTTCAGTACTAAGATGATGTGAAAGTCATTTATCAAAATATCATCAAACTACGTTTCGTATCTAACCAAAGTTTAGCCTTTTTTCACTGAACCAGTCATTGTATGCCTATACAGGGTGGTCCGTTCTTTAATATGTAAAATTCAGCAGCGTATAGTACTCGTTGAAATAATAAAAAAACTTCCTATGAACATATACTTTGAAACGCTTCGTTTTTGAGATATTGGGTGTCAAATCTACGCTTCTGAATATATTTTTTTAATCAAAAGTTAGAAACGGTAGATAAAATAACGATATTTTTCACATATACTCAAGTTTTAAAAACTAATCAGTGGCGGCTGAATCTGGGGTGGCGAAGATAATAATTATACAATATTTTCGGCTAATTATTTTTCATTTAAATTTAAAATATCCAAATCGTTGGATTGGTCGTTCAGGACCAGTTGTTTTGCCACCTATGTCACCACACCTTAATCCTTTGGATTTTCATGTCTGAGGAGCAATTAAAGATAATGTTTATGAAGTACCAATTGCTTCAAGAGAACAATTAGTTGAAAGAATTAATGAAGCTTTCAATCGAATGCAATTAAACCCAATACAAATTTCTAGTGCAGTTAGTTCTATGATAAGACGTTGCAGAAAATGCACAGAGGTTGGCGGACAGCAATTTGAGCAATTCCTCTAATGGATTCCTTTGTTTTCTATTGATATTTACCTAATTTTATTCTTTAAAAGTTTGATTGTTGAACCATAATTTTTTCCTTCGTCACCCCAGATTCAGCCGCCACTGAATATTTTTCATGAATAATTTTTATTTAATCTAATAAAGCTCAAAAAGTTTAGTATCTGTGAAAAATTTCGTTAATTTATCTTGAACCGTTTCTAACTTTTGATTAAAAAACTATATTTATTCTGAAGCGTATTTTTGACACCTTATATCTCAAAAACTAACTAGTAAAAATGTACTAGCTCGGCAACATTGAAGACAAATAGCAGGATATCCACTGCGGTCTATGGCCTGTTGTGGCTCTTCTAATACGTAAATGATTGATTTGCAATGGTTACATGATTGGTTAATGCATAACAATGTTTCTTTCATTGGGTTGTTTAGAGACATGCATAGGTTTGGTTTTTATTTTTCCTTCTGAAACCAACCTATTAGATAAGAAATCTAAGAGGGCAAAAAAATTGTATTTTGAAATGCACGCCCCTGAAAATATGTAACTCATTCATGAACTGTAATAGGTCTAAAAGTTAGCTCATTGATATTTCCACAATAGATGTGAATTTCATCACAATCGGTTATAGCATTTCTGAGAAATCAAGAAATAATCGTTTTTTAAAGAAACTTGAACACCCTATATCTCGAAAACGAAGCGTTTAAAAGTATATGTTCATAGGAAGTTTTTTTATTATTTCAACGAGTACTATACGCTGTTGAATTTTCCGTATTCAAAAACGGACCACCCTGTATATCGACACATTGTGTTACACTTATACTTTTCGTTACACCCACCTTGATACTTTCTGCCCACATTTCGTTAGCCCCACATTTCGATATTCCCACATTTCGATATTCCCACAGTCTCCGGAAATACCCGAAGGGTGCATTGTTGTCATATATACTATGTGCTCTATGCGTAATTTTTCGAAAAATATACATTTTAGGAAGAAGGTTCAGTTGGGTTGGATTAGATTGTTTAGAAAAAGTAGTCTCCATTGTTCCCTCGAGTAATTTATCGAGAAATATACTCTTTAGAAAGGTTCATTTAGGCCAAGTTAGGTTAGATTGTTTTGAAAAAGCATAGTCTCTCTTACTGTCACAAGTAATTTTCAGAAAAATATACTTTCTAGGTAGGAAGGTTCATTTAGGCCAAGTTAGGTTTGGATTTTCAGAAAAAGTAGTATCCTTTCTTATGCATATGAATATTTTCCTTCCTTATATCACGTATTCGAAATTCAGGGAGCCATAGAGTGAAATGCTATGGCTAGACGCTTGTACTAGACATTGTGGGCCGAACGCAGATTGTGTTACACCCATATCTGGCAACAGTGCGTCTTTCGGGTATGTTCGGAGATTGTGGGAATATCGAAATGTGGGGCTAACGAAATGTGGGAACAACGCGATGTAGGGGTAACGAGATGTGGGCACAAAGCAGTGCACACCCCTGAATCATCTAAGGAATGAATTATTCCCAGCGATTATCCTTGCAATTTCACCACAGAAATTGAAAACTGTAAGATTTGAATCCAATGGTTGATTTAGTCTTACTTTTATAAGGTGGTGTTTTTTGTCTCTCTATTTTATTGATTTTATTTGCAGATTACATCTGGGGAATATATCCAAATGTCAGGAAGAGCCGGCAGGAGAGGATTGGACGACAAAGGTACTTGAAATAATTTTTATAATTATATGAACAGTAGTGTGGATATGGAAAATAATATTCAGTTGGTTTAAAATGCTGTGATAGAGATAGAGCTTTCTATATTCTTCATGGATTGCAGCTATGAAAGTACATCTAATTTTTTTTAGAAATCGATGTAGCTCCGGTTTTTTCATAACTTAACATTTCCCAATCCCATGTGTTCAAATTTAAATACACTTCTCTGAATGTTGAAAATGCTGACACAATTCTGATGCTAACAATTTACTACTTGGAGCAAAATACCGATCGCCAGTTTGAATATTAAAATATTTTGATAGTACTCTCTGAAGTTACATGGAGTGTTGAAATATCTCACTGTTTTGGAGATAATGATAGTGGACTGTATGTGAGAATTTGAATTCGAGTAATTCGAAAATACGCTTTTAGAGAGAATACAAACAAACAAAAAAAACGAGGCCGTGATTTTCCTACCTGGTTGATCCGATGTTTCTTCTGACGTCTGGCAGGACTAAGTATTTGCTGAATCGTGAATCCAGTTGTACATAAGAGGAGATTGCTGATGAGGAAACTGATAGGTTTTCACTGGCGCGCGAGACCGGTAGAAATTTTCATATATGCGAGAGAATACCGAATTTGCCGGTATTTCGAATCGATATCGATCGCGATCAATTTTCGAGTGCCTAGGTGGATTCGACACGACCCGTCCCAAAAAGTTACAGCGTTGCCACGTGTCGTATCCATATTTTCTTCTTTCTTGAGATTAGTATGGAAAAGCACGACCATGATCGCGATTTGAGACTCAAAGAGAAATATGAATGTAACTTGAAATAACTAATTAAACGAAACTCGAAAAAAGGGTCATAGGATCGATCTGTAGATTGAACTATGTAATAAGGACGCTAATATCTGAAACATATCAAATTTTCAGAAAAATTAGCTGAAAGCCATTTTCCGTACTAAATTTGCGGGGTCCTTTCCCATCTCATATCATAATATGAGTCTTTACGATACTCGTATCGTAAATATCTATTTATGACAGTTGATTAAAGCATCAAATTGATGATTGATGTCGCACTTTGTAGTGAAACAAACTGAATATTTTTTTCTAGGTATCGTCATTTTGATGGTCGACGAAAAAGTTCCCCCCGCCGCTGGCCGGGACATCGTTAAAGGTTTGCCGGATCCTATAAATTCCGCGTTCCACCTCACCTACAACATGGTGCTCAACCTATTGAGAGTGGAAGAGATCAATCCGGAATACATGCTGGAAAGATCGTTCTACCAATTCCAGAATCAAACTGCGATTCCTGGATTTTACGAGGGTATGTGTTGATTCTTTAATTCCAGTTATTGCATTCAAACTTTCAGTGTTACCCTTGATTATATGGATTGCAGTTCTGGGGGAACTCGGCACATGCAATAATAGATATTTATATATCAAGGGAGGAAAGGTATCCATTTCCTCCCTCGTGTGAAGTTTGCTGCACGACGCGTATCGGAGGGCATTAAACACACATGGGAGGAAATGCACCTTTGCCCCCATGATATTATATAAATGATTTCATCAACGAACGCATTCTTTTGAAGCATCATTCTTGAACAGATTTTATATGTTTATCGACGTCAAAGGATGCATGCTGAAGCCAATTTGTTTTACCTCCCACGGGAGTTAATATTTTTTTCCTCCCGTGGGAGTAAATTGACAACTTTGTTTCCGTAAATGAGGGAGCAAACGCCTACTTTCGATTCAGTGAGTAGATAAAAGTACTCGAAAAAAAAAGTGATGAGTTGTCTAGCTGGTCTATATTACAGAGAATCATGTAAGAGTACATTCATCGAGCTGGCCATACTGAGTTTACCCTGCCTCTACATTTGTATGATTACAATGGACATTAAAAAAAATCAAACTCAACATAACAAAAATAATATGATCCACATCTACAATACTAGAAGAGGTAATGAACTAAGATTACCTTATTCTCGTTTGGCGCTGGGACAAGACGCGCTAAAACTTTTTGAAGACTTGGGAAGCTTCAAATCAGCACTATACAATCATATCTAGTTCAAAATGCATTCTACTCTGTTGAAGAATTTCAACAATCTAAATCACTATTCAATATTATACAACTTTGAACTTTTAATTTCTATCTTAAAATGTTAGTGTTTGTACAAACGTTTTTATTCCTGTTCTTGACTAGTCTGGTAAAATTTCATAAATTTATGTAATACAGTTGTAGAATTTTCAATGATGAATAAATTTCCATTCTATTCTATGAAATTCAGCAAAATATGGCCGATTTGTCTATACTTTTGGAATCTGCTCGAGTCCATCTATCTGCAAGTTGCTGAACTATCAAGGAATGTCCTTTCTGCAGCAGGACCATCACTAACCTTGATATTCTGAAGGCTTTTAAATAAAAATATTTTAATCCGGCTCTGATGCGACATTCCATCTTGCATAAAAACATCTAAAAATAAACTTCGAATATATTCTGTATTACCGATCTCTACCTTTCGCTACTCAATAAAAAATAGTTCACCTTGTGGCTCATAGATACCGCTACCTACTGAATATAATTTCTGTATAAAGAGTATAAAGAGTGATTCAAAATTCGATATGAATATTTCAAGGACATATTGTTGGGATCAAAATAAAGACTTCTTCATATGTGTCCTAACATGCACTCCCACCAAGCTAAATTTACAGTAAGTTAGGCAAATAGATTACCTAAAATTGTGACGTATCGCCGAATGGAGGCCATGACGGTTCGTTTGAAATGAGCTCTGAAATTCAACAATTTTGAACAATGCATAGACTCATTATTTTCATAGAAAACGGTGAAAAGTATGGCAAAAATTAATTTAGGTCCCTAATCACACAGTGGAGTAATTGAATGTCAATAATTCAATATTGGTCCACTCGCCCATTGAGGTTTAAAAGGTGTCACCAAAATCACCCCAAAGTTTCATAGAGGTTTTATATTAATGATATGGAATGATTTTGAAGAATATCTAGTCATTGTCTTTCTAAATGAAAACTACGAAAAATGCAAAAATCGTCCTTATTGACCTTATTTTCAGTAAGCTAGTGACCTATTCAGAACTGAGTTATTCATCTGTTATCCTAACCCTAGAAAATTTTCAAGTTCCTGTGACATTCACTATGGGTTGCGTGCAAGAACTGTCAGATGACCGACCCTGGAGGTGAAACATTGAAACACAACCTCACTTTTCTTTTTTGTTTACAAATGATTTGAATAGTTTCTCACAATTATTTTGGCATATTGATTGTGTTTTTCGGCTATTCAATAATTCGCGCATGCCATCACATTTTGCTGTTGTACAAGGCACAAAAAATGAAGTGAGAGACGAAGGAATCCGGTTAGTACATTATTATTTAAAAGTAATTACCAACTATAGTCACTTACACATAGTTTTCATTTTGAAAATTGGTAATTTCTCTGATTTAGTCATCGGAATTCCTTCTGCAATAGGAGCTATACTCATGAAATTTCTAAAAGAATGCAAGAAGATTGGATTCATGCAATCAAACGGGAGGATTATTCTGAAATGCTGACAAAATATAATCATGTGTGGTAGACATTCTCAACCTATTAGCAGTATTAGCTTCTATTGCAGAAGTGGCAGAAGGAATTTTAATAAGAAATGATAAAATTTCATAATGAAGTGAGATTAGTATTTACCTGAAAAATCATATTCCTTTGTCTCTCGTTGCATTTTTTGTGCATTGTACAACAGCACAATGAGAAGGCATGCTTGAATTAATGAATAGTGCAAAAAACACGATTCGTCTGCCACAATATTGTGAAAAACTATTTCAGTCCTTTGATTGAAAAATGCAACGAGAGATGAAGGAATCCGGCGGGTACATTATGATTTAAAAGTAAGTACCTACTATAATAGTATAGTTTTCATTTTGAAAATTGGTAATTTCTCTGCTGATTTCTTATCGGAATTCCTTCTGCAATAGGAGCAAATAGAAATACTCGTGAAATTTCTAAAAGAAAGATTGGATTCATACAATCAAACGGGAGGACTGGTCTGACATGCTGACGAAATATTCATTTTCAATCTATTAGCAGTATTAGCTTCTATTGCAGAAGTGGCAGAAGGAATTTTAATAAGAAATTACATAATTTCATGATGAAAACTATGTGAGATTATTATTTACCTTCGTCTCTCGCTGCATTGTTTGTGTGCGCAAAAACATGATTCGTATGGAAAGATATTGTGAAAAACTATGTTAATCCTTTGATTCATCAGTAAACAAATGAAAAAAGTGAAGTTGTGCTTCAATGTTTTACAGAAAAATGGGGTTGTGTGTCAATATTTTACTTCCAGGGTCGGTCATCGTGCAGTTTAAACATTTCAAATACTCACACAAATAAGGAAAGCAGGATACACAAAGAAGAAACTGTTGATCATGCAGTGATAATAGTAGAATGCTTTATTAGGTTCCAAGTGAAACTTTGTTTGACAAGCGAATTTTGCATTTGCCAGGTGAAAGCAAAATTTGGAACGAATAGCTTTTCCACAATTTTCCGCACTTGAAACCATTGCAGAAGTATAGGTCTTGCTTGAAAAAAATCACTGTCAAATTGACATACGGACAACAACGATGGAAGCTACCTCGTCAAAAAATGAAATTTCTTGAAGTAAACTGTTGTGACAAGTTGATATCGCCCTTAAAAATGAACCAGTGCTCTTAAAGACCTGAAGCAAAAGTCAAAATGTAGAGAAGGAGCGGTACCTAAAAAAATTTTATATTTAAAGAATTGGATAACGAACCACAGGGTGTTTTGAAATTAGGGTCATAGAACAACCTTTCAATTAACACTGTATAATGACCAATCTGCCAACATTTTACAAAATACTGGATACACAAGTTGAAATTAGTCATTTTATTTATTCTCGTTGTGAAATAAAAGAAGTGTTAATCACTTCACAAAGTTATTGAAATTTTTTTTATCTGGTTGGAAGGACATTGATCATCGATCAGCTTGTTAATGTTTTTCAATCGCATCTTTTTTACAGATTATCAGAAAAAGTTGAATGAATACAATGAACTTGAAGTTAAATCTGAGGATATGATAGCTTCATACTATGGTATAAGACAGGAATTGGATTATCTAGGCACTCAATTCAGAATTTTCCTTACGAAATCCGAGTACTTGATACCCTTCTTGCAACCCGGAAGATTATTGAAAGTCAGTTGATTTTTTTTCAATCCTTAATATTTCTAACATATGGAATAATACGGAATAATACGTTTACGTATTGAATTCCAGATAAAAACTCCCGATGCTGAATACGATTGGGGCGCGGTTGTTAATTTCAAAAAAGTCAGCGAAATTATACCAGGCCGTAAAAATAAACAAGGCCAATCTAAAACGCAGACGAAAGTCAAAATTGATCTTTTATTGCTCGTTATTGCTGATAGCGATGACGGAGGAGCCATACCAAAGCCATGTTTTGATAATCAGGTGAGTGTTACTTTTGTCGTATTACATTTTCAATAGTGACATCACGATGTTCTGAAGAATATTTGAAATAATTCTGTCGCGAATGCTATTTTACTAGATTATTTCACTAAGCATAAACATTAATCATAAACATAACCAATCCATTATACACTCACCGGCAAAATGAACCGGCCACCAAAAAATTTGCCCAAATTGTTCACACTATGAAATATAGATCAAATCTGTTCCGGAATGTTAGCCTAAATATTAGTTTTCCTGAAAAGCTGATGACTTGATCATTATACTGGGAAAATCCAAAGTTAGTCTTTCACCCTACAGTGTGTCCCACTTTAGGCAGCACCACCTTCGTATTTTCTTATACATCACTGACCGATTTCAAGAATGTTTTCTTCAACATGTATATACTATAACGCCCTTTGGCAAAATTACGTGATGGAACATGGCTTCATTATGCTTTGGATTGAAGTGTGATCCCTTCTATACACAAAAGTTTTTGATTCACGTCAATACCTTATTTTTAAAAGAAGATACGAGTGTTTTAAGGAAGTATGGCGTTTTTCAACTTTTTTTACCAATAATCAGAACTTACATGAACTTATTGATTAACAACTTCAAGGATTAATATCACATATTTCTACCTTACTTTCTCAGCACTTACCGGAAAATCAATTACAAAAAAACAAACAAGAAGCAGACCTGTAGTATGCTCTCCTCGATATTGAATTACAGCATTCAACCGAAGTGGCATCGAATTGATCAAATTACTCAAGTAGCCTTGAAGAATTGCCTGAAATCCTCCTTGAAGGGCGAATCTTAGCTCTTGAAGAGTATCTGACAAGGCTGGGCGAAGGCGAATGAGCCTCTAGAGGTCACCCATGAGATAGGTAGATAGGTTCTGAATTATTGTTATTGAAAATTAAAAAAAATCTATACTTTCTTGAAACACTTGTATCTTCTCTTAAAAAGGAGATATTGACGTTATTCAAGAACCGTTGTATGAAGAAGGAACAAAAGAGGATCACACTCCAATTTAAAACATGATGAAGCATTCAAGTAGAAGGATGGAGAATGTTTCTGAATTATTGTAAATAAAGAATCCATACTCTTGAAACACTTGTATCTTCCTTTAAAAAATGGTTATCGACGTGAATGAAAAACCATAATGTAGAGAAGAGATCACTCTTCAATCTAAAACATAATGAAGCTAAGTTAAACCACTCACCTTTCCCACAGGGCGTTGAGAAGTTAAGGGTGAAAAAGTAACTTTCGTTTTTCCCTGTATGATGATCGAGTCATCAGATTTTCTTAGGTACTAATATTTGAGCTAACATTTGGAAACATGGATCTACGATTTGCTCGGAATTTCACCAAAATCGGACCAGAATTGAAAAAGTTACAGAGCAAACAATTTGGCTAAATTATTTGGTGGCCCGTGTTTTTTTTTGCCGGTGAGTGTATTTAATAAACACTGCTTGACAAATGGAGTATTCCACCTGAATATTTCACCCAATTTCGGAATCGAAAATTATAAAATAATACTAGTTTGGTTCTGGAACAGTTCGAGAATTAGATGATTCACCTACTCTGTCATAATGTTGGTGTTTTCCGAAGTTATCCTAATCATTTTACTTGCTTATTTGGGATTTTCTCCTCGTTTCTGTGAAATAAAAATATGAGTATTGTTTCAATATATATGTGTAGTAGGACAAATCAGATGCAAATCATCTCAAAATGTCACTGCGTTCAACACATTTTTCTGTCAGGAAGCCTGAAAGAAAAATCCAATAGCTTGTCAGTGACACTTTGTTTGGAAAAACGTTTGAAGAAAATGAATATAGATTTATTGAAAAAATATCGAATTTTTACTTATCTATGGACGTCTCGGCATGTTTCGGGAACGAATCTGCTCCTATTCTCAACATGAAAATGCAAAATTATTTTTCTTTGAAAGTTGTGCTCTAATAGTTTGACATACTGATGTTGACCTATGAATGAGAGAGTATACAAATGAGTTACAGGATGTTTTCATCAATTGATCTTGAATCTACCATTTTTATGTTCAATTTTCAGATGTTCTATCTATATCAACTGAACAGGAAGCAATGCTATTGTCTCCGTTCAGAAGAATGCAAGCGGATTCCTTGATTTTCTTCTTATGGAATCATTTTCGGATTTTTTTCTAGGACATATTATGATTGCTCGATGTGTTTTCGTATGTGAAGCCCTGGTTTCTCTGACCAGATCGGCCCCTAAATATTTCGGTGATATAGCACAGAAAGTTCGTTAGCGTTTCCGGTGAAACCAAGCGTATTTGTAGTACGTAGTGGCGGTTTGTATAAAAGATCGGACCGAGATTTCGGGAAAGTGAACGGATAGCAGTTCGTCGAAATCAACCAGTGTTTGATTTGAACGATTTCAAAACGGCACAGTTCGCCGAAATAGTGTAGTGTGTTTGTTTTCAGACCTAGACAAACATTAAACGAAAAAATTCTTTGAATTTTGTATCATTATCCGAAAGATGCTTCAACACTAACAACTCATCAACACCTTCTTTGGCCCTTTTCTCAAACATGTTCAAAACTTCATTATTTTTAGTACATACTCCTAATAGCGCATGCTCATCATCGTCATCATGTTCTTCTTCTAAAATCATAGCGATAAAAAAATCCATTTTTTACTTTGACTTTGTCGCAAACACTCTACGAGAAGACTGAAATATACATATAGGAACGAAAATTTACGAATTTTCTTCAGACAAACCACACATAGACGAAACTTCTGAACGAACTGAATCCGGAGGAATATCCACGTTATGTACGCTATTATTCGCCGAAATATTTCGGGCCGATCTGGTCAGAGAAACCAGGCCTTAATACAACAAGTGTAATGATGATTATCGAAATAAAAAATCGCTTCGATCTTGAGAAAGAAATTATGTTGGTATGTGGTTGTCTGAAAGCCTTAGTAAGAGTAGCATTATTTACTAATTTTAAGAAATAAAATTGACATTTCAAAATACAATTGAAAAGGTATTTCCATTTGTGACAATACTCATATTTTTGTTTCGATTGTTGTTTTGACCGAACTTAATTCGCTTACGTCAGCCAGATTCTCATCATAATAAGTGCACAGATACCAGAAAGAAAAGCCCAAACTGATAGAAATATTTGAAAATTCCTAGTATTTCTGTATCAGTGCAGTTGAAAGCATTATCTAGCTAGAATCATCATTGGTTCTACCTGTATTCTTTAATGATTTCCAAATAACATGTAATTAGAATTATGAGGTGTTGGGTGAATGTTGTCCCCATTTACTTCAAATTTGATTATACAGGGATTATAGAGCAGGTACATAATTAGAATAATATTTTCTGATGGGGACTTTGAGTTATCATGGTGATTATGTTAATTTTTGTACATGGAATTACTGTCAACATCTGTTCTTTCTTAAAAAAAGATGGAAAAACGTAATCTTTTTACTTGATGTGGATTGAACCATACTTGCCAAGTTTCTTTAGTTTCACCCTAAGTAATAATATTGAAACGGTTTGTTGTGTATATGAAAACATAACATGACCAATTCCGTGAATGTTGTGAGAACAAAAATGCATAACAGTTTCCAAAACACCTTCTATGTTTTTTCCTGAATCATTTTTGCAATAAAGAAGTTCACATGTCGATAGAGGAGAATTTTTTTAAAATTTTTCTGAAGGTTGCACAAAATTGTACATTGTTGCAAAAAAGTAATTTTTTATCAATAAGGATAAGAAATCTACAGTGTTCTTCATGAAATTGGCATCATATGGGAAACAGTTTCAATAATAATCTATTTTGAAATTCAACTTGGGCATTAAGTTTTGCTTCAGAAAATATGAAAATTGGCCTAGAGTCATGTGACTTTCGCTACATATCAAGACTTGATATTTTCAAAATAATTGATGAAAATTAACTTATTTCTTCGAATTTCAAGAAAGTTTAATGAGAAAAGTAATTTTTCATTCCAAATTTACACACGCGTCTCTAATTTCAAGGTTCTATTGCAACTTTTAGTTCTTGATATTTTTGTATTTCGTCTAATTGCAACTTCGACAAAACAATTCTAAACTTGATTAGATACGTAAAGTAGCTTGATGATATTTTGATAGATTTAATTTCGCTCCTGAATGTTAGACGATACATCAACTTTGCATAAAACGTAACAGATATTTGAAGTGGGGATTTTTATTTTCTGAAGAAAATCATATTTTTGTCGATAATTAGTGATTGAAAGTTACTAGCATGATGAAAGCTACTAGGTGTCAATTTTCCATATTTTTTGAAGCTTAACTTAACGCCGAAGTCGAATCTTGAAATAAATCATCATTAACAGTTCTTCCCATATGATGTCGACTTTATGAATGACACTGTATATCAAATAACGTTCACCGTCATGTTTTTTTGTCATTAGAGTACGGTACACAATATTTTTCAATTCAAAACTGATTCCTGGAGTTGTTTAGATACTCTAGTTTTGATGAATTTTCAGTTTTGGATAATGGAACATCTCAAATCAAAATATTGTGACACAAATTCGGACAAATATCATGTTTTCGATTTTTTTTAGAAAGGAGAAGTAGAAGTTGTTAGTGTTGACTCTACTTTCGTCACACACATTTCCTCTGTCAGATTATTCTGTCCGACTGACTTGAGGACGAAAGACAGCAGAAAAGGCATGTACAAAGCCATCAAAGAAGTGAAAAAACGTTTCGAAGAAGGCCCACCTTTGCTAAATCCCGTCAACGATATGAAAATAAAAGACCCAGAGTTCTTAGATATTGTGGATAAAATTGAGAAATTAGAGAAGAAGTGAGTTAAAACTTTCGGTAATAGTAATTTTCGTAACAAGTGCGGAAAGCGATATTTTCCCGCACGCGAAGGCCGTTGACCCGAACGACGCGAAGCGGAGTTCGGGCAAGCAGTCGAATTCGGGAAAGACGCTTTCCGCATGAGTTAGGAACAATATTTTTTCTACAAGCGTAGGAAATTGATTGATTTGTTCAATCAATTATTCCTGCAAATAGGAAGGACTAACAATATGATATAGTCTCTTTCTTCTAATAATTAGTGATATATCTATTGGGTGTACCGTGTGAAGCATTACTGCATTATGTAGGTAAGCTTATTGCAGATGCCAGCATGCCCATGGTGTTTGGCCTCTAGGTTTCAGACATTTCTAGGAAATGTGCCAAAATACTTCTTCTTTATTTGGTGTTTTCACTTTTTTACTATTTCTTTAGACTTCGTTGGTAATAACTCATCTGTATCGCATCTGTAGCTGGAAGTTTTTCATCACAATTCCACTGAATCGAAAATGACAGTAACGCTTTGTTTGTCACTCTGAGAATTACACTAACTAATTTGTGTTTTGATTGACCTGACAACAATTGTTTCCCACATCAGATCATTTAAAGTCTATAGGGGGATTATTTGTATCTCTTGGAGCGCACGAAAGGAAATCCCTATAATGTTCAAAGAATATCGTGCGTTCCTAGGTATTATAGGGACAGGCGGTAGGTATTGGATTTTTTTTTTGAACTTCTGGAGATTATATGTTGTTGGGAATACTTCCTCAGGCAATGAATTCCAGAGCCTAGCCGTTCTATGGATGAAGGAGTTTTGATAAAGTGCTGTTCGACATCTTTCGAGGTTGATAACGAAAGGATGTGCTGATGTGTATATATATAACAGTCAATTATTATTTTTCAATATTTCTTCATTTTCACAATAAATAGTGCAATTTGATGGCTGATTTTGTACAAACTAACTAAATACTGCAACAAAAAAACTTCAATTTTCATATTGTGTCACCCATCACTCATATTTTGCGAGAATATTATATAAATGTTTATCCCGCCTTAGTGTGAGAAAACTTTTCCCGCACTACTGCGGGAAAATGCCACTTCCCAAACTAAATTGCGTACTGGTATAGGGTGAATCATGCACGCTTGTAGAAAATAGTAATTTACCTAAGTTCGAAAAAAAATGTACCGGAAGTATTAATTGTGTACACTATTTTTTCGGAAACCGTGTGGAATGGTCAGTAAACCACTTTTCTTCATAATATTCTTTGTAGAATAGAATCCTGTTTGAAATTTCACTATTAGAAACCTATAAGAGAAATTTAATCCAGATAGGTGTTTGAAGAGAAGGAATTATCAGTATGATTCATGAAATATCAAATTTCTACGAAGCATTTGCTCCCGTTTTCCATATACCTACATTTTGTATTTTCTCATTCAATGACTGATTTCAAGTTCTGTTTATCTCAACGACGAGTTCCTATACAATGCATTTTTTTATTTGGAATGATATATTTTCCATGCAAAAATCATTCTTCTGTAGTTATTATATACTTACTGAATGTTGTTGTTACAAGGGAATAATTATTTTTCAAGTTATACGTGGATATTTTAAAACTGAACTTTGAAGAGAATATTCAATCGGCTATTTTTCTTATAATATTATTTTGATTGTATCCCTGACCTCCCATTCTCTTTGAGAAATTCTTCCAAGAGACGTAATTTTGAAAAATTTATATTTTTCTATCAGAATTGGAATGTATTCCTTGAACTATCATTGGAGTAAAAAAAAATTAAAAATCGCATCCGTTCAAAAGTAAACTAGTGGATTACTTTACGGCCGTGTGAAAAGCACAATGAGAGAATTGAATGAATTTTGAATTGGTCAAAGGATGAGTAAATAGAAGTGTGGTACACTCTGTCACAATTCATTGGATATTCTAACACAACGATGTAATTCTCCCAGGCCTAATCTGGAAAATACGCACTTTCCGAGCTAGGTCGTAAAAATTCTACTTCCCCACAAAATGATCGTTCTGTTGTCGATACCAACCTGACCGGTGAATTTTTAGAATGTACGATCATAGCATGCACAAAAACCCGATTTTGGAAAGCGAATATCCCATTTACGAGAAGAAGGTCGTGGCGAAAGAGGAACTGAAAGTTGCCAAACAGAAATTGTTGGGAGCCAAATCGGTTTTGCAGTTGGACGAGTTGAAATGCAGGAAGAGAGTGTTGAGGAGATTGGGGTATTGTACCAATACCGATGTCATTCAGTTGAAGGGGAGAGTAGCTTGCGAATTGAGCAGGTAGGATATAAGAGGTGACATAATCACAAATAATTCTATGCCTCAGAAGTAAGAACCATTGAAAAAAATCACGGATCAAAATGGAATTTGTGGAAAATACATTCTACCCTGTAAAATTTCGCGCGGATTGCAATCATTCAAATATGATTTTTTTATCACTTGTCAAAAACTGCTGAGTATCTACCGATTTTTTATTAGAAAATGTCGAATCTACCACTGGATTCGAAAGGAAAAATTCAATTGGAAAATTTTAATTACCAACAGAGTTATGACAATATCAAATTCAATATTATTTTTAGACACTTTGTATGAGAAATCCAGATAAAATATGTGGCTACTTTGTCAATGGAAGTGTATAATCTTGAGGTTTTTGACAGGAATTCGAAGTCAGAGTCAATGGATGGTATTAGTTAGATAAAAGTTCGGACACAGAAATGACAAATGTTAGTGTTTTTGAATGATTAGATTTATTAAGTTACACACCTCGCATTGTTTTTTTTAATGTTCTGGTTCCCACGAAAAGGGATATCCTTTAATGTTCAGAGAACATCGTAAGAACCAAGGGAAATAAGGTAGGAATTGGTGTTCTTCTTAAATTCCTGGAGGTTATATGTCTCGGGGAACACCTCCCTTGGCAATGTGTTCCAGAGCCTCGGTGTTCGTTGGATGAACGAGTCTTTGGAAAGAGATGTTCTGCATGTTTCAATTTGACAATAAATTTATGTACGTCAGAATTGAAATATAATTCCTTGAACTATTGAGAAAAAAGCATAAGTGGAAATAATGTCCTGCTGTGTAATGAATAGCGGGAATTGTGAAGAACATGGCGATTTAATTCCTTTGATTTTCCAAAGGAAATATCAACCATTCTCTTATGGAAGGAATGTATGAAACGACCTGGATGGAAAATTTATTTGAAGACAAGCCAAAATTGTGATGTTAATACATTAAAATTCACTTCCTATAACAGCAGATTGGAATGAAACTATATTTCAGGCCCAGTTTCAAACAGAAGATTCATAAGATTCGTTCGAGAAAATCTGCTTTTCCATTGATTTACAAAACAGACTATTGAAAAAAATTTCAATGTTATCATCACACGAAATACAAAACAAAATTATCATAGAACAAGAGGAATTGATTGCAAAACTACGTAATAGATTTAGATTTAGAAACACTTATAATCAGCTTCTCAGTAATACCACTTGTCTTTACGCTCTCTAGATGAATAATGATTAATCCTACCTTATACCGTTTACATTACATAAAACTATATTAGTCACTAAGTATATGAGTCGAGTCAGATGCCTTTCCATAGGCGGGTACTGCATTATTGAATGGCGTTTTCAATACCGACCAAATTCAAAATTTATCAGTGATAAGTGAATGCAGCAAAATGTTTTAAACTTAATACTCGGGTACAGTTTTACATACAATAAGGAACTAGCTATAAGTATATCCATATGTGTCTATTTTGTCATATTTGTTCTGTGAAAAGTGTATCGATATATAAAGTGAAGTGGGTGCTTATACCCTATTTCTATATTCCATCTACGACAATGATTGATTTGACAGAAAATCTAACCTATAAACCGCTATTTTTTCAAGACAAAGAGCAGAATATATCTTATTCTTTTATTCACTCAAATCATTGTAATATAGAAAATAGAAAAGGACAGAAGTTCAGCTTATCTAACAAATACTATCCAGTGACTCAAATAACAGTCATACCAGTCAGTAAGTTTCAATAACATTTTCGCTAATGTATGTCGTATTCATCGTGATTCAAGTCTTCCGTATCCGAGTTCAACGAAAATTTTTATTCACATCATATTGGGTTCAAAAATCATAAGGGTCAAGCTGAATTTCGAAAAATCATTCTTTCAAGGTGTAAAGGTACTCTATAATTATGCTGGTGAAAGTTTATTGATAATAATTTCATAACTTCGCTATATTATCAAGACGAAAGAGCAGAATATATCTCTTATTCTTTTATTCACTCAAACCATTGTAATATAGAAAATAGAAAAGGACAGTAGTTCAAGAAGTTCAGCTGTGTCCGAACTCTTATCCAACAAATACCATCCAGTGACTCAAATAACAGTCACACCAGTCAGTAAGTTTCAGTAACATTTTTGCTAATGTATGTCGTATTCATCGTGATTCAAGTCCACCCCATAATTAATATAACTGGAAGTGGGTTCAAAAATCATAAGGGTCAAGCTGAATTTCGAAAAAAATCAAACTTATGATCATACTTTCAAGGTACAATGGTAATCTATAATTTTGCTGGTCAAAGTTTATTGATAATAATTTCATAACTTCGCTATTTTATCAAGACAAAGAGCAGAATATATCTCTTATTCTTTTATTCACTCAAACCATTGTAATATAGAAAATAGAAAAGGACAGAAGTTCAGCTGTGTCCGAACTATCTAACAAATACCATCCAGTGACTCTAATAACAGTCATACCAGTCAGTAAGTTTCAATAACATTTTCGCTAATTCAAGTCCACCCCATAAATAATATAACTGAAGTGGGTTCAAAAATCATAAGGGTCAAGCTGAATTTCGAAAAAAATCAAACTTATGATCATACTTTCAAGGTAATCTATAATTTTGCTGGTCAAAGTTTATTGATAATAATTTCATAACTTCGCTATTTTATCAGTTGATTATACAAATACTAATATTTTGGCAGTTGTAACTCTAGTTTTGATTCTGAGTCACTGCTCTATGTCTCATTTTCGGAATTACCCAGCTAGCTACAGAATGTTCTGGAACTAATCCTTAGTAGTAAATATTTATTGCAGGGGCAGATAATCTCTTGAAGGATTTTATTATACAAGCCAGCTTTAATTTTAAGTCCAGTCAATAATAGAATCGCATTTGAATTTTCAAGAAGTTCGTTAATCTGAAAGAAATCTTGTTCTTTTACAGCGCAGATGAACTGTTGATAACCGAAATGATTTTCAATGGCGTTTTTGGTACCTTGGCGCCTGCCCATTCTTGCGCGCTTCTCAGTTGTTTCGTGTGCGATGAAAAAAGTTCGGAAAATCCGAAGTTATCTGAAGAGTTGTCAGGTCCATTGAGACAAATGCAGGTGAGTTTGAATTTCTTGTTTATATAGATGAAAGTGTTATTTTGAATATTCTTGCTCTGGAAAAGTGGAAATATTCAACAATCGAGTTTCCTCGGTATGTTTTTGTTTTTCAGTGTAACTTTTATCTATGAAGTTTTACACCACGCTCAAAATCAGATATATTTTGTTGTTAGTGGGGTTCTTGAAGGTGTTCTCGAATATGTTTCATAATATTTGAAGCATTGAGCATTGTCGATCAATATGAAAACCTAGTTAATCAATCAATCAATCAATCAAATCTTTATTCCTTTAGACAATAATACATTGTGTCGGAAACGTCAAAATTTTTGAAAAATACATAAAACACACAATTCATAGATATACAGAAACGAAATACAGTACAAAATAAAATAAAATATCACTGTACCGGACAATCCAAGAAATCTTGCACAGTATAAAAAGAATGTTGCACCAAAAATGTTTTGAGGCGCGTTTTGAAAACTTTAAGTGTTAAGCTTGATTTAATATTCTCAGATAAATGATTGAAAATACGTGGTCCTATGAAATTAGGTGCATTTTGGGCTACTTTGTATTTTCCAATTTGTGTATGAATTAGGCCTTTCTGTCTTTATTAAGTTTGAAATAGGTTATGTTGCAATAAATATAACATGCAATCTCAAATATGTATAAACTAGCGAGAGTCAAAATATTACTGGATTGAAAAATTTGTTTGCAAGTTTCTCTACGAGGAATGTTAAAAATGCACCTCATAATTGCCTTTTGAGCAATGAAAACATCTTTTGACTTGGTAGAGATGCCCCACAAGCAGATGCCATAACGAAGGCGCGATTCAATTTGTGCATAATAGATATTTACGAGCTGGCCAACATCTAGTACTGTTTTTAAGTTCTTGAACATGTAATAGGATGAGTGTAATTTTGAGATTAGCCCCTCACAGTGTGACACCCAGTTGACGTGTTTATCGAAGTAAATTCCAAGAAATTTAACTGTATCTTTATCGGACAAGACTGTTTTATTGAAATCCAGTTGAAATTCAACTGATGGTTGTTTATAGTAGTTATGAAAACGAATTACTTGGGTTTTCTTACCGTTGAAATATAGATCGTGGTTATTGAAAAACTTACAAGCGGCGGCTAGTAATTTCTCGGTTTCTTGTTTCAATAAAAATGTATCAGTTGATGACTTTAAGATGGATATATCGTCCGCGTACGCAACGAAATCTGAGTGGAGTATATTAGCTTCAAATCTATTGATGTACAACAAGAACAGAATCGGTCCCAATATGGATCCCTGAGGAACACCCATACATACCGATCCTATTTCTGATGTCACTAGTGATATCGAATCATTATGTTCAAATCTTAAAGCAACACATTGGCTTCGATTCTCAAGAAAAGTTCTCAACCAACTATGAGGCTTTCCTCTGAAACCGTAAGATTCTATAATATAATATTAGTAGGCGAGAGATGTAATATTGTCTTTTCAGTGAGAAAAAATTGCGAGAATCTTAGTGACCACTATTCCAAACTAAGTTATTCATTTGTTATCCTAACCCTAGTTCGGAACTCTCCAGTTTTATGTCCACGTTGTACAGAATGGCGACCGATAAGTCCAAGTCGTTTTCATTTTCAAATTAAAGCAATTTCTAATTTTCGGGGCGGCAAACTGTGACGTACATTCTGAATCTAGGCTGAAAATAGCTGATGATGAAGAATATGGCTAGCGAAACAAAAACATACATAACCACAAATACACTCAGAGCAGGAATGCAGAGGGTTGTTGGCTCCATTCTGACAGATTATGGTTTTGTTATTTATGCATTGAAATATCTCGAATAGAGCTCGACCCTAAACGAGAATATCATTGAATCAATGAAACACTATCGGCTACATTCAATGATACTATCCTTCCTAATTTACTGTCATTGGTCAGAACAGAATGAAGCCGACATCCATATGGCTCCTTCCTCTTGTTGTGCCTGTCAGTATTTTGAGTGGTGTGGACGGAATTGAAGTGTTGCAAGATATAATCTGCAACTTTTCTAGTAAATAGAAATAGAAAATATGGATAACATATTGTAATATAACGATAGTGAAAAATTATAGATACCACAGCTTTCAAGAACTCCAATAGGTGACGTGCGCTTATTTTCTATCGTGAATAGTTGAAATATCATCAATTAGCAATGAAACACCCATAATGTTACGTAGTTTGAGGTTTTCCTGAAAATGTGTAATTAAAAAAACACTTCCTTTCGATCGAGGAGGGTACGATTCCACCATTCACCGTTTCATCGTTTAACTCGTGTTTGGTAGCATTTTTTATTTAACTCTTCCGTGTTTTACTAATGAAGCGCGGTGTGCCAAAGTGAGCAACAAAACGCGACTCCTATAGAGGAAGACACGCACGTCGAAAAGTTCAAATCCTCGTGGACGTGGTTTTCTCCTGGTTCAACGATAGCTCCTTCCAGGACCTCTGTGTTCTTAGCAGAAATCTATAGTCAGTCACGTACATACGTACAGTTGGAAAAATTGCGATCTATTATATTCGTCAAATATATCAATTACATGTCCTAGATTCTCTGCCCAGGATTCCACCATTCTCCCTTTCATCGTTTAACTTGTGAGGTTTTTTGTAAGGATTTGACGAGGCGGTTAGTCAAAGTTGGAGTTGTTTGTTTTGACAAAGTTTGTATATTTGGAATACGGACACTGGCAAGTATTGACAGTCTCAGACAATCCCACTCGAAGAGAGGCTCTCCCACTCGAAGAGAGGCTCTCCCACTCGAAGAGAGGCTCTCCACTCTCAAAAATGAAAGACAAAGAAAGTTAGATATATGGATGTACTCTTTCCTGAACATGAAGAAGAAGGAAAATACGAAAAGATTTTATCTAAGGAACAACATATTCATGTTCTTGTTTGTTGAAACATTTGATCTGCTTCATAATAATTTGTGGTTATGTCTTCACGTCAAAACAGAAGTGTCAAGTACATTAAGGAAATCTAGTCGAAGAGAACAACGAAGAGACTTCTAAACCAGGAATATACGTACATAAACTTTCATACAGTTGCAAAAATCGCCATTCATTATATTAATCGAATATCTCTATGGCAAGCTCTGTTCCCTGCCTATGATTCCGCAAAGTAATCCCACCATTCACGATTGCATTCAGTAATGCGTGTTTGGCGTTCGGTGTTGTTGTTTATGAATGATTCTTGTGTATATCGTTATCAAGTCTGAGGTTCTTCTAAGGATTTGGCGAGGCGGATAGTCAAAGTAAGCAACGAAGCTCGACTGCCTATCAAGGATGACGTGTACGTCGAAAAGTTCAAACCCATCCTTATGGACGTGGTTTTCTCCTGGTGCAATAGTAGCTCCTTCCAGGACCTTTGCGCCATAATATAAATCTATAGTCATTCACGCACCTACATACGTACAGTGAAATAATCGCGATCTATTATATTCATCCTAGGTTCTCTGCCCAGGATTCCACCATTCACCGTTTCGTCGTTTAACTCGTGTTAGATAGGATTTTTGGCATCATTCTAATCTAGCCGTGTTTTACTAATGAAGCGAGGTGTGTATTATCTATTGTTATCAATTCTGAGGTTTTCACTAAGGATTTGACTAGGCGGTTAGTCAAAGTTAGAGTTCCTCAATGTACTCGACACTTGTTTTGATGTATTTGTATATTTCGAGTATGGACACTCTAGCAAGCATTGACAGTCAGACGATCCATCTCGAGTAAAGACGCTATACACTCTCATTCAAAAATGAAATACAAAAGCAATATGGATGCACTCTTTCCTGTGAACATGTAGAACAAGGAAAATACAAGAAGCTTTGTTGTGGTTATGACTTCACGTAACAACAAAATTGACAAGTAAATTGAGGAAGTCTAGTCAAAGTGAACAACGAAGAGACTTCTAAACCAAAACTTTCACACAGTTGCATAAATCGCCAGTCATTATATATCGAATATCTCTATGGAAAGCTCTGTTCCCTGCCCATGATTCCGCTAAGTAATCCCACCATTCACGATTGCATTCATTAATGCGTGTTTGGCGTTCAATGCTGTTGTTTATGATTGATTCTTGTGTAAGTATATCGTTATCAAGTCTGAGGTTCTTCTAAGGATTTGGCGAGGCGGATAGCCAAAGTGAGCAACGAAGCGCGACTGCCTATCGAGGAAGATTCCTACGTCGAAAAGTTCAAGCCCTTCCTCATGGACGTGGTTTTCTCCTGGTGCAACGGTAGCTCCTTCCAGGACCTTTGCGCCATGACAGACATTTTCGAGGGGTCGATAGTGAGGTGTATGCGGCGACTGGAAGAGTTATTGAGGCAGATGGTGCAAGCCTCGAAGACGATCGGCAACACGGATCTGGAGGACAAGTTCAATGCCGCCATCAAGTTGATCAAGAGAGATATCGTGTTTTCGTCGAGTCTTTATTTGTAAATTTGTTTTCTTCGATTTTTTCTCGAGTCTTTGAATTTTGTCGCTGGAGTTTTCTTGGGTTTTTGAGTTTGATCTTGAATGGGAATATAAAATTTTGTATAGTTTCCTTCGAGGTCGGGTCTGTGGCTTTTTCAGTTTTCAGGCAATGATTTCAAGGGCTTTCCAGCAAATATCTGGCTATACAGTGTGGAAACAAAACTACTCAAAATTTCGATTATACGTTGGAGTGTGGAGCAGTTTACTTCATTCAACTGAACTGGTCAATTTTTATTTTGGAGATGAAGTATAGGGTGATTGTTTATATTTACTCAGAAGCTATCTCAGTTACTATTGGTCTTACAAATACGTTCAAATTAGCAAAAGTGCAGTATTTTTCTGGTAAGGTAAATATTTCAAAAACAACTATTAGGCTGTATTTTTCGAAACAGTGACAAGCCTATTCGATTGAGGCATAGCTGAAACAATTCTGAAAGTCGCCATTGAATAGTTCTCTATTTGTTCCATTCTGGTAACGGTGGAGAGAACAGAATGCCGTTTACAAATAAAACGAGAAACTTCATTGATTGAAAAATTGAAAATTAATCAATTCCTATTTGAAGCAGTGATTGTGGTGCTTGGAGAAATTTCTCTGAGATCGAAGGAAGTCATTTTATCTGGGAATGAATACATGGAACCTGTCTGACTTGAAAGAATCATAAACTCGTGATCCTCAGGATAAAAATGTCTTCTAAATGTCTTCTATTTTCAAAAAGTTCGTTTTTCGTCAGTCATTCCGCGCCATTCTTTGTAGTGAGACGGAATGAAAAGTAGCAACCGGAATCGGTAAAGTTGCAAATAAAACGACACATTAAAGTGATTCCGGTAGCGGTATCGGCTAAATAAAACGCAACTATTAACTAACATCCTATAGAAAGTATTGTGTGAAAATCTTTTGAGGGGGAATTTCAGGCTAGTCACTGTTTCGAATAAATGCCTAGTAGTCGTTCTTGAAATTTCGAACCCTTCAACAAACAAGAGTAGACCTGAATATTTCAGATTTGTCCACTTTTTTTTTAATTAGTGGACGGGTTTCAAATTAGATTGTACACACTGTATATACTTTATTGAGGTTATCTTTCTCAGTTCTCGAAAACTATAGATTCTAAGGCATCTTCAGAACGCCAGAAATTGCAGCATTGTCGTCTGGCGTTCAAGACCTGCATTAGACCAAAAAATCTATATTTTTCGAAAGTTGACGGAGGATTAACCTCAAAAATATAATTATAAACTAATTGAAAAAATCCAAGGATATTTTTGAACGCGAACGACAAAATTTCTTTGTTGTACAACTTTTGAAATTTGTATTTTGTTGCTTCTAAGTTGGGAACCAACTCCCTAGAATTCTAAACTTGTGTAGGGTTAGTAAAAGCGCGACCTACAGCTTATAGTTGAATCCGAATTTCAATTCATAGCAGAAACAATATCCTCAACCTTTTTCGATTAGCTTATTTGAAATCAGAAGAAAAAGCTCTGCCGTTTAGAATAATAAAATACAGGGTGTTTCATTAAAAAAATAACAGTACATGTGAATTTTTTAGGTTTACGATGCTTTTTTGTATTTTATAGTACTAGATCCTGAATGCCCATTAAATATACTCCAATTTTGCCGATTTGAACGTTTCTGTAGGACCAATATAAACTGAGATATCTATTGAGAAAAATACAAACAATTACCTTTTACATATTTCAAAAACCATTATAATATTCAGGATGACTCACTCATGTGCAGCACAAAGAAGGTATGTACATTTGAAAGGATCATATTTTTGTGCGCCTGACAGAATCTTCCCTTGAAAATTTTCAAAATTTAACCCTACATGAATCTTTGAATGATGGATTGAACCCATAAATGTTTCAGGCCGTTGAAATGATTTTGAAAGATGCAGAAATACAGGGTGATTCATTCAAAAAAATGTGCTGCATACGAGTGATTATATTTCCATTATTGATCCAAATATGTCACTTTCAAAACAGAAATAGACCTGTAGAGCAGCGTTTTTTGAGATCACATATAAAATTATTTCCTCCTCTAATTGATTTCCACATTGAATATATTGGAGTGGTAAATACAATGGGATATTTTATGAGTCACAATGGCACTCAATAAAACTATAGAAAATTATCAAGAAATGTACGCTTTCACTTACTATAACGTCCGGCAACATTGCCAAGATTATTAATATTCCCAGTGCTTTTAACCTCGTTGAAAGAACAAGCTCGGGTTCTGCTACTACTCCTAATCAATGATTTGCAAACACCAAATCGAATTGTTCAGAGAAATTTTTTTTATAAAATCACCTATTTCATTTATCGCTATGATTTTGGAAACACCCTGTATAGACCCATCATGGAATCGTTGATGGAAGATTGAAAAAACTCCATGGTTTTGATAGCATCAAAATTCAAATGCCCAAGCGAATACGAGTGGAATATACAGGGTAATTCATTATGAGCTTCGTTTTTAGAAATTTGTTGAGGACTAATGAAATGAGAGAATGATAAATTGTGAGAACAACTTTTCAAGTGTATAGAGTACTTTTTGTCACCTTTGTGTTATATCGGGAGTAGATGTCAATACATTGTACTTCCAAATGGAACATCCTGTTGTTTTATTTGTATCCATTTAATAATAAAATAGAAGCTGATCGTGAATGACCCTGTATAGATCAAGCATCCGGTTGCTGTTTTTGCTTTAATGTTTTTATTTTATACATATTTGCTCTAGATTGATTTGATTGATCAACCTGTCTTTAGAATTTGATGAAATAAATCAAAATCATGATTGACATTTTTTATGTTCACCCAGCCAACAAGTCTGTCGATTTCTTTTTTTTCAAGAGAAGAAAACGTAGTTTTTTTACTTTTTCTATCATTTATTTAAATTGAACCTCTAACAATGTATCATGTTTTTCCTTTGTTTCTTTTCAATACCTTGTTTCCTTTGACGTGTCTGAACTCCAAAAAAGGAGCGAGTTCTGACCCTGGATGTTAATTCTTACTTCTACACTTTCAATAGTGCTCTAATTTTAATGCAGATGTAAAAATACAAGCAAACATTCGATGTTTTAATTCATTTCACCAAATTCTAGAAATTGGACAGGATAACATGGACTAGCCCTGTGCATTTTCCATGATATATTATTTGTTGACAGGGATGGACATTTCAGAAAGCTCTTCACCTTTTCAGCAATAATTATACTGCTCTATAGGGTACCTACTCATCCAAACATTACAATACAAGACTTCTTTTTACTCTAGAGATCGAATGCGTCTTTGAGATTTTTTTTATAATTTCTTTGGCAAATTTCATTACTGGAATTGTATTTTACCTGTAGAAGAAGAAAATTCTGAAATCGATAGCAGCCATCGTTTCCTAGTAAAGCTTGAATAAAAAACAACGTGTTTAAATGACTCAATTTGATGCCGATTTCATTAACCAATACAAATAATTATGATCAAAGAGTATTTATATTTTCACTTCAAACAACCTGTATTCCTGAATTGAAGGGAGTAAGGACACACATGTTTATGTAACTTTTTTTTGTTCCTTTAAATGAGTAGGTACTTCAGTGTACTAATTTCTGATATACCCTGTATTACTTATTTCTCTGGTTCATTTTAAATGTTCCTCGCTATTTAATAGCTGCAATATGTCTCAAAATGTCCATCCCTATTTTGTATTCATTTCACAGTTTAGAATAGTATTCCTATTCCTATAAAGGGTAGTGTAAAAACCATGGTTCATTATTGGGCGATGGGATCTTAGATGATCTAGGATGTCTCGAAATTGTGTAAAGAAAAGGTTATTGAACATCTTAGTTGTTGTTCATCAGTTTTCCTCGGGATATTCACAACATGGCTATTTTTTTTAGATCATGGTCATGAAATTCAGTAACTTTTTCGTATCCCAATAGGTGCCATGGAATGCTCATTGCCCTGTACAGGAAGATTCCATTTACAGTTTATGGACTTTTAATTTCGATTACGTACTTAAAATTTGTTTGGAAATGTATCTGGGGCTTCAGTGAATTGAATAATATATTCATAGTCCTTAAATTACAAATCACAAATCACTTATCTTTTAATACCTTACTTTTCATGCCTCATGTTATCGGGATTAGAAAACTCTGTGTACCTGCTGACTTTCCGAGAACAACCCCCCATTATCCCTTGTCAAAATCCCTTCCTTAAACCATTATAAAATAGAATCCTAAATAGTTTAATTTCAGTTGATACTTCAACTTCATAGTTGATGCATTGTTTCGAAGTGTGTATAGCGTGGTGCATTGTGCCGTGTATTTCTTGTACTGTATAAAGTTTTTGAGTAAAATTTTTATAGTTTTAATACTTGCCGCGGGATTTTCTTGTACATACTGTATTTCAGCCAGTAGTACGGAATAATCTCACGGTGGGTGTTGAATACCTACGAAACATTGGACGATTTGGTAAGCGATATTTTTGGGGTGATAGTGCAATGTTGCTGATGTTCAACATGTTCTCGTCCCCCAATCTTTGGTGATCTAGCCGTGTGATTTTTTGTTTGTCACAAGGTTGATTCATCAAGTTCGGGTGGCGAGATTTCTACGAGAAAAAATGCCGAAGTTGAGTGTTGGCCACTGAACAACTGCATGACTGAGGGATTTTCTTTTCAAAGCTTAAGGTCAAACTAGATATAATCACAGGCCAATTTGATAATAGTAGATTGTTTCATTAGGATCAGATGTGACACTTTGTCAAGCAGGGTCATGTCCGAATGAAACACAATTTTTTCTGCAATGGAAATAATTGATATCTTATTAATAAAATACGAGTGAAGTTGCCACTATTTTGAATCACTTGAGCACGTCAGTGTCAAAGCTATCATATCAGTTGTAATCCGACACACTTTTGGCTCCTAGAAGTTGAACTTTAACTTTGGCCCCTAGACATTAATCGTATTGCCTTGCAACATACATTTCAAT